GCAAAGCCTTAGTATCAACACAATCAGGACGAAGACGGTAATATGCTGTGACTTGTGCGCAAGCGTCATCTTTCAATTCAGTGCGAAAAGCGGCACTCGAGCATCAACCTGCATATAATTTGTAGGAGCACCCCTTGCAAAGTTATGACTTACCAGCGTTGCAAGTGCAGATGCATACGAGTTGTTAGTCTTGATGCGATCATAGATGGGTGTGACGCCGCAGGTGCGAGCTGCAGTTAAGAGTGCATCTCGCGTGAATCAATTTTTCTTTGTAATGTCTGGATAGCCATTGACGAAGGTCATATGAACCTTCGCTTCCAGTATCGCTCGCTGAATGACATGATGGGTCTTGCTATCTTGGTCCATGAGCTTTAATTTTCCAGCATTTGCGCGCCGTACAAGTTTGGGCTCCTCAGAATGACCATAACGGCCGTTGTTGTTGTTGTTGTTGTTGTTGTTGTTGTTGTCTAGTACCATGAAGTTGTTGTCGTTCGGAGACTTTGGATCATCATGGTCATCTGGGCAGCCTTGAGTTCCTCCACATCGTCGGAATCATCGGCCCAAGCAGGTGTCTGCAGTGCATGACATCAATCAAAACGAGAATCATACGAGAAGTACATGTCCGAGGTCACCGTGCCTGAATGTTGGGTTGGATCGGGGTTGAAGGCGCTGCTATCAGCAGCCGCATCATCCATCTCAGCATCCGACAGAAACCCGTTGTCCTCCGCAGCGGGAGTCTGTACAATTACCTTCTGCTTGCGAGGAATTGGCTTTGGCCTTGGCCTTGGTACCGAAGGTGCAGCTCGTGCATCACTCATCTCGGCATCTGAAGGAGGCGTAACCTTCTTCTTGGTAGCAGGAGGCGCCACAACAGCCTTCCTCTTGCTTGGGATTGGCTTTGGCTTGGGCAGCGCAGCCCGCGGTGTAGCATCGGTCACCACATCCTGGTCCGCCTGGTTCTTCTCATATTTAGCAACACGTTTGATGCTAGCTCTCTTGGTGCGTTCTTTCTCTTCTTTAGCATCTAACTTAGACTGACGCTCAGCAGCTACTTCTTCTGCAGTACGGCGTTTCTTCTTCGGGGTTATGTCTGGGATACCCGGATGCTGAGTTGCATTTTTTGCACGGGTGACACGTCGAGTAAGACATAGCAGGAATAGATGGGGCGAGCTTGCAGGACGCAAAGGCTTATCAAGAAGACGCGTTTACAAGTAAGATGTTCGAATCGGGACTTCAATGTAATTTGACTTGCTAATTGCCACGCCTCAACAGCACGCTCTTCGGCCTGAGTGCCCGAGTTCCATTCCTTCATATCTCCACGCCTTCGACCATATATTTCTACTTATCGATGTCGAATTCTTTCCGAACTTGCCAGGGCTTGAAGGAGACGACAATCACCGACTATCAACATCGATACCAACAATTCAAATCTTCATTGGTGACCAACATCCTAGTACCAGTAATGTTTCCTCTAGCTCCTAGTAAACTGTGGTGCGCTGACTGCTGTATTATAGATGCTACTATGTTTGCCGTGACTCGCTGCCTCAGAAGATTGGAAGGATCAGGCGCACCTTGTGTGTGTTTAGACTTGAGGGGGGGGGGAGTCTCACTTCTGTGGCCTTCGCATGTCAAACAGCATTCCGTCATGCTCTTGGCCTTCCTCTCATCAAGGTGGACGATTGTGATATGCTTAACTTGAATGGTGAGGTTTCCGTTTAATGTCCGGTTGGTAACTGCGGTGTGCTGACTGCTGTGTTATAGATGCTATGTGTGCCGCAACTCCCTGCTTCAGAAGATTGGAAGGATCAGGCGCACCTTGTGTGTGTTTAGACTTGAGAGGGGGGGGGGGAGTCTCATGTCTGTGGCCTTCACATGTCAAACGCATTCCGTCATGCTCTTGGCCTTCCTCTCATCAAGATAGGTGATCGTCTTCGCATGTCAAACGCATTCCATCATGCTCTCGGTGGTGGCTGGAAGTTATTCATGGGCGCGCCTTGCATCAACCCTGAACACATCGTGTTGTGTGGCTGGAAGTTATTCATGGGCGCACCTTGCATCAACCCTGGGCAGATCATGTTACCATTGGCTACTTGTAAGTACTCGCATGCATGATGTTCTCCTGCGCATTTACCAGGCCTTGTATAAAGTCAACTCGAAGTTACACCTCCGACGCCAGACTCATGGGCCCCATTCGAGTCTACAATACCATCGGCACTATCTTATGATGCGGGCCAATGGCAACCTTCGTGCGCACAATATACACAACCTTGGCCGCCCTCAACCCACGCTACCATGCCTAGTGACGGGCTGTATCCGCCGTTTTTACAACAGGTCAGGGCGCACCACTCATATGCAATCCCAGCATCCACTGGCATCTGAAGAACCCGACGTCCCGTCATCACACCATTCCTCCTCCGAGTCGAGTTCACGACGTTCCCAGTCATCCCGACCTGGCACCGGACATGCTGCAACAAGCTCAGCACGCATGCATTCACGCAGCCCAACTCAGACTAGCGCAGGTGACGAACAACTTGAAGCACCTGGGAGTCGCGACGATCAAATGGAGTTTGACTTGCCAGAGTCAAATGGACGTGGGTATGGCTTTCATGATGATGCTGCCAATGAGGCAGGTATGAACAGCTCAGATCAACGCCCTTCAAGTGGTGCTGGTTCCATTGGCCAGGCGAGTCGAGATGGTAGTGTTCCTCTTCAAGTTCCTGGTGTTACCAGAACATATCATCCTAATATCAATGGTGCGTGTTAATTTCACTTGACGCTCATCCAAACTTGTGCTCACTGTATACTCTTCTCCATATGAAGGGAGAATTTGCGACGAACACGGAGATGACATACCACCGAATACTCCGCCACCTCCGCGTCCATCAAATCGTGGACCAGACAACTGGACACCATATGCTAATCGAGTCGAATTCGAAGTCGCAGACTTCCTCTACCGTCGCAACCAGATGTCGGGGGGCGATATTGACTTTATATTCAACCTGTGGGCCGCCTCATTAGCGGCTCATGGCGAAACACCGCCCTTCACAAACCACGTTGAGATGTACAACGTCATTGATTCGACGCCTCTAGGTGACGTCGCCTGGCAGAGTTTTAGCTCTGAATATAATGGTGCTCTACCTGAAGGTGACATTCCGACATGGATGACATCCGAGTATGATGTGTGGTTCCGAGATCCTCGGATCCTCGTGCACAACATTCTCTCCAACCCAGACTTCGAAGGCGAATTCGACTACGCTCCGCTACAGGAGTATGATACCAGCAATGGAGCACATCGCTTTCAGGACTTTATGTCCGGTGATTGGTGTTGGAAGCAGGCCGTAAGCCATTTTTCATCCTTTTTCCAATTTTCTCATCTCTCACAATTCACAGGATTTGATTGCCGAGGATCCCAATACAATTGGATCTATGTTCGTTCCAATAATCCTTGGCAGCGACAAGACTACTGTCTCCGTCGCTACTGGACACAACCAGTACTGGCCGGTTTATATGTCGATCGGCAACATCCGCAACAACGTGTGACGTGCACACCGCAACGGTGTTGTATTGCTGGGCTTCCTAGCCATCCCGACAAGTACGTGTTTCAATTTGATGTTGTCTGTTGCTGGCGCTAATTAGATGCATATATTTAGCTGACAAGGAGTCCGCCAAAGACGCACACTTTCGAAAATTCCGCCGTCAGCTTCTCCACTCATCGCTGGCGAAGATGCTGGAATCCCTCAAACCAGGTATGACAACAGACGAGGTTGTACACTCCCCCGATGGTCATTTTCGACGTGCGGTGTATGGCCTTGGACCATATATTGCCGATTATCCCGAGCAAGCATTGCTCGCTTGCATCGTTCAAAACTGGTGCCCAAAGTATGTATTTCTTCATGTTATGCTAGTACTGTCTACTTACTACACATCCATCCAGATGTACTGCTCCGGCTGATGGTCTTGACAATGGTACCTATGGTCGGCGTTCCCGCAACCATACCGAAGTCTTGGTGGAGGAATTCGAGTTAGGTGTGCTATGGGACGAATATGGACTTGTAGGAGACATCGTGGTTTGTACCTTCATTATTGTAGTCATTGTGCGAGCTGACAAATTACAATATACTATGTGTTCTACAGCCATTCACTAACTATTTCCCGCGAGCCGACATTCACGAACTCCTCTCCCCCGACATTTTACATCAGCTGATAAAGGGTGCGTTCAAGGACCATATCGTCACCTGGGTCCACAAATACATTAAGGCTCGGTACTCGGAAAACGAGGCGAATATAATATTAGATGATATTGATCACCAGTAAGTCCAATTTTCAACATGCTGGGTTGCAATGACTGGTATTGACGCACTCTACAACTAGTATTGCTCTTGCTCCCTCATTTGCGGGCCTTCGACGATTCCCGGAGGGAAGGGGCTTCAAACAGTGGACGGGAGATGATTCCAAAGCACTGATGAAGGTACGTTCGAGTCGATGAACGGGTGTTCCATCATCACGAGTAGTGTTGACTAACGTGTATTCTTACTACTATAGGTGTATATACCCGCGATTGAAGGCCACGTACCTCCGGAGATGGTGCTGACTTTGCAAGCATTAATTGATTTTGTGTACATCACGCGGCGCAATATCATCGACTCCAACAGCCTCAATGCGTTGGATGATGCACTCGAGCGTTTCCACAGGCACCGCGAAATATTTGAAACATCCGGTGTTCGCCCTAATGGATTCAACCTCCCTCGACAACACTCGCTTATCCACTACCACAAAATGATCCGATCGTTTGGCGCACCAAACGGACTCTGTTCTTCCATCACAGAATCTAAACATATCAAGGCTGTCAAGGAGCCGTGGCGACGGTCCAGTCGGTTCGAAGCCCTCAATCAGATGTTACTGACAAATCAACGTCTAGATAAGTTAGCGGTGTCTCGTGTTGACTTTGCTAGCCGTGGGATGCTAACAGGAACATGTCTATCATATATCCTTGATAAACTCGGTACGTCTACTAGCATTTGACCACTAATATTACTAACACAAATCACACACAGGGCTAAACGCTCCAGTGCACAATGCAGAAGCCATTCAAGTCCGGCTCGAGGACGAGCCGATTGACATTCCCCATCTCGGACGCAACAATCACGTGAATGCCAACTTGGAGGCTGATGCAGACCAAGATGCTGAGCTCGAGGGTGACGCTGTTGCTGGACCGACGGTGATAGCTCATGTAGACTTGGCGAAGAAATCTGGTGAGTGGAGTAGTACATTTACCTGGCGTGCTTTTTACTTACAACAAATTTTTAGCAAAACGGATCTACGCAGACCTACTCGCAGATCAAATTGGTGAACCGGAACTCACCACTCACATTCAGCGATTTTTACATGACCAGCTCCATTGTTCTGACTCCAACTCAGAAGCCTCCGAGTCTGGCGCTGGCTCGTCCAGTGCCCTTCCCGAACTACATGAAAAAATAACTCTGTATACATCTGCCATTGCCACCTTCTTCGCTCCCAGTGATGTCTCAGGCATCGGCGGTATGCGCTACGAGCGAATTCGTGCTGTGGATACCTGGAGGAACGGCCCTGGTCGATATGACTGTGTTTTCATTAGTACTGATCCCACTGTCGAGGGTATGTGTGGCTTCGATATCGCTCAAGTAAGGCTTTTCTTTTCATTTAAACACAATGGTGTACATTACCCTTGTGCATTTGTGCATTGGTTCAAACACGTGCACGACTCACCAGATGAGAACACAGGAATGTGGGTAGTAGAGCCTGAAACCCGCGAGGATGGGACACGATTTGCCTCCGTCATTCACCTTGACTGCATTTTTCGTGCGGCACACCTTATGCCTGTATTTGGGCATGAATTTGTACCTACTTATCTCTCTTACACACAGACCCTTGATGCTTTCCGCACTTACTATGTAAATAAATACATTGACCATCAGGCATTTGAGATTGCCTGGTGACTTGATACTGACTTATTCTTATTGGCTGGATAATGCTACCATTAGGACTACATATTATATACTTTGTCGGCTTAGGAAGTACTTCGCATAGCGCCTATTGACTTAGTTACATCGCAGCATGGTGTTGATTACTTATAAATAAACTTCTTACTTGAACACGCTTTTCTGCAGCCTCCGTGCTGAATTTTGGCCATTCATTACTTACTATTATTGTGTTTCCTTTGTGAACAATCCTCCAAGCAGAAATTAAGTTGAAATGATTTGCTTTGACAACTTAGTGAACTTAACGTCGAATTAAGTCTCTGTAAGTGAGGTAAGATGGCTAAGACTTTTTCCCTTTTTCCTGATGAATAGAAATGAAATGCGTACTTTGTTCAATCGAAAAGACTCAGTGCGGGCTTGCACAGCCTCTGAATTCCAACATATACAATCCCCGCGGCAGTATGCTTCACCATTGGCCAATAAGTAAACAGTATACACAGAACACTCAACATATATGTATGATCAATAAACTCCAGGAAGCAATCGGTACTTCACCTTCTTCGCCCAATCCTCCCATTCTTTTCCCAGCGCACTCCGGAGCATCTTGTCCTCCACTGCAGGTCGAATGATACAAATGAAAGTACCTAGAGTAAACGCGTAGAAACCTGTTGCTGATATAATTTTTACGAAAGGCACTTGTAAAAACCCAGACTGCCTCAACCACGATTCCCGGTGTCCATACATGACGACGAGCCCTATATATTGGACAATAAACCCCGTGTAGCTTGGGTGGCGGACGAACGAGTACGGTCCATTTGTCACAAGTGTGTGATCTTTTCTGACGCTGATTGGCCAGCTCCAGCGTTTCCCTAAGGTCACCACGCAATAACGCCTTATCACGCCGCCAATTATGAAGGCAAGGCTACCAGCGATGAAAGCCGGGGTGATTGGCGTAGGGTGAAGAGAGCGTATAAGCTGCAATGCTCTGGCGCCATAGGTGCCCTCTGGAAGTTGCGATGAATTTATATGCGTGGCCAAGATACTGGCCACTTCAGCGAACGATGTTGCCCACACGAAGACCTGTTATATCGTCCACCGATAAATATAGACAACGACCAATATATAGGAGCAACACACCTTCTTCGTATCTATTCCCATACGTCCCAGACGTCTCAGAGGCCATGTCATGAAAGTTTCGAACGCGGGGGGTTCCACGAACTCGCCAGGTGACGGTGGCGGAGCAGAAGAAGTGAACGAAACATAGACACCAATAGCCGAACCTACGATGAAGGGGATCTTTAACAAGCTCATGGTACACCGTTGGTTTTCCTTTTGATCTTGCGACGATCACCTTAAATACCTGAGCATTAATAACTCTACCGCTAACAAAACTCCCAGGTGTGAAATTTGAATGATAAATTCGGGGTTCGATTATGTGTCAAATTTACCTGGAGCGCGTGAGTGAAGCGCAACGAGTGGAGCGCAACTACAAATTCAAGCGGGTGCTTCCAGCATTAAATGTGAAGTCACTTGTCAGCCCCGGAAGAACGAAAGGGGTTGCCCGGTTACTATTTTTGGATGTCCTCCTGCTCTAGATCGTGTCCTCTGAGGGTGGATTCATATCTGATGGGTCAGCCATTGCTACATACTTAGCGTTCCCGAGGGTCGATAGCACACCCAACGTATGCGAACTTTAAAAGGCGATAGAAACAATGTTGCGAGTGTTTTCATGTCCTGTGTTGCCTCGATTTTAGGTTCGCCTCGCCCGAAATTTAGTTACGATGCTTCTCTTGATTGATGACGACGATGATCATGACGGGTGTGAGAGTCAGCGCATACGGTGCGACAAAATAAGGATTTCACCATCGGAACAGTGGTAACTTTGTCTCGCGCGAACCTCGCAATGACGTGGATAGCCAGTTTCAAGGGTGGTAATCAGAGCCTAGAGGTTGCAACTGACTGAGCAATAGATAAGATGTGTGCTGGAGGTCACGAAACACTGCAGCGCCTGTCCCGACGGACCACAAAGGGGGAAGCACGGCACGCACGTGGCTCCTGTAGATTTATTCATGGAGATCAGAATTATACAGCAGGGGCAACGTGATTGGAAAGTGGCGGAACTAACAACTTGAAGAACTCACGGTTTGCCATGGTAGCAGCCCCACCCTGCCCAAGGCTAGATAGACAAAGTTAGCTGCTCGAGAACCCTCGGTGGCGCTCGCTGCAGCAATATTCGACCGTGGGCTTGTTAGTGAATGCCTGATCCCATTCGCTGTACTAACACTCCAGCCCACCCCACTCAATGTGTATGTCCACCTGATATCCAACGTGGTGACGTATGTTTGCCTCACGACAAAATTTTCAACGTTCATTCGGGATCTTCGGATCGTCCAGGGGGTGATCAAAGGCCAGGGAGGAGCATGTTCAGCGTTTGGTCATGTCGCATGATGAACGCTGCAAGTATCGCCACTCAGCCAGATTGTCGGGGACGTTGCAAGCATCGAAAGACGTTCCCTCCACAAAAATTGCATGTCAAAGTTCGTTCGAATCGTCCAAGGGTGTGTGAAATTTCTGTGGCGCTGAGGTTAGAGGATGGGATGGATGTTGAGCGTGAGGAGGAGGAAAGGTATGTATCAGTGTGGAGTGCGTTGTGATATTCCATTGTGAGGAATGAGGGAAATGAGATGCTTGATGAATGGGAGTGGTGTATTTCTATATCTGCCCGTCCAAAAATCCAATTCGCGCACCGTCTACCTTTCTGCGCGCGTGAAAACGGCCAATCCGCGGCCTCGTGAGCGCCGACTTCAAAGGCAGCCCGACACGACAATCAATTACACATGCATGCGAAACGAACTCAAGAATCAAGCACCGAAAGGCGCAAAGCATCCAAACAAGCAAGATTAATCCTCTATAATTTCCTCTCCCTCTCCATCTCCCCATCTCCATCCCCATCCAAGGACGGGATGGAGGCGTGTCTGTGTCTATGGGGAGTGAGTGAGGAGCGCAACGCTTTATTCGTGAGGAATGAGGAACGAGTTGTTTGATGATTGGGAGTGGTGAGTTTCGTGGTTGAGGGAGCGATAAACTTTATGGTTGGGGCGAGGTGACACCGTGAAGAGAGCATAAAGACTTTCTAGCCCTCTACCGGTCTTGATACGCGTCGATAACGTACGCTAGGGCGTGACAGTATCTATGCCAGATAGATCGGATCCGGGATACTGCGTCATCCTTCGGAGCCGAAGAAGTTTTATGGGAGGGATATCCTGCTAGCTAGATGTGGGATTCATAGTCAGGATACAGGATTTACAATAATAATGAAAACACACGTACTAATGTTTCTGCCCCACATTCGTTCCTTCTTGAGTATGTGTATGGGTCAAACCCAGGAGTCTCGTTGATATTATACAGCGTTTTTATCGTCTCCAGAAGCGTCCGTTCTCAGCGCAAACTCAAAATCGAAGTTGGGAAGAGGGAGGACTCGAATTCGAAGTTGGGAGACGTTGAATTTTGTGGGGAGTGGGGAATGAGAAGGGCGTGCTATACAGTGAACTAAATGAGAGCGCGCCAAAGACTTCCCCCTCAGGCTCGCCAAGCCTCTCTCTTCCGGTCTTGATACGCGTCGACAACATATGTTACGGCGTGAGTTGCTAGACCGGATCCGGGATACCGAGCTGGCCTCCGATACGGAGTCTCATTATACCATACTTTTGTCTTTACCTTCTCCAGGGACCAGGAGCGTCTAATCTCAGTCCTTTCAGCGAGAACTCGAAAGTCGGGAGAGACAGGCGTACAGTTTAACTTATGGGCCAGATGTGGGACGTTGAGAGTCGGATGGACGATCTGGACGACAGCGTTGAATTGCTCGAGGACTAGGACTTTGCGCAGGTCGGCATGGGTTGGATTTTGAGCCTTAGGGAAGATCAAATAGCTCCTGTGAATGGTATCTCATGGGTCGAGGGAGGGGTGAAGCATTTGAGGCGAAGAGTGCAGCGACACCAATTCTATGTGTGACGGGACCCATTGGCGGAGCGTCTAGCCTAAGTGTCAAAGAGGTAAGCAAAGAACAACGGAAGTATTGCTCACATAAAGCATGCGAAGGCCGAGTGGACTGCACAGACATATTGCCTGCTCCACTTGTCAAATTCGAGTTCTCATAGAGCGTCAGTCGAACGGCGCACCTGGGCGGTCATAGCAGGGAATTAGGTCCCCAATGCCCGGCGCCGGGCGTGGCCATTTTGACGCGGTCCTGCCGCGCCTGCCGCGGTCGTGACGCGGCATTGACACGGCACCAACGAGCTTTATGTGTTCTGCGGGTTCATGACCATTCCTTTGTGATTTTTTTTCGTCATAGGGACATGTACTACTAGCTACATCAATCAATGACCATTTTCTTTTCCTCCCTCTGAGCTCTCTGCACCCTCCGGGTCTGTGGAGCACATCAACAATTAACATAGGACCGAATTAGCTGAACAGGATACCTATACTTCCCGAGACGAGCCAAAGCTCCTTTGCCATCACTATAATTGAGTGGTCAGCCATATCTCAGCCCGAGTCGCAGGTCAAACTCGTGTGAAGGGTAGCTGTGGCGACGCTGTGCCGCGGCATGTATGAGGTTTGACGCGGCGTGATGCGCATGCGACGCGGCATTGACGAGACATTGACGCGGCACAACTTGTTTGACGCGGCGTGGGCTATTGTTGACGCGGCATGAAATGGGCCTTGACGCGGCACAGGGTAAGTGTGAAGGTTGACATTAGTGAAGATGTTTGGGAAAACTTGTCGTGGTATGAGCAGTGCTTGACCCAGCTTGAATGAGGCTTGAGATGATATGGTTGTGGCTTAACTTGATAGTATGCGAGTTATGATAGAGACTGTATTAGACTTAACAATGTGAGGTCGAGGCAAGTGAAAACAGCAGTCTAGGGGCCTGTGCGCAGACGGACACTCACATGCTGATCATTAACGAGGATATTCAAAGTGTTTGGAATTCAATTTTCGAGTGACATAAGAATATTGTTTGAATCTCACAGTGCCGCGTCACATATGTCGCGTCATGGGCGCGTCAATTTCACCTGGCCCTAGACAAGTCTAGGGGTTGAGGCAGCAGGCTGTGAAGATCAAGTTGGAGAAAAGTTATCGTGCTTCGAGTGGTGTTGACACGGTACGGTTGGGGCTCGATATGTCATGGTTGGGGCTCGGTATGTCATGGTTGCAATTGGGGCTCGGTATGCTGTCTGGACTCTGTAAGCAGCACCATGGCCCAGGGCCTGTATGCAGTTGGAAAGTCGAAGGTTGATCTATTCAAAGTGTTTAGAATACGTTTCATCTTTCGAGGGATTCAACATAGTATTTGAACAAGCTATACGCCCTAGGATTTGTCACTGTCAGTGCCGCGTCAATTTCACCTGGCCCCCTAGGATACAAAGGCTTACCTTCCCTCGTCAAACACCCATGTAAGCCTTTCAAAATGCATGATGGCACGGAAGCAAACACTCCACTCGGAACGCGTCATGACGTCGACATCAATAATAAATACTGCTTTCCAGTACATGGACAATATGCAAAACAGCAGCAAAGCGCGATCCTATCCTATGTAGGTACATACGACCCGAAAATGATGATAAAAACAGAAACCAATCAGACAGATGAAACATGCATACGGTCTTTTTTTCGCGTGGGCCTCACGACAACGCGCCCCAAACAGCCAACCCCGCGAAGAAGCTCATGATGCCTACCAACACGCCTACATACGCAGCGGTGTGCACGCCTATACGAGGCAGTACCGCTGGTGTGTGCAGCGCTGCGAGGGATGCGTGGAGGAGTAGCACTAGGGGGGTGGTGATGACGAAGGGCACGTGTGAGCTGATGTAGGACCGAATGGAGAATTGGTCTGATGTGGGGATGGATAGCGGGGAGCGGAGGTAGGCTGCGGAGAGGAGGAGGTTTAGGCCTATAGATAGGATGATGGAGTTGAAGCGCTGGAGGCACGATATGATGACTGGGATTTTCTACCAGAGAGGGTTAGAGACGTCGAGGAGAAAAAGGATGCACGCACGATGACAGGAAGCCCGTAGACCTCTTCGAGTTCCTCTCTCATCTTTATTACAAGCAACTTCTCCACCCCACGATCGATCCGTGATTCCACGCTTCGGGCCTCTCCGTCCTCCAATTCATCTTCGAATGCCTCCTGTTCTGGTGAATACGCTACTGTTTCGTCGAGAGACCCAGATTTCAGACGCTCGAGGAACTCAATTTCTCGTCCTTCTGGGACCATGACATCGCGGTAGAGAGCGAGCTGTTGGTACCCCTGTACTATGGCAGCAAGCACTTCTGCAAAATTGAGTGAAAGCCACCATACGGTGCGGAATGCAGGGTCCTGGCAAGTGGGGATGGGATAATCCATTGTGTGCCTGACTTGCAGGATTGCGAGAGCTGCGAGACGAAGGCCGTTTGTGATGAGGACATGGAGGAATGTGGATGCAAGACATGCAGACTCTGCGGGGAGTAGGAGGGATGCGAATGAGAAGAGAGGGACGCGAAGGAGATGGGCTTGACTGAAGAATGCGCTAGAAAGAAGTATTTCAGGTAATGGAAAGGGGAAAGATGCTGGGTATGTAGAAGGGAAATCTGCTATGGGCCAGGCCAAGTCGGGCAGGAGTGCTAGGACAGCGAAGGTGACGACTGCGAAAACAGGAACGCAAGCATTCAACAAGAGTACTCGAAAGTAGGAACCTACAGAAGGTTAAGCTTGATAAACTGGAGAAGGTTCAGGGGAACAAACCGATATATAATCCATTATTTTGCAACTCCCACTCAACGTCGTCGTTGTCGTCGTCGGCGCCGTCCTGCTCTTCCTGTGGCGCGTCAGGACTACTCCTGGGGCCGCTCGCAATACTATCGACTGGTGAACTCATACGTGCAAAACCAAGGTCAGTATAAGCGTTGTCGTCCAAGGTCGGACCCTCAGGGCTTTCAGCCGCAATTTCACCCGCCTCGGAGTCTGGATCCCATGGGCGTTGACTTGCCCTGTGAGGTAACACTGCAGCAACTGTTTGAGCTACTCTTCTGTGCATCGAGTTGGTTTTTGGTAGGTCGCTGGCTAGTCTACTTCCAGTCTACTACATGTTTTTACGCTCGCACCTCGCCAGCTCTGTGACAAGAAGCGAGGGCCTGCACAGTGAGAACCCTCTATGTAATTACGTGTACCGATCAGCCCTGTTTCAGCGCGGTCAACACCGCCGTGGACGCGTAGTGAGTGTTGGTGATTAACGGTGTGTTAGCATTCAAAGCAGTTCAAGACATAGGTGGTACAATGTGTAGTCATAAGATATCTGTGGTCTTGCATTGGCAATGGAGAGTTGCCACGTCTGCAAACCCATCCGACATTTGTGGGCGCAACCATCCCAAGACGTCGGCAGTGACTCAAGCGAGATGAAATACAGGTGTCTGACAGCACCAATTCACAGTACGGTCGTCGCACTGTCCAACACACGGAACCCATATGGAACACGATGGTCACTCATGACACGACCCTGCGATAAAGATATATCAGCATTGTGATTAACGCGAGATCAGAAGGCAGATAAAATTAAAATAGAAAAAGGTCAGCTTTCGATGCATTTCAACAAGAGAATGCTCCCATCTCCACATTGTACATTGGGAGACTTGAAGGGAGCACCACGTTCGGTCCGCCCATCGAATAGATTTCATCCAAGAACAAAAAAAGGCATTGAAAATATAAAAATAGACGCACAAGCTAGGTAAATCCACGACGCACACCTGAAACGCAAAATAGCAATCAGTCGATCGTTCGAACTTGCAGAGAAAACATGAAGCAAGGTCAGACAAGGCTGAAATCAATAATGTCGTCCACATGTATGTTCGGAATGTGGTAAAGTACTGATAGTCATCACGAACAGCCGCAAATGGCAGAAAAACTCACCGTACGCCATGGAACATTCGAAAGGCTGCTCGAACATACACGATGATACAAGTTCAAACCAGGAAAATTTTTAGAATGGAATTTCAAGTTCCGAAGCTCGCGGAGCCCTAAATGATCAATCATGCCGCCCCTTCCGTAAACGTTGTAATGAGAGTGCACAACTTGCAAGTCTAATCTCCTCATCTTCCAAACCTATATTACACAATTATGCAGTCTTTACTCCGATGGGGCGTAGAAAATTCATCCCCAGGTGACCCCCCTCCAAGACCCATTAACAACCTCGATCCAGGCATCATCGATCACATCCTCGGCAAACCAGATGCCCAATTAATGAAGGAAGCTCTTAAAATCGGAGTAGACGAAACGCAGGCTGAAGATGATAGGCTACAAGCACTTGATGATCTTGAGATGGTGCGTCCCTTGAGCCTTCCGCGTAGTATTATAGTCACTTACTCAATCCATAACATCAGCTAGTTCAGAACATCGACAATGCAAATGGTAGCTCTTGTATCCTTGATTGAAATCTCGCGGCCTGATGCATATGATATAGACCTGAAGAAACTCGGGATGTGGGAACCTCTACATGGTCTCCTCACAGCATCCAGCACAACCGATGCTCTCAAAATGCAGACTTTGTGGATAATCGGTACAGCACTTCAAAACAATCCAGCTGCTCAACTAGCTGTAAGTCATCCTTTTCCTGCCATGCATCCGACTCATAATTCACCATGGCTGATAGTTGTGATTTAATAACAGTACCTCGAGCTGGAGCCCCTCCCAGCACTCATTAGATCCCTTTCACCATCCTATAACTCAGCAGAAACCCGTTCAAGAGCCGTATACGCATTATCTGGTCTCCTAAAACTCAATGCTGCTGCCGTCCAACAAATGTCCGTAGTAGGCGGATGGAGCGCACTTCGCGCATCTCTAGAAGGTCCGTAGCCCCAATTAAACCCTTCCTTTCCATCACTCACATCACGCACAGATTCAGAAATCCGAGTCCGCAGAAAAACAGCATTCCTACTCAACGCACTCCTCCTACCAAACTCTGACGACAAAGTAAACCTGCAATCAAATATGAGCCTTCCTTCGTCAGCAAACGCACCAGTTCATGCAAACTCGCATGCTTCGATGCTCTCAGATCCATCCTCCGTTTCGACGTATGGCATCACACTATCTGCTATCCAGAACGAACAGACAGAGGAGGGATCGTCGTTGCTCGATGCGTTGGTATCGGCGTTGATTGAGCCTGTGCCGTTTGGGCCTGATGGTGAGAAAGATAAAGATGAGGAGTTTCAGGAAAATGTTATCAGGCAAGTTGTACTTTCACTTTCATATCAGATTTAATGTTGACGTTTTACAACTAGAATTTTGTACACGTTCGTTGCATGCTGCAACGGCAGCTTTTCAGCCGCGCAGAAACACAGTCTTCAGGGTTTCCTAGGAGAAACGACTATGACTGAATCAGATAACTTTGGCCTGACGAGCGGCGAACTTCAGGAATTGAGCGATGCAGTGAGGGGATCGTAGGTTGGGATAGAATGCGATATGTTTTAAAACCCACTAATGACATTGGATGATTGATTGTATGATGTCGTGATTCTTTATCTAGCCGAACAAGTCACAAATTGAGTACTCTGATTTACGTTACGGGTGTTTGAATTGCTTATGACATTTTGTCGAACCGCTAGCAGCTTCAAGTGATTAGAGGGATTCGAGCTAGAGTAAGTAAGGTAAGGGTAAAGCCCCATCTCTCTTTGAATCTGTTCTCAAGGTTCAAGCCCGTCGTGCGAAGCGAAGCGATCACCATATGGTACGAGTGCTCATGGTCGGCTCTTGAGTCTTCAGATAAGTAAAAAATGTAATTTAGGTAAGTCGCTTGTGCCACAATCAATTTTCCGAACCCTGAAAGCGAGGCTCGAATGCCAATTAATTTCGTGTCTCCCAGAATCAGGCGCATTGAGTTCGACTAGCCATCGAATTCGAAGCTAACCTTGTTTTTTTCGAGAATGACTTCGACGAAAATTTCACGTTTGGTTCTTTGTTCACGACTTTCACCTCGATCGATATCGATGACTGCGCTCGATCTGCATAATTCACTTTTCACATCTGACAAACGATTCGTCAATGCCAATGTCAGTGCTACGCCTACGCCCACCCCAATGACACGCCCACGTCCACGTATTCTTTCACTCACCACAGTCCAAGAACACGATCCAACATCCCCAACCTTTAACTCCCCCACATTCCACGACCTACTCTCCAGGCAACCACTTCATCCAGACGGTCCACGACACTGGGACCTTGGTCTTGACCTCACAGGAGACCCACTAACAGCCGCAGAATGCAAGAGCCTCAAAGGCCGCATCACAAAATCAAAACTCCGTCGCTTGCAGTGGATCTCTGTAGTTTTTGAAGTCGTACTTGGTATACCATATTCTCTTTTCATGCGCTTCTGAGGCCAACGAACCTGTTTGTCAACAGGTTTATGGTCGATTTATTGCACGATCCGCTATTCCCTTGCGTTTCAAACGTCCTTTAAGAGCTCTGTACGCACGCTTGCGCTCGTGTCGTGTGTTGCTTCTGGGATTAGTGTCGCGGGGGTGGTGGTGACGCTGTTTATGCCGCTTCTTCCGAAAAATGGATTCGTTCGTGCTGCGAGGATGATCTCAAGGGGGTGCTTTGTTGTATTGATATTTGCGACGGCGATCGCGAATCTTGTGTTTGTTTTGATATGGCGCCCTGTGGATAGATGTGGTTGGGATTTGGATGTTTCGTGGTCTAGTTCTCTTACCGTGGATTCATCGTCACCGCACTGTCGCACAGCAAGTCTTGCAGCTTGGACGATCATTGCGTCTTTGCGGGTTATTGCTACTTTGATCATGATTGTCAGTCTCATTTTCGAGTTTCAAAGGTGTTTCAAATTGATGGATATTCCTTACCTTCAGCTGTTGTACCTGTATTTCCTCAGAGCATATTTCGAAGCGAGGCATCCTTCGAGATATGCAAGAGGGATGTACTACCCTCCATTAATGGCCTCGGAAGATGTTGTGCACTCGCCTGTATCCACCATCGACTCGCCTGTATCTACCATCGACCCTTCGTCGTCAAGAACGCATTTCAACAAGTTAATACCTTCCCAAGCTGCACTCGGACGGTCTAGCTCCACGCTAGCGCTCACTAATTCGAGCATCACTCTCGCACCCTCCCTATCACCCTCCCACTCCCAAAACACGCCAGCCACATCATCCAACCCCGCATCTCCAACCTCCAACCCGATATGGCGAAATTGGACAAATTTGCGGCTATCAATAAAAGACCGTCGAGCGAACTATCAAAGGCACAATAGTCTTTCCGACACACCCACACCCCGCACGCTCCGCCGGCAGAACCGTATCTCGAGTGAACATATCTTGCGGAATGCGGACACGTTGCCCGGTGCCTGGGATCCTGAGGAATGCACGGAAGTATACGCCGTTGGACTTGGTGCCTCATCGCGGGTAGTTACAGACCTAGACCACTTTGCATGCGTCGGCGAACTCGGAGACGCATGTCCGAGGGTGGAGCACAGGCCTGTTTCTGTGGGTCCATTGATGTCGGAGTCAGGCAGCCGTGACTGCGACTCTGTGTATTCTTACGGATACGGGGCCTCTGAACCAGCATACCCCTATCTGGAAATCTACAACCCTCCTCCTTCAATCGCGCAAAACCACAACTATAACCCGCCGCCGCCGGCTCACGTTAATGGCATTCAACCTCGATCGTCCGCGGCAGTTACAGCGCGGGCAGATACCATCGAGCCCGCATCACCCCTAACGACCATAGATGACTTTGAAGAAGACGAACTGATACCCGTAATGGGCGGTTTCGTACGGCGGATGGCTACCATTGAGTCATTCGGGTCTCGAGAAGCCGCGTTGTCGATGGCTCGCTCCCGCTTCTCGAGGATTTCAGAAACACCTGCATCTCCGCGTTCGTCTCTTGGGTGGACGCCGTCCATAGCGTCTACATTGAGCAAGAACGCCTCGCTTGGCACCGCTTATTATTCTGTGTCGAGTGATTTGGGGATGGGGGGTTCTAGTATCAAAGTGAATGAGCGGGGGGAACTGGAGACGAATATGACAAGCCCGCCTTCGTACAGTCGATATCATTATACCCGAGATGCCAACCGCACTACATTATCAGTACCATCCTAGAGCACATGCTGATAGGCACAACATCAATAGCACAAACCGGATTATCATTATCTCACTCTCACTCTCACTCTGTCACGGACCTACCATCTCATCTCATCTACATACCAACAGGACGAATATAAAATGGCGGTCTCGACGATAAGATTAAATCTGTTCACCTATTTTTGACTCCTGTGTACAATTTATCCTACAACAATTGATATTGATGGAGCAGTGGACAAGAGTGGAAAAAATGGATCATGTATGGAGCGCCCTGAACGAAATCACGAGCACGAGGCATAGATAGGCTATACTGCATTCAGCCTATGATACCATTCCACTCGACCGATATGAAACGGGACGTAGGCTCAAGATAGTATGCATGATGACAAGGATCCGGTTCCGATGATGCCATATCAACGGTGGATCATCGATGATCTCCCGGCACCGACAGCGGCGGATGGAATAAGAAGCTATATCTAGAAAAGAGCGGTGATACTGAGTCTGGACGGTGAAGATCGGGATACCCATAGACTGCGTACACGTAGGATGATCTGTTTTACTTGCCTTTTGCGAGCGTCTGCGGCGCGTTTTGGCCAATCGCTGTGGGCGTTCTGTTATCGATTGCTGTTTGAGCCATTACCCAAAGGTATTGAATTGAAGCGTTATTTTATATTAGGCGCGCCTGTTTCCCGGTAGCGCTGCAAATTTCTCCCCCCAAGTTCTCCCGTCGCTGTAAACGTACTTGCCGCATCGCGCAGGCGACGACTTGGGAAGCAACTGAGCTGACACTTTCTGCCATAATGTGTGCGTGCGCTGCGCCGCGGAGTGGGGGCTGCAGCGATTAAAATCCAAAATGAAATTCTGCCCAAGTGATGGATGAAACAATATAATACTTGCTCCTTGCCGCCCTTGGAAAACCTGCAGTGCCTAGAGGAGCTAAACCGCAGTGCTTCTCACGTCTTACCTTTCTCATGAATCGAGGGCCGGCCGTATTTCTCAAAGTCAAGGTACCGTTCCGCGTGGTCCCGCGACGCGCAGCATGGTCGAGTCTCGTCAGATGGGTCATCTCATATATTGAATTTCCCTCACCCATTCCTGAGGCTCCCGAACCTATCAGATTGGCCATGCCAACATCATCCAGTTACGCAGCAATTCGCATGCGATAAGAAACACTTTCATAAGTAGGCATGACAATAACCACATTCCGAACTCTAGTAAAAGCGTAGAACACTGCAGAACAAATATGGCGCTGATGGATATCGATAATTCCAAGCGATGGAACGTATAATGTGTGCGCGTCGTGAAATGGTCATATAGACCGGGAGTTCATGCGGAGTTTTGCGTCCCGGAGTAGGCAGCAAAGGCATGCGCTGGGGGGCGATCATCACGTACTCCAGACGGTCCGATCACTCGATGAATGATGTTTTCTTCTTCTTCAGTCCCGTGGTTTCGACTTCTGCGTTATCCTGTCTTCTCTTCCCTTTTCGTGCGGAAGAGGCGGCAGAAGTCGAGAATGCATCCTTGCTCGAAGGGGCTGAAGAAGGGTCGTCTACGCCAGCGGGTTTCATGAACGCGGTGCTGGTTGACTTCGGTGCTGATGACGTGCTGTTTGAAGATAAGGAACGGAGGTCAACGCCAACGTTACTGTTGTCGTATATCACCCGGCTGGCCGGCTCCTTGAGCTTCTTTGATGGCTTGGCAAGTGTACTGGTTGAGCTGGATATCGATTTGATCTTGATTTTCCTAGTTTCCTCAGGTTGAACGTCCACCACAGCGGACCGCACTTCTGGAGGTTTGGATGACTAATGATGACGGGGCATGAACACGATTCTGGGGATACGGGAGATACTCACCTCTTCTCCGTTTTTATTGAATTTGCGACGTCCTTGGGGTTTGACACCGGATGAAATTCCATTTTTTTCCTCCGCAGCAGCACGGGGCGTTTCAGAAACAGAAGGAAAGAGGAAAGGCATATATGATCTCTCATATAGATCGTCATTTCTGTCGCAAAGGTTCGCTGAAGCCATAAGGACACAAAATTAAACTACGCGCAACTCACGAATCTGAGTTGGACCCTCCGTCTGCCAATCCCCAAGCTTTACGAATATCAGGCGCCACTTCCCATTCGGCATCATCTTTAACGTGCGCTTTCTCGAGCTCGACACTGGACAACTGTTGTGCTCTCCGAGCATTTTGCATAAAACGCAGATTTAAAGTCCCCGTGCTAAGCGTTTTCTCGACCATGGTGGTTTTGTTGCAAAGTGGTTGGTTTTGGGTACACTTGGCGTTCCTTGAGAAAATCTTACGTAAGTGAGAGAAGCTGGCCTGAAGGATCGCACTTTGATGCAACTCAATGTTGTTCCCCTCAAACTTAGAACTTCGAAGCCTTGCCAGCGAACGGCAGAAGTCAGGATCCCAGTGGAATTGAGAATGACATCGGTACATCGGCACCCCGGACCCTGGACGGTCGATCTTGAACCTTAGGACTAGTACTACCTTGTGAGCCTGCTGAGAAGGAAAAGGGAAGGTGCCAGTGAAGATAAGTGACGCATGATGGAGAAGCTAGAACGAGGCTTGGGAGATATTGAAACTCATGGTATACTTTAACTCTCGGTCGCTGATTAAGGAAGCTATTAATGATGAAGCCTGACTTGATGGTATGATTGGACTCTCGCGTTCATTTGGATGAAACCCCCTGCTGAGCCGCGTTATAGGCTTTTGTACTCCACAGATAACAAGCTATTCCCCCTATGCCCAGGCAGTAGGAAAAGGGAAACACCCAAGAAGCCGAAAACAACCTGAGCGCTAACGGACTTTGTGTAGGGCACCCTGGCGCAGATTGGATTCCAAGTGCGTTCGCGTCTCAGTGGATATCCCATTTTGGACGTTGTCCCTTGGTTTTCGTAGCGCCAGCTGTTGTTCCCACCTATGCAGGATGGGTATGTCGTTAAAAGCTAGCCGCGAACCCTGCTTACGAGTCCGGGTCCGCACCAAAGCCCATCGTCATGGTTGTGAACCCGATGATCGTGACATTCATTAAAGAACAGGCGAGGAGTAGAATGGGAGAGAACCCCCAAATGGATAGGTGCCTGCAGGAGCTGTGACGACGAACACGCAAGCGCTCCCGACGGCTTGCGAATAGAGCGTCAAGGAAGACAATCCTGGGAGCCGGATTGTTCAGCAACGGTTAATGGTCGTCTACGAACGTAAAGGGTAGCAGGGCTTCGGTATGTACGGTGAGATTATTATCGATTCGGCGACGTCAGAGGCCGCATTGAATTCTCATAGGTCCGGATAGGCAATAAAACCTGTTATGAGGCACGCAATGAACCGCCGATCAATGACCCAAAGATCTGGTTGGCACAGGCACCTTCATGGAGTGGACAACGGGTAGGTGTGTTGCGGGAGATATGCGATACGGACATGATACCTTTTGTGTAAGTCGGAGAGAGGAAATCTACATGTCGTGTTCAAACGAGTTAAGTCATGAAATAAATAAAATAAAGAGATTCCCAGCAGTCATAATATTCGCACGATCATTAGTGTAGGAGGACATTGTAAGTGGGCCATAACGACCTGGTTGTGGGACCGAATTGGGGTAATAAAAAATAAAAATTGAATGGTATGGGAGGTATAGGATAAGTATGGGGGAGAGCTGTGGGTTTCGTGGTATCGAAAAAGTGTCAAACCATTTCAGGTATAAAGTTACCAAAATGTGAACTCTTCGACGTTAGCCTAGGATATCATCAATCTAGATATAAAAATTTAATCAAGAGTATTACTACTTGACGTTCGCTTAACCCGGAATCAAATATTCAAAGTTTCGCTGGGATGGACTTGTTCCTTCCTATACATACTCGATCTCTTTTAGAGGTCGATCAATTACGGCCACTATTATCTCTTCGGTTCGTCAACCTATATAAGATCCTTCTTCTTCCATTTTCCCTTCATCTCATCGCAATCCTATCCACACAATGTCTTCTTTCCATCTTCGTCCTGTACCAGACCATTCTCCCTCCCCACCCTCAAGCGCCTCTACCACAACCGCAGGAGATCATAGTCCCCTTCACAAATCATCAGCAATTCATACATCACCACAATCAGGCGCACCAAGGAGACCTCTCTCTCCAAGTTCTTTGCGTGGTAAGCTCAATTTTAACATCCACTACTTCATCCTCTGATATCCATCAAGATGTGAACCTAACTCAGGATGGTAGTTCAACACCCAGAAAGTACCCAGCACCACCCACAGGTCATGAGCTCATGGCCCTTTTCCCTCCTGCACCACCAGCAAATTTCGCAGAAATGAGACCTGGCCCTACAAGTGGTTTCTTCCAACGTCAAGAGCGCGCATTCTTCGCTCAAGCCGGTAGAGAGATCGTCCGTGTTCGTGTAGAAATCGACGTACCCCAGCAAGATGATATCCATAACGGCACTAAATCTAGGGAGCCGCCACAAAGTGGCGTACCACGCTCGTGGCCACAGCTTCCGCCACACCCTCAGCATCATTCACCAATTGATTCCCCGATGGGTCCCTATCCCCATCATTCAAAGCAACCCCGGTCTTCCCGTTCAATGCCGACTTCCGCCCAACCACCATCCATGTTTCCCGTGGCACCTCACGGGCAACCACCTCAACCCCCTCTCAATCTCCACTCGTCATCACATCATAGTGGCGTCGGTTTACGTAGTCCACCTCATGATGTACATCCGGTTCCTGGGGCAAAAGTAGAAATACCTGCTACAGAGGATTACCGAGAAGATTCAGATGATGCCTGGCGGAGGCCAACACCTTATGCAGATCGCCGGCGAGCTGGGAAGCATACGAAGCGTATCGTCGTTCGAAATTGATGGGGTAAGAGATATCCATTCCAAGCCAATGCATCCATTTCAAGCCAACGTTTCAGTTGACAGAAGTGCCTTCGGTTGATCCGATGATATGGACTTTTGAATCTTGCGCCGACTGAACATCGTCCCACTATACCATAGTCACAACATACCGAGAGGTTATACGAAGTATAACGCTTCTATTATCGGCGATGATTTTTTTTCGCACAAACCCACGGTCTATCTGTCCTGTAATTATTTACGAGCCAAATCCGGCGCTTCCCGATGTCAAGTAGGCTTCTTACAGTGGGTATATACGCAGGTATGATACGCCTCGGTTTGGGATGATTGCCGGTAAGCATACACATACGTACACATATACATAATCGTAGCAGGTACCGGACAATGGTCAGAGATCCGGAGAACGCCCCCAACCGAAACGTTTCACACTTGGTGCCAAATATCCGACACTTCCCTCGGGGATCCGTTAGGAACAAAGGCCAAGGCCATGCCCATGACTTCTATTAATCTCGTCCGTTCAGATCTGATCTGGGACTTTACTAGAATGAGATCATGGCATCCTTGCTTTGGAAATGACACCTTTTTTTCTTTTTTATTTAACTTGAGATAGATATCCGTGGTTCCCGGTCCGGGATTCCGATCAAGCAAGTTTTGAGGACATAACTATGACTTGTCCAGGCCTCGCCGCCCATCACAACGCATCCATGCGACTTATCCCTTGCCTGACAAGGGAAGGAAGACAACAATAGAAATTTTCAATAATATGTGATTGAGATCCGCACGTGCCTGTATTCTTCTCACGATGTTCTTGAGAATATTCCGTGCAAGGGGATTTGACCCGTTCGAAACGGGATTGTGGGGGAACTTAATCCCTTCTGCCGCCCGTCATCGTCCGTGAAAATCCAACAAGGACCGAAATAAAACAGGCGAGGAACGTGCATTTTCATGTTCACGGTGCTTCGAGTGCTACACATGTTTCCCGTCGATCGATAGGGTGAGGGAATGGAAGGTGATGACACACACACACAAGTCATTCCGGTGTCAAATGACATTTTCAGGCTGAGCCCCAATGATTCATTTAATACTTATTTATGATCCGCCAAGATAGATGCATGTACATACATTACAATGAGATGGGATAAGCGCTGGGAATCAGCCACGAGGCGACTAAAGATAAGTGACATGGAACAACCAGGCGATATCATTTCACAAACGTCACCCTACTAGGTGAATCCGGGAGTTAGAATGGCTGTCATGAGGCAGCGTGATGCAATACATGTGCAGTAGGATCCTTAAGCTTGCTGGCACGCCGGTATCGATGCTGTGCAATGCGGGGAAAGAAATCAGTGACGTTTGCCCATTCTAGGGTACTTCTGCAGTTAGGAGGTAACGGAACTACTTCACCTACTTGACTGAATACGTCTCTTCCGCCCTAATTAATGACTCGACGGCCACCTTCACCCAAAAGGGAATTCTGCATCGTTCCCCGAGCTCCAACTCCGAGTCCTCATTCCATTCGTTCCATCAAATGGAAGGTATTCCCTGACTGCCAGCTGTAACCTTGGTCCCAATATGACCGTGTAGAGCACCGGCGTGATCGGCTACACCAGAACATTAAGAGAACGTTGACGCTCGCTATCATCCTATGGTACTAGTTGTACCGCGGCAAACGGGGCTACGAGGACCTTGGTACGACAAACCTGTCAACGTCGTGTCAAAGGGTAAATGAACTCAGCGGCCCGGCAAATCCCGCTTATCTCCAACCGCGAACAAACGAAATCGAATCTCCCGAGTGTTCTACCTACGGCACAATCGATAGTACCGCGATTACGCTTAAATTCTTGTTCCTCCTTGTATCGAATACCGGGTGTACAATGGTCAGTGTTTAACCATGCTGGATCAATTCAGATTACCATGATATAGCAGTGAATCTGATATCCGTTGACCTGTACAGTCTAAAGCGTCAAAGGATGCACTTGTTTCTGAATTCTGCTCGATCACTGGCGCATCGTGAGTCCGATCCAACAAATTGTTGCTGGTCGCGCCACTCCCGATGATATTGATGTTTCCCCTTTGTAGTCCGAAAGATGCCAGGCGATATCTTGACAAGCACCAGAGACGGCTTGACGCGGCCATTGATGCCTTTTTCCAAGAAGGCGGTGGCAGAACAACTAGTACTGCTGCTTCAACAAGCAAGTTGAACGCCCTCTTTGAGAAATACAAAGGCGAGTACCACACGCATATGCCAGCGGACTATCACTAAATACGATCCTCGTACAGATCCAACTGGGGATGAAATTTCAATAGACGGCACTATTCAGCTGTGTCAGGATCTCGAAACAGATCCAGAGGATGTTGTTCTGCTCGCAGTCGCTTACGAACTCAAATCTCCGAAAGTCGGGGAGTGGAACAAGAAAGGTTGGGTGGAGGGATGGTCACGACTTGGGTTAGTACGCCCACATTCATCTCCGCAGCGGGACGGCAACTGACGGCCGAGCTAATTTTACTATTGTGCAGTTGTGATACAGTTGACGGCATGAAGGATGCTCTGACGCGGCTGCGGGCAAAGCTGGGATCAGATACATCCTATTTCCATAAGGTGTACGATCACACGTTCACTTTTGCTCGGACGGAAGGACAACGGAGTCTAGGTAAGCATGAACCTTGCTGCTGAAACGTTGGAAAAAGTTAAGTTTTAAATTATCTTAGCGATCGACACGGCACTGGCATTTTGGAATCTATTACTTCCAACAGGTCTGACAGGCGGCGCGCTAAAACACGATTTGACAGGTGAAGATGTAGACATGGATGGGGAGAAAAGTTCCGGGTGGACAGATGAGCACACGCAATGGTGGTTCCAGTTCTTGACTGAGAAGGGAGGCAAGGGTGTGAGCAAAGATACGTGGATGATGGTGAGAGGTCAAGCCAAGGCCTATCTATGCCTCGACTGATCAATAAACAGCTGTTTGATTTTATCCGCTCGATTGATTCCCAATTTTTGACACATGATGCGGAGGGTGGGAATGCTGATTCCGTTCTTGAGTTTTTTAGTGCTGATATACGTATTCCGCAGCTGCATGGCCGTCGGCGATAGACGACTTCGTGGCTTGGGCGAGGTCAGTGGGAAAAGTGCCGACCCCAGAGGTAGCATGAAGTTGTTTCGTAAATTCAAGTAGAGTATCTTTCCCTGTGCAAAGTACACCATATATACCGATGGGAAAGAAAGGGGTGTACCGTTACATCGGTCCATTGACGCGCTTTGCAAAGAAAAAGACTCGTTACAAGCCGCGGAACTTGAGAATTTGATCGGCATCACGTAAGCCTCTCTTTTGACAGTAAAGATGGGAGGAAATTTGTTTGTTTGATCAACGAGAACCTTGGTGAGGCAGGTGTTATAACCACGGCGGCCATAACCTTTGAAGCATCCCTGAAAGAGTCAAATTATCGTTATCAGTACTATATATTCATGACTGACTCTATAGAGAGGCGTATGACGACCTCGAATCCACTTTCAGCAATCCAGAGGATATCAAGATAAGTACCGGATGCTGTGATACCAAATGTCTCTGCTAAACCATCCTGAATTGATTTCCTGAGTCTTAGAGCATCTGCACATGGTGGATTGATGGAAAGATGGATGTAGGAATGTTTTTTCAAGGATGGGTGGCGCGTCATGATATCTGCAGGCGTGTGTGTGCGTGCGTGTGCGACGTGTGCAATCCTGGCAGACTCTGATTGAGATGACGACAAAAAGAGTCTACTCAGGAACCGAATGTTAAATCTATAGATTACGTCATCCTGTATTCTTTCGTTCAACCACCAAGTCAGTGTGGGGCCAAACGTCCAAAGCCCCTCGGATCTCTTTCGATTCTACCCCATCGGTCCATCAATTCCTTGCCATGTCACCCTCGGACCGAACGTGTTGTGGCGTCGTAGAAGAGGCACGCTTGCGAGCGCACGACCGACGAACTCACAAGCCCCAACCCTGGATCGTTCGCAAGGTCGCCGTCGGCTTGACATTAGCTTTGATTGCATATACGTCCTATGTATATGTTGGTATATTCTGTAGGGACATGATTATAAAGAATCAGAGTGCATTGGGAAGTCCGACTGTCGGCAGTATGTACATCTTTACCTTTCTATCCCATCAGCGCTGAGTAAATCTTTTAGTTGTGTTTTTGGTAATTTTTTGTATCCTTCTCTTGATGGTTTTGTGGTCGTATTATGCGGTTGGTTGGCAGATCTCAATGGTACTGGCTTCCGTTAAATCTTTGTGTTTTCCTCAGGTCGTGACCACACCACCAGGGTATGCAGCAGATGTATGCAGTATTCAGTCCTTTCTTAAACATCTAAACCAACCCTACTTCTTCTCAAGTTTGTAGAAAAGTTCGAGCTCGAGCGGCCCGTGCGTGGGCAGCAGTCTACAACTTTCAGTGACACTCGTGGAATGTCTTACGAGCTTCTGTCCCCTCCCGTCGACGTATCTAATCATACCTCGGCGTTATCGAATTCGGGAAATACTGTGCCTGTGACGCTCCCCGTCGTTCCAGCAACGGCCACGCAAGACAAGGTTTATCATTCGACTCCACATCACCAGGGCACATCTACCCCTGACGAAGCACACATCACGAACGTACCCGCCGATACCGAATCCATGCGCGTCCCAGGTCCTGCACCACCCTCATCCCACGGCAGCTCCCACCACTCTAGCTCTAGCTCTGACGCGCCTCCACAATTGTTCTCGCGACAGCCATCGACGACGCCCGTCCTCGTCGCCCAGTATCGTCACTGCGGCAAAGACAAAATCATCAAGCCCCCTCGTACACACCATTGCCGAGCCTGCGGCACCGTAAGTGGAATGATCTATCCACGCCAACTCATTCTCACGTTTTGCATTTGCGGCCCTAGTGCGTTCTAAAGTATGATCATCACTGTCCATGTCAGCACGAGCTATTTTTTGTATTCGATATCTACTAATCGCATCTTCAGGGGTCGGGCATTGCGTCGGTGCTTTCAATCACAAGGTAACTTGACAGGACTGTCAGTTCTCCGTTGATCATTCACTGATATATTTCGCTTTGGTCCGGAAGTTTTTTGTTAATTTCGTGCAGTGGGCGTCGATACTTTCCTTTTGGATGTTTGCGACGATTTTAGGCTTCAATATCAAGTCACAGACGAGATCCCCGGCTCCCGCAATTAATCCACAACATATTGTTGCAGTGGCCCTGTCAGTCGTCGTCGGATCTTGTTGACATTTTGCTGACGTTTTCTTCTTTACAGAACAGCGCTCTTTGGCCTGTTTTGTTGTCTTATGTTTTTGACACAAGTGCAACTAATTATGTTGAATCAAACGACTGTAGAATCTCTTGCGTTCAGATCGATGCAGGAGCGTGAGCAGGATAATTTGGCGCGCATGCACCGTTGGTATGATTTTGGGTGCGTGACTGATCTGTTTTCCAGTTACCGTTTTGAACTTTTTTTGGTCAATTCGTGCTCACTCGATGATCGTGCACTCTGAACTGAATACTCAGAGCTAAGCAACGAACGCGACAACGTTGGGACAAGGAGTGGGGCAGGATCGGCAAGGAGGGGAACCTCTGGTGGCTGGGAAGTAGTCGCGCGAACTGGGAATGTGTAATGGGGAAGAACGTGTGGTGGTGGTTCTGTGAGTTTTTTAATCTTTTATCATGATATCTTTTCTCCGCCGCTCACAAGCGAGCGGTATGGGTTCTTTCAGTGCCAGTTGGACGTGGACTCGAGGATGGGCTGAGTTTTCCCACAAACCCACGATTTGACAACCAAGGGAGATGGAGAAGAAGGAGAGAGTGGCCTTCTGACCTACAATGATATACACCCATATATTTTCTTTTGTTTTTGCAGATTTACGCACGCACACACTATACATTATACCACAGTAGTAGAATTAGGCTTTGGGACGTTTTGGATATGCAAATTTTTGAATGTCCTGTATGCATACTTCTTGTTGTACAATACATGTGATTGCTCCCCTTTCTCGTCCTCCAACGAGTTCGCTAACCGCATCGTGAATAATCTCGACATGACGTATTACAATAGGAGAGGACACGGCCGTGTCCTCTCGTCTGGAAGTTAATTAGCCCTTCTCCCGAGGGATACGGTGTGGCTTTGTAAACACAACTAATAATTCGAGTCATATGATCAGTGATTAGGAAGATTTCAAAGTCATGGACACACCGACAGGTTGGTCTTTGCCAAGTGCATCAATGACCGTGATCATGATGCGACCGGGGACTCAAATTCGAGAATTGCATAGCACTCACCAGAATGGAGTTTAAGAGCAAAGGAATCCATTCTACTTACTGCAAGTCCAATACTCTGCCGGCACGCCGGCTACAGAGTCCACATTAACAATATGTCCTTATTTACAAATGAACCATACTTATGCCCGGTTGTCGTCACAGCATGCATCAATCGCAAGACAAAGTCTAAACGGCAGAACTCCGCCAATTACCAAGTGGTTTAGTGAAGGGCATGACACTTCTGCCTCTGCAGCTTGCATTCCACAAGATCTGGTCGGAGGCTTGGAACCTCGGTATAAGTGCCTCTCCGGTGAGGCGGTACCGACGGGGATGGAGTATGTACCATTCAAATTGAAGAGGCGCAATTGAACAGGTTCAAGAATGATTTCAATTTCAAGAGAGGGGAAAGGCCTTGCTTCGATAACATCATAGGGACCGACCGGGGTCCTGTTTCGGGCGGACCAAAACGATAGGACTCACGCGTCGAGCCTCCTTCTTCGTAACCTCCACACACAAGTTTACTCTTGTCGCTCGCGTCAGGTTTTTCTTCCTCTCAAACAACATACTTATATCTCATAATGTCTCCAACTGCCGATAATGGACGCTCTAGCCAAACGACGGCTCACAAGGTCGTGAAGCCGCATAATGGGAATGGTGTCCATGCCTCTAGCACGACCGATAACAAGGTGACTTCAGCAATGGTCATCAATATGGAGCATGAATACGGTGCTCACAAGTAAGCCCTTTCCGCCTTCCCTGACGAACGAGCGCCTTGCTCGATAGGTCGCGAGACCTACCTGGTCAAAATCACATTATTGTGACTTGTCGGCCCGAGCCGAAATCGATGATGGTTTTCATTCGTTCGAGCGCCACGAATCCATACTGATGTAACGCTTAATTCTTATAGTTATCATCCGTTACCAGTAGTATTTGAGTCCGCTAAAGGGGCAAAGTGAGGGACTTGTGCTATTCGGATTGGACGTTTTTAGCTCATTGCTGACTATAGGGTATGGGACCCAGAAGGCAATGAATACATCGACATGTTATCTGCATACTCGTAAGCGCTCCATTGCATTTCATGGGCCTTTTTAAATTCAAACAATCTTTATCAGGGCTGTTAACCAGGTTTGTCACCCGCAAAAGACGATGCATTGGGGGGGATGGGCTGACTGGGACGCGGTCAAATTTTTAGGGTCATTGTCACCCAAAGATAGTCGCTACTCTAGTAGAGCAAGCCCAGAAACTCACTCTGTCATCTCGTGCCTTCTACAATTCTGTCTTTGGGAGGTTCGCGCAGCAGATTACACAAATGTTCTCATATGAAAGTGTTCTTCCGATGAATACCGGTGCCGAGGCCGTCGAGACTGCTGTAAAGCTTGCTAGGAAGTGGGCATACCTAAAGAAGGGTGTGCCGGACGGGGAAGCTATTGTGCTTAGCGTTGCAGGAAATTTCCACGGAAGAACTCTGGGGGTCATTAGGTATGTTTTGGCGCTTAGGCGCCCTTGAGACCCGTTCTGGAGCTTAATTAATTCATAATTCGCGGCCAGTATGAGCACCGATCCGGAGAGCCGCGGCGGCTTCGGCCCCTACCTCGAGGGCGTCGGACCAACCTTCCAGGATAATGACCGAGAAAGGCTCATCCGCTTCGGAGAGATATCTGATCTCGAACGCGCTCTCGAACTTCATGGAACACACGTGGCAGCGTTTTTGGTGGAACCGATCCAAGGGGAGGCAGGGTGTGTTTTTCAACGAGTTCATTTTGAAGTTGTGTCTTAATCCATGACTTGCATCTAGAATTGTCGTGCCGCCCAGGGGTTATCTTGCAAAAGTTCGGGAACTCTGTACCAAGCACAATGTCCTCCTTATCTGCGACGAAATCCAAACGGTTTGTTTCCTTATATAGGTTTCATGAAAACACCAGTATGCTCATTGATGCTTTAGGGGTTGTGCAGGACGGGGAAGATGCTTGCCTGTGAGCACGACGGCATTCGGCCGGATATGGTCCTGCTTGGGAAGGCACTGTCAGGCGGAGGTGAGTTGGTCTTGGTATTGTTCCTAAAGGGTTTTCACACACCACCTGATGCTCCACAGTGTACCCCGTCTCGGCAGTTCTCGCGGATCGCGAGGTCATGTATTGCATTCAGCCTGGAGAACACGGCAGTACATACGGCGGGTGGGTCATCCCGACGGACGGTCCGCTCGTAAGCATATTAATGTCGTCATTTAGGAACCCCCTGGGATGTGCTGTCGCTATGACATCCCTGCGCGTCCTTGTAGACGAGAAGCTCGCCGATCGTGCGCAGAATCTCGGTGTCATATTTCGTGCGGGAATTCTGGCGTTCAATTCTCCTTTCGTCAAGGAAGTCCGGGGCAGAGGCCTTCTCAATGCTGTGGTGATCGATGAGGAGAAGAGCTGCAAGGGCCGCACTGCGTGGCAATTCTGCTTGCTACTGAAGAGCCGAGGGGTTCTTGCGAAACCTACTCATTGCAACATGTATGTAACTTGAAGTTCTCTTCTTCGATCTGCTGTAACTTTCTTCTTCGGTGCAGCGTTCGGTTTGCCCCTCCGTTGGTAATACTCGAGGAGGACCTTCGAAAGGCCATCGACATCATCGGGCGATGTCTTTCAGACCTTGACCAAGTGAGTACTTCTACCAGACAGTCAAGAAACTCGCTGTTAAATTTGCGTGATTTTAGCTCGACGACATCCCAGGAGAAGTCGAGAGTGAGAAGGGGTTTAAGGAGACCCTTGACAATTGATCGATGGCGTGATGTTGTCCGTATGACTGTCATTTCGGCTGGAAAGACGAGAGGTAATGCTGGCGTGGTACACTGTACATAGGTTTTCCTGCAAGCGCTTTCTTCGTTTCTTGTTCGGTCACTTCGCGTGAACAGGTTATAAGTATATGCTGCGGGGTTAAGGAACTCTGACCTTCAATTTCACCATGATGAGCTCTACTTCGTCCCGCGGGAATGTGAAGTGCGGTGACAACGACGTGCAATTGGCGGAGATCCGTACTCAGACGAGTCACACGAGCAGAACTGGCTCCGTGACGGCGTCAGCCCGTGCTCGAATGGCTAAAATGCATCATACGTTGGCAGTTGCGGCTGCAATACAAAGACGCTCAATCATACGTTGGCAGTTACGTATGGTGGCAATACAAGCACACTCATATGATGAGAAACATTGGTTCTTGACAAGAATATACGCAGGATCGTGTACATAGGGACCTTAATCGATCGCGAAGGTGGTGGACAGTATGTAGATAGATAGATTAGATAGATATGAGGCACCTCGTAGGGTCAACTTCTATGCAAACGAAGAAGTCAACCGAAAAAAATGCCCCCGGTACATAGACAGCCTCATTCTTCCCTAATATTAGCAACTCGACGCTCGATGGGAAAGTTCGAGCATCAAGTGTATAAGAAGGGATACATTTAGGATCCGGGATGACGTGCATGCAGTGGGCACACGACCTGCAAAAAAATTTGATTGAGCCACGATATGATGGATGTGCCACCTGACAGTTTGCCAAGGCTGAAAAGAGCTAGTTTGCTGGAGATCACAAGTTCTTCAGAGGTCATGAAAGGCACGGGACTCGGTGCGCAGACGCCGCAGAGGCATCCCGAGTGTTGATGGCAAGATTGAGCGACGGCGACTAGGAACTTCAGGAAAAGAAGAGAAAGGCACGTGCTTTTTTTACGTGTTCGTTTATGGGTTTCTCAAGGAACATCCTATAAAGAAAAATTACATAAATTCAAAATTTTGAAGTATGTAAATGCTCGCGGATTGTGAACTCGCGAAGCTGGCCTTAGCTTTCAAAAGACTTCCTTGCTTGTTATCGGTCTGCTACCGAAGACTATCTCAGCTTACTTTCTAAGTTCTTGTCGCTTGCTTGAATCCTTGAGATGGCGGCCCTCTTGAGTCCCCAAGGACTCCGCCAACGAAAGGTTTCCAACGACGGGTCAGGAAATCCAGCAGCAGCTCAAGATGAGTGTGGCCAGCCAGAGAAGACACGCCAAGCACGTGAGGAGGTGGTTTGGGGACAGACGCCAGACGGCGAAGGTGGGCGCTAGTGGAAAGCTTTTCCAATTTGCATTTGACAAAAATATGTTTCAGTGTTTAAGGTTCCCACCACGCACGATGTACTTACCGGGCTTTTCCATCCTCGCTATCCAAAGAGTCATCTAGACATCATCAATCTTTCATTGCTTGGATTGCAACTTGTTCTGTTCTATATATTGCCGCGTCCAGCGGTCAAGGTCTTCTTTCTGTTCTATTTTGTGTTCTGGAGGGCAGCCTATGATGCTGGGTTGGGTTGGGTCCTCACGAAACAGAGTAAGAGAAAGTGGATGGTTCGCGAAATTCAACGACTTGGATGGCTCGATGAGAAGCGTAACCCGGCTGCTAGAAATTGGATTCGTGCTCAGCTACAAGGGAAAATGGGAAAGGACTATTCGTTTGATGTGAGCAGCCTGCTGATAACAACCAATCCATCGCTTACAGTTATCTCTAATCGATCAGGAGCTTCCATTGGAATACAACACATGGCTGTTATTTAGACAACTTGTAGACGTGATCCTTCTCAAGTCAGCTCTATCAAGTGCATTGATGTTCGGTGACTGACATGGTTGCATATCAGTGACTTCTTGGCGTACTGTATGTTTGCCTTTGCGTGCTTTAGAGTGCCCGAAGGACTTTCCTTTCCCGTCCACGCCATGAGGTGAGTATTTCTCCTCCAAGCATCAAATAATTTACTTATCGCTGCGTAGATGGATTGGTGGTGTCGTGTTGATCGTATTCAACCTTTGGGTAAAAACCGAGGCGCACAATGTTGTCAAGGATTATGGTTGGTACTGGGGTGACGTGTTTTTCCAGCGCGGCGCGCTTGTATTTGACGGTGTCTTCGAGTTGGCTCCTCACCCAATGTACTCCGTCGGTAAGTCGTGTTGCCTGCTCTTGTTAACGATTGTAAATCAACCACTCAGGTTACGCTGGATACTACGGTCTTTCCCTGATGGTCGGAAGCTATCCTGTTCTTTATGTCAGCCTGGCAGCTCATGCAGCTCAATTCGCATTCTTGGTCCTTTTCGAAAACCCTCGTAAGTAATCTCCAACTTGTGACTTGCTGTTTCCTGATCAGTGTGGTAGACATCGAACGGATGTATGGAAAACGCAAGCCTATCGCGCTGCGTAAGCCTGTGTTTGCGCCTGAATGCAAGAAGAGTCAGAAAACGAACGGTTCCCGCACTCTCCTATCATCCACTGAGGACAATACAGATCAGTTGTCCACACCCGCTGCCACTGAAGGCGAGAGTGCCACGGATACTGAGTCTGATACGGAATGCGAAAGCAAGACTTCGGGCATCCGTCGGTCCTACCCCACGCAACCCATAGTTTTGGAGAGCACTCTCTCTCAACATGACCTGCATCACAAGTATTTCAGGCAAGACGTGGTTATTTTTCACAACATTGATCTGCTCCGGCAAGTGCGCGCCTTAGTGGGCAAATTCTTAACCTGACCTCCTTTCAGTTCTTCAGATGCCATGCTTGCCCTTCTATTGGTCTATGTCGTAGTGGGATCGTCCCTGCCTGTGCTGTCGTATAATGCGGCGCTCGCGTTACACTTCGCACACGCTTGTGCCTGGTGCAGCTTCCACAGCTTTGGTCTTGGACTTCTCCTTCGTGCCCAGGGCAAATCGAAATTCCTCGTCCGACACTTCTTAAAGCACTACCACTATCCGTCTTCTGATCATGGTGAGGGTGCATTACAGGAAGCATTTACCAACTGGAAGGCTTTGTGCAACCTTAGCTTGTGCATGACGTATAGTAGGTGCTCGAGGTTCATGCGTGACAAGTTGCTGATCGGCGAATGGCATGCCAGCTTCACTGACGGGTTTGGCGTGGAAAGCATATACAGCGCCCGTTGCCTGGTTTGAGGGTGATGCCCTTCTCTGCCACACTTTAGGAGCGGTTCGTATTTCTGCTTATTCTGTTCCGCGCGCTCTAATTTCTTTCAGCTCCTGATCGCGCTCCATGGATGGGCAGCTATGGAGGCGTTCGAAGTATTGGGTGTTTTCGGTGTGTCTACTGTCAACGTTTTTAATTGTTTTATGTACTAACACAATTTTGAATGCAAGGTTGGTTCTACGGTGACTTTTTCATGGAGGATTTCCCAGCGCATCTGGAGTACACTGGTATCTTCAGGTATGACTGGGTGAGATGGCTCGCATCCAACATCTGTTCATTGCATTCCTCCTAGGTATCTTAATAACCCCGAACTCATGAGTGGTGCCTCCTTTCTGGGGCTCGCCCTAATCAGCGGCAGCAAGCTTGTTGGCGTGCTTGTAGTCATCAGGTTTGTGTCCCACTGGTGGTTCCTGCAGACCGTTGAAACGTGAGTGTCGATTGAAATATCAACGCTCTACAGCAAACTGACTATCGGTCATATCGCAACAGTCCCCACATGCGGAAATTATACGGTGACAGTCTTCGCAAAGATGCCGGCTTTGTGAAAGTTATCAAAAACGTCGCCAGCAAGAACGCTCGGCTTTTGGAGTCGCGTGCGGGCCGGCATGGACCCGAGATCAGGAGGGTTGCGAAAGAAGTCAAAGGCACTTTCGACAAGGTTTTTGAAGAAACTGCTGACGTGGTAGAAGAATTCCTTGCCAAATGTAAGTGCGAGTAATCAGGTGTGACGTCACACGGTACTCATGATTTTATTGCAGCGAGACCCAAGATATCGGAGGTGATGCAGGAGACCAAGGTTCTTCTCCAACAATCACGGGAAAAACTGGTTATCACGTCAGTAGGAAGTTCTCAAAATATTAACTGTCTTATAACATTCTGTGGTTTCAGTCGCGTCGCCCGTGACCTATCATCGTATGACACAACGAAATACAAGATCTCGATTGTCCCTAGTCAATCTGGCGACAAGCGCTTCCATATAGGCGAGTCCATCAAGGTCAACTGGCAAGCTCCTGCCCGGCACTCTCGTCGTGACTGGATCGGATTATATAAAGTGTGTGGGTTTTGTCTTCTGAGGATCTCACTTATGCTGAATTCCCGTAGGTCGGTGCCAACAAGTCTACGTTGGTAACGAAGATATCGTCCGTCGGGTTGTGGGTTCCCGTTCATGACGAAGAATGGAATCAAGACACGCCTGTCGATGACACCAACTGCGTTACCACTCGGGGAAAGGAGCCAGAGCTTGGTACCGTCTCTTTTGAAGGTTCCACGCTTCCATGGACCATTGGTCAATATGAGGTGACGGTCTGCATTGTCATTATGCCACATCAACTTACATTGAACCAAGGTCCGTTACCATCACGATGGCAAATACAATGTGTTAAGTCTTGACGGACCGTGCGATGTGTATGGTATGTGTCCGATATCCGGCCAAATACATTCTTGTATCTGAACGACATCGTTTTCGCAGTGAGCAAACCGTCGTCGCTCGATCTTACCTCCGTTCGGGAGTGCTTGGCTCGCATCGTCCCTCTCTGCCTGGACTCTGATCCCGACCTGATTCCTCTCTCTTGCGGAGGCACTCGGGAATCTGCTGACGCAGACTCTGCTGTTGCTCGTGATGCGGACGATTTCAGCTTCTGGTCTGAGCGGCAGGCCAAACGTATATGCTCTGTCATTAAGCAAGCATTCGGGGTCGAATATATGCCAGAAGTGGTGATGGCTGATGCTAATTTGACTGCGCTTGCCAATCGGATATTGGTCTCAAAGCAAATGCTGGTTCTGTAGCCCTTGATTCATCACATTTTTTCATTCTCTCAGTCTGGATTACATACCCATGCATCATGATGTCTTTCTTTACGTAACGACTGGTTTATTGCAATGTGACTCGCCTGATATTTGCCCTCACCAACACTCCTCAACCAGTCCACCAAAACTGCCAGAATCATTCATTATCTTTCTTAGCTTTCATTGTCATGGCAAGGAAGACGGATTATTATCTCTCTCAGTGCGCTGTTGCTGCTGGCAAGGCAAGTTCACCAATTCACAAGTTTTATCGAAGATATTGATGTTTTCAACAGTCATCCATGACATACCATCTTGGCGCAGTACTCGTAAAAGGAGGCAAAGTCATGTCAACGGGTTATAATCATCATCGCACGCACTATGACGGAAACGACATTCTGAAACACGGTCATCGCAAGCCCACTTCCATGCACGCGGAAATGCATGCCATCTTCAGCTTGACTGGCATGTCTCCTTCATTCAAACAGCAAGTTCAACTCTCGCTCCTACGTACCGCCGCAGCCAAAAGAAGGCCGCGGTTTGAAACACGTCCCACACAAGCTGGACGCAATGCGCTCACACAGCAGCGCGTTTTATGAGACTAAAGCGCAGTCTTCCCTTCCGAGCCCCGACTCTTGTTGCGTGATTGATGACGATTTGTCCCCGCCTTGCGACATGCTGTTTGTAGAGCCACCAAGAGGGTGGGATGCACGTCGCAGGGACTCAAGGGTAAATGGTGCAGATATCTACGTTGCGCGCGTCATAAAAAATGGCTTGGGCGCCGCAAAACCTTGTTGGCGATGCGTACACTGGTGTTGGTGGTTTGGTGTGAGGAGAATATTTCATTGGAATCCTGCCATCGGAGATTTCGAAGTGTTGAAGGTGAATGGAGGTTATAAGGATCACTACGAGACACAAACCGATGTACGACTTTTCGCGCGTTTGGTGAGTCCTGGTTTACGGTTTGGTGCGGTGCTAACTCGTTCGATAGAAACTACTGAATGGATAATGGAACTATTCCCTTGCGTGTGTGGTTATGGAGCGTTTGTTGACTGGCGTGCTACAGGCTCATGCCTTGCGCACTCCCTACAGCTGCTCGCTGTGTCACTTCTTTGCTACTGACGCTGCGAGTTACTGATATGGGGAAGAACAAACTATGCATAAAATTCGGCCCGGTCGTCGATTGTTGGATCATGACCTCTGCGGTTTACTGCATGTTGTACATCTTTTACTTTCTATGATGCTCCAAACGCCACTTGAATAACTTGCGCAACGGAGTGCGCAATACAACATATTGAAGTGCGCAATACAGTGTGCGAAACAGTCTATCATAAATTTGTCTTTGGGGAAATTTCATGTAGTTTGCTGATGCATGGTGATATTCTTCCAGCTGCGATCCCTTCATACTCTGCTGAAGTTGCCACCCCTCATAGAAGTCAAGTGGTCGATCCTTCTTTTCCCCAGGCAATCAAAGACTTGGTCGGTCTTGACTCTTCAGCGTTTTCGATATTATTTATTTTCTTTGCTTTGTAACTAAGTGCGGTACATATTACTAATTAATCATTTCTTCGTTACCCTTTGACTTTGGTGAACCCAGGTAAGATCTAGGTACTAGGGGCCAACTCCTTGGCTGCCAGTGTGCGCCATGGAATTGGCTTCCAGGATCGAGTGTTGTCAGGGGCGCACCTGCAACAGAACTTTGCTGGCAGTACTAAAGCCTGCCACCCGCTTCCACTGAGCATATTTAGCTACTCCAGGGCTAATCTATGAAAGACTACTAGGCCCATGTCCAGTGTGGTAAGTTTGTAACGTGTAACCTGCAGTGCAGTTATTCTTGATTTCTTCTCATTGTTACTCCACAGCTCCACAGCTCTCAAGCACGTATACAAGTGTCTGCTCGCAATTGTGCACTGAGCAATCGTGCATGGTGTATGATGCATAGAACCGTGGGCATCATGCGTCATGGACGGGCTTGTTTGAGCAAAAAATTCTTCGGCTAACTGAATGATTTTGTGTCGCATCAACCTTGATCATTAATGTTCTCGGCGCCCGCGCTAACTTGGGCCTTCGTGGAAGAGTATTGTGTCCGTCTTCACAGGCACGCCATTGTAAGACATGCCCTCCTTTCACCGCGTTTAGTGCTCCTTGTCTTTTGCACCTAGCATAGTGCCACAGAACCTGAGGCCGTAAGCATGCACCTCTCGCTTCCGGCCTTGGCCTTTGTTCTTGCTTTGCTGTCCCTCGAGATCGCGGCCAGCGTTGTATACCTGCCAGAGCCAGTGTGAGTTCGTGTGGTAATAACAACGGATCATCATCTCAAATTCACGTTAGAATTATGCTCGCATCCAATAACAACGGCGATGCAAACGGATCACCAGCGCCACGACATTGACATCGACCACGTCTAGCAATAACAAACATCAACCCAGTACGACCTCTACCTCTAATACTCACACCAGTTCTAGTTCTACCTCTATTGCTCAGTCCAGTTCCACCTCTACTACTACCCAGTCCACGTCCACCCAGTCCACATCTACCTTTACAACTTCAGGCACGCTTACTAGTAGCTCCAGCTCAGGTTATGCAAGCACCATTAGCACCAGTTCCTCAAGCTCAGCCCAGAACAACGCATATGGCTCGACTTCAACTGCCAGCCAAGGGCTTAGCACTGCCGGGCGAACCGGTCTAGCATTTGGGATAAGTGAGTTGATCTTATCTGAGCCTTTCCCTCCATAATATTGAACCGATTTCAGTGTTTTTCTTGATATTATCCGCAATGCTGGTTTGCTACTTGAGGAGACGATCTCGTATCGCTCGGCAGAAAACTAGTGATGGGCCTGCCCTTTTGTCGTCGGAAGTTAGTCAATACCGTCCACCCGCTCCTGGTGCGTCTCCCGAGGGTGAACTTCTGGCTCCACCTCTACCGCGGCTGCATCCTGCGTACCTGAATCCGTCCGATATCTCGCGCTCCCCGCGCCATTCAGCCAACTCAAGCATCGCCCCCTTGCTCGAGAATGATTCGAGTCGAATTCCACACCCTGCATCTGCTTGGAATCGCTACAGCACATCACCGCAGGCAACAAGCATTCAACCGATAAGTAGGGAAGAAGTGCCTAGTCTCCCGAATCCCTACGACCTATTTTCAGCACCTGCACGCTCTGCATCGTATGCGTCTTCCACGCCACATGCAAATATTCATAATACTTCAATTCTCTCCAGTGCTGCAACAACGAGCACGTTTGCCGCGCCAGCCAGTGGCTCAAGCACCTCCAGGGAGCCCCGGTCTGAGTCCTCGCTCTCACCGCTTCACGCAAATATGGTTCGACACCAGAAGCAGCTCGAGCTCGAGCACGATAAACGTCTTGAAGCTAAAGAAGGACTGCAGGATCCTCCACCAGAATATTCTTCTTGAGTACATATGCGTCACGAACTATACTGCGATAACTCAGTTCTCACTTTTTGGACTATTTGTCTTATACCTATTTTTTTCTCTATACCAATCCCCTGGTGGTAATTATCATCGATCATGAGGTACTTTTATATTGACGTTTTTTGTCACATTCTCCACCTCCATTCTCTATGTTCATTCCCGTACATTCATGACGATATCGTTTTGCTGCGTTGTGATACCGATGCCCATAAGCTCACGAAGGATGCTGCCAAAATCCGTCGTGTCAAAGAGCTGTGATATTACGCCTGACATCCATTTCACAGTCAGGCAGACATCTCGATAAAGTGGCAGATATTATGAGCCAAGTAGTGTACAAGGGAGTGAGACTTATGACTTGAGGAGCTCGACAGAATCTCCATTTCGGCCTTTCTTCGGGTGTGGAGCATCCGCGTGAGCTCTTTCCTGTGGGCACATCCAGCTTTGAGTTGCAGTGTGAGAGATACACCTGCCTCCACTTCGTGGGCACACGTCAGTGGGGCGACTGAGTACCGTGAGCGCCTACATAGCGTGATAGGGTGGTTGGACTCACGACGGGCAACAAAACCCATCTTACCTTCTTCTCGTCGTGTCGCGTGATCGGGATCAGTGCGTCCAAATCGATTTCAAGGCTATGAGAATGGGCTACTTCAGTACGGACGGGGGCTAGAAAACCATCAGTGCCTACTCTGAAATTTCAGATGCTCAGATGCCAAGCCATTCGATTCGGTTTGCTGCGAGCTATTTATTCTCATGTCGTAGTGTCAAGTAGGATGAAAGAAGTCCTAACGGTGGGATTGTGTGAGATCCGCGTGCCAGAACGTCAAGCCACCATCATTCAATGACAACACCAACCAGATAGGATGATTTCCGTGGGTCTAGACAGACATCGATGTAGGTCAGACGGTGAAGCATGATGCCAGACTATTGTCTGCAGTTATATCTTCATCTCATCGGTAACCAAGTGAGAACCCACGTTGCTCGGGGAACGATCAGCTGGAAAGAATAACAAAATAGAAGAAAGACAGACTTGTCCGTCCATCGATAAGGGCGCTGATCATATCGCCAGTGTAAGTTGGTGATGGCCTTAAAGAGAACTGTCCGATTCAGGGTCAAAGCGCCAAGAGCTGGGTCGGGAAATGCCGATTCTGCTTGCACGAAGACCTTCGTCACTTCCATCTGAAGGTACATAGCATCAACTATCAGATCGTTGGCCCAATTACGCTCTTCATGTAAATAACCCCAGATAGTTATGCACCGCACTTTTTACTAAATCGTCCTCAACTTCACAGCATGGCTGCAAGCAACAATGAGGAGACAGCGCAGTATGTCCATACTTCCTCCCTCCCGTACTTGCGGTCTCCTCTGCCTTCCATGCCTTCCAAATCCCCGCCTCCATCCGTGAATGACAAGAAAAGCACACAAGTCAAGGACAAACAAACTATCGGGACATCTGTTTCGTTGGTAGCGGAGCTATGCGGGGACACGCTCCAGCTCGACGCTCATGGGCCTCTTCCACCTGCCACAGGACTACCGCCTGCTCTGGAATCTGTCCAATTTACTACAACTGAACATTCGCCAGGTGCCGTGCCGTCTGGAACGGACATTACCATCCAACTCCAGACTGAGCTGGTAGCTACCGCCAACGAACTGTACCGCAAGGATATTGAGGTTCACGGTGAAAGACGCACAGGGAAGGCTCCTGAGCGGATTTCAGTGGTGCCACTACCGCCGTTTTCAAAGCGCTTCCCTAAGGCAAATACACAAGAGTTGACAGATGAGGATTATTGGTCTTCGTTTCCGCCGCACATAAAAAATTTTGTACGCAGTACTGCTCTTAGTCTGATGCGAGGCTTGTTGACCCGCACAAAGGCGCAAAAAATGTACAATATTGCGCAACAGATGGTACAGTCCGACGCCGTGCTGAAGACTGGATTCAGCGCGACTGAAGCTACCACGATAACCGCGAGGGCCAGCAAAGATGCTCCAGGGTGCCCCCCAGGAGCGTATCCATCGCTACCTTTTGACCCCTCAATATTTTCCGATCCCGAGTTCACGTTATCGGTAGACCGAGCAACAGCTGCTCTGGGGACTGCTCTACCATCACCTGGCCAATCGCACCGTGGGCCTCCTGAGTTCGGTCAAGAGGATTTTATCGAGGATGACTATAGCGAAGATGCTGTAGACGGCGACGTTGAGGATCAAGACCTCAATGAGAACGATTCTGATCTGCAGCCACATTCAACATCAGTTCCGCACGCGCCGCATTTCCATGGATCGCTGCCTGCTACCTTTGCTCAGGTAGTTCTGAGCTACGAGGAAACGGTTTTGCGAAGTGGACCGCTATCGACTGACTTCAGAACTAAGTTATCAATGCCTGCTATGCCAATGCTAGCAGCGCCTGTTGAGGAATTGGTATTTCATAAGAAAAACAAGAAAGTTTCATCTATGAAAATGCCGGCGGTTAGCGCCGAAAGTCCGGTGCTGTCGGGACAGGGAGTGGGAACGGCAGGCACGGCACCGGGATCGGCGCTGGAAAAGGGTAGTGGAGGGACCGGTGGAGAATTGAGGAAGCGCTCACTGCCTCTCACCGCCAACGCCATGCCTGCAGCACGAGCAGCGACAAAAGAAAATATATCTTCCAATCCACCACCGAGCTCCCGTGCACAGGGAAAACAGCCTATGTCGTATGCACCGCCTACAACAACAGCCACGACGACGACGACGACCCCAACAACGGCCACGGCCACCGTCAATGGCCAGCAACCAGCAAGAACGGCTCGTGCGGCATCAAAGGCGCCGATTCCTGCTCATGCCTACCAGCACAATCATTCTCATCACCATCCATCGCCCCCATCATCCAATGCATCCGTGCCACAGAAACATCGCCCTCCGGCAACCGCTGCTCCAGGCAAATCTTCTCAGAACAACTCCAAGATCTGGAGCACTAGCTCTACAGAAGAGCGCGAACGTATCAAAGAGTTCTGGCTTGGTCTGGGCGAGGACGAGCGTCGCAATTTGGTCAAGATCGAGAAGGATACCGTTCTCCGGAAGATGAAAGAGCAGCAGAAGCACAGTTGCAGTTGTGCAGTCTGCGGGAGGAAGCGGTCCGTACCCATTTCTTGATCTCACCCATGAAAATTTTTTACTGACCTGCGCGCTTGTCTTTGCGTGTTGTTCTTTCATCGGTGTTGGACATCTGGCGTCCGTGCGCATGTATCATCGATGCCTATAGACATGCAATCGAGGAAGAGCTTGAGGTACTGTACGATGCTTATTACGAGGAGCTAGAACAGTACGCGAACTACCAGCAGCGCTATGTCTCCTCTGGTGGCACCATACCCCCTCCCCCTGGGCCAGGTCCGTTTCCCGGCAGCGTCGAACTCGATAAGAATGGCGCTGTCATCGGTCATCCCCAGAACAAAGTCTCTCATAATCCTCCGCCATCTAATAGAACACCAGCCCTGACGAACGGCCGAAAACCTCCGAAGCATGAAAGTGAGTTCGATGACGATGATGGAGATGAGGACGAATATGAGGAGGAGGAAGAAGAAGAGTATGAAGAAGACGAGGAAGAGGAGGAGGAGGATGAAGATCCGGAAGAGGAGGAAGAAGAAGTGAAACCGCGAGATCGACGTAATCCCGCCGTTCGCGGACGAAGGCCTGTGAATAACACGAAGGTTAATGGTCGTGACGGTCTGTTCAATCTTGGGAGTAGCTTGACTGTAACTGGTAAGTTCACTTTCCAATTTGTGCATCGTCTCCTGACCTCTCCTTTGTAGGTCCGGGTAACATTCTGACAGTTGCAGATGATCTCCTAAAGAATGATGGGCAAAAATTCTTAGAGATGATGGAGCAGCTCGCTGAGCGTCGAATGCAGCGAGAAGAGGAAGCGGCGGCTGATGTTGAAGACGAAAGTGATGAAGAGGACGATGAGGAAGGCGATGAGGATGATGATGACGAGGATGAAGAGGAAGAGGACGATGATGACGATGATGAGGAGGCGAGTTTCCTCTGCATTTACTTTTTCGATTGTTAACCTTGTTTAGGTGATGACCGAGGAGCAGAAGATGGAGGAGGGCAAGCGGATGTTCTCCATTTTTGCTGCTCGAATGTTTGAACAGCGTGTCCTCCAAGCCTTTCGAGAAAAAGTTGCGCAGGAACGTCAAATGCAGCTTCTACGTGAACTCGAAGACGAGGATAAGCTCACAAGGGAGCGAGAGGCGAAGAAACAAACTCAGAACCAGAAGAAGAAAGCTAAGAAAATGTGCGTTTCTGCGTTCATTTACTGCCTCATACTTAAAACAAAATGACTGTTCATGTAGACTTCAAAAACAAGCCCGCGACGAAGAACGAGCCGCCAAAGCTGCTGAGAAGGCTGCAGAGGAGGCCGCTGTAAAGGCTAAACAGGTAGCTCAAGAGGACGCGCAGCGGAAGAAACGCGAAGAAGAACGTGCTCGTCGTGAAGCTGTCCGGAAAGCTGCAGATGAGGAGAAACAGCGTAAGGAGGAGGAGCGTCGTAAACGCGTTGCAGAGGAAAAGGAGCGCGAAGCTGAGCGGGAACGTAAACGCAAGGAAAAGGAAGAGAAGGTAAAGCAGGAGCGCCGAGAGCGGGAAGAAAAGGAGCGCAAGGCCAAGGAGGAGAGGGATGCCAAGGCAGCTGCTGAAAAGGCTGCCCGAGATGCCGCCCGAAAGGAGCAACAAGAGAAGGAAGAACGCGAGAGGAAGCTTGCGAAGGAGAAGGAGGAAAAGGAGAAAGTGGAAAAGGAACGGCTTGCCCAGCAGCAACGAGCTGGCAAGATCACCCGTCCGCCAACTTCTCCTCGTCCCTCAGGCTCTGCGCAGCGCACTCAGAGCAACAACGGTTCTTCTAAGAAAATTCTCAATAAGCCCATCCCTGTTACGCCCACCCCGTCTGGAAGTACACCACGGCCGGCGCTGCAGCAGCCACAACAGCAGCCGCAGCGTCCTATATTGTCTAATTCTCAACCTGCAACTCCTGTCGCATCTTCCATGCAAAATCATTTCCCTCCGCCCATCACACCTCATTATCCTGTCGCTCCTGGCATGATGCCTCTACCTCCCGGTGCGTTGTCCCCACGTCTGCCATTTGCACAACCTCCACCTCCATTTGGACTATTTGGGCCAGGACCATCGATGCCACCGCCGCCAGGACCTCCTCCGAACCTCGCTCCATCTGCTCTTCCTCGCAATTTTGGCTCGCCTACACCTTTCGAATCAGGCTTTAGCCGTCCTCTGGTTCCTACAATACCCATTGGACCGCCTTCGAAGGTTTCGCAGAACCCTCTTGCTTCACCCACCATGCTAGCACCAGGGCATCCGAGGCGAACGTCTATACCAGACCCTGGGCCTGTCGCACGGCCTGTTTCTATTGCTCCAATAGCACCACCTGCACCTATTGCACTCCCTGCACCCATCGCGCCCCCCGCACCCATAGCAAGGCCAACGACAGGGGAGACATCTGGGTCAGGCTCAGGTTCTCCAAGCCATCGTTCTCCAAGTCCGAAGGGCATCCTTGGATCTTCTGCTCTATTAGCTGATGATGATGAGGTCGTTCCTCCGCCAGGGCGGCGCATCGCACCGGGTGCAGTGGGCCAGTCATGGGGTACCAATAATAGTCCACGGGCCGTCGTTGGAGATAACCGGCCTCCTTGGGGTGCGCCTGCGCCTCCAGGGTTTGGTTCTCCTCGTCCTCCAATCGGGCCTTCGTTGTGGGGGGGCGTGAACCCCACGTCTGATTGGCAGGCACCTACATTCTTTCCAAACTCTTTCGTGAACCATATTAACACATCTCCGCCCCCTCATACTGGTTAACTTGACTATCGCTGGCGGACAGCTAGTCTTTCATTTTGATTCCTCTTGATACGCTCCCTCGTGCTCTTTCTCTTTTGCTCTATTTGCATCGATGTATGCGATCAAACAAGCAGAAATACATTATAAAGATGTCAGATTTGGAGTGATCCGTCAAGTTACATAGTGCATAAGTGTTATAGCAACTTGCTCGACGCTGCCGGCGCGACTCTACTACGAATGAGCTTGATGACATACAGGGGAAGCGCGCTGACTGCTACGATGACTGCTAATTTCCATGCAAAACGAGTGGACACGACGAAATCGAGGTCTGCAAGCCAATGAATAAGTACTCCATGAGACTGATGACGATGAGAACACGCACCGAAATACTCCGGTAAGAAAGCGATGCTGATAACATAAAAGAAGAGCGTGACCACTTCCGAAATGACCATATAAATATGCCTGTTGCAAGTGATTAGAACTTGTCTTCCGGAAAATTAATGTGACTCTTACCAGGTTGTAATTTCTAGTGCAACCATGATAAGTTCATTTATGACCAAAGCCGTGAAAGAGATGGACACAATATTCAAGAATTCGGTTTCGAATAAGAGGAGGGACATGATCATGATGGCTGCGCCTGCAAGTTTGACAATCAGTCTGATGGGATTTGGGAATGGAGTGAAAGGACTGACCTTGGTATACGCTAATCATCAACCATTGGAAGAACGTCTTGAAGGATAGAGCACGTCCCTACACCCAACTGTCAGTAAGACATGAAATTATTCGCATAAGAACCAACCTTGGTCAGTTCCTTGTATAACTCCGGGTATATCAACGCAAGATCCTCGTTCACATCACGATCCAAAACCAGCGAAAAAACAGGCGCCATCGTATAAATCGTCGCATATCCTACCATCAACCACCCCTGGTATAGCGCAATCGGGGCAAAGTAGAAGATAGCGGAGAAGACGGCTTGCATGATCGAGATGATGAGGCCGCGGTGGATGACGAATTGAGCAAGTTTTGCAGACCGGCGGTATGAGTTGCGGCCGTGCCACATCAGGAGCTTGGTTAAGTAGCTGAATTGGGTGACGGAGAAGTCGGCAGCAAGGGATGCTTGTTTTCCTTCTTTTCCAACGATCCCAACACCTATGCGCATCAAGGATTTAGAATGCCGATTGCGGCCAGTGTTCGGGGGACTCACCAACGTCAGCAGCTTGTATCATGCTAACATCGTTACCACCATCTCCGATACAGCAGACCCGTTTCTTGGTGTAATGTCGAATCAATCGGGCTACATCTGCTTTCTGTGTGGGAGAGCAGCGACAAGCAACAACAGCCGACAACTTTGTTGTAATCTCAATGAATTCGTTCTTGTACAGGTTCAAACAGAGCTGAATGAACGAAATGAGCATAGGTATAGACAAATATCCAAGGAAAACAATACCTGTAATGACTCGCCATCAATGACCAGACAACAATCCAATTTCGACTGTAAGAACTCCAGCTCGTCCCGAACTTGATCAGAAGTTTTCACTACAAACACAAACATGAGCGAGGAACAGAACACAAACAAGAAAGCTCACACTTGGATACCTCATGAATATACTGATTCCGTGCCACCAACTTCGTCGAAATGGCAATGACCCGCGCCGTCTCGATCTTATCGCCCGTTAGCATCCAAATCTTGATTCCCCCCATTCCTGAGCAGCTCAAGTGTCCCTTTCACCTCATCCTGCAGCTTATCCTCAACACCTGTCAGGCCAAGCAGTTCCAGGTCGTGCTCTAAGTGGTCCGCAACAACAGAAGTCATTGCCTCGCTGCGTCCATCAAGCCGGATACTTGCAGCATGATGTGCAGTCTTAAATGCCGTATACTGCTGCGACGTCAGCCTTTTTCGCGCAACAACGAGCGTGCGCAAGCCCTCTCGCGCCATATTCCCTGTTTCCTCTTCAAGCCAGTCATTCCGCTGCACGATACGAGCCATGACGACATCCGCGCCCTTTTGCAGGAAAAGGACCTCGCCGCTGTGCGAGTCTCGCACGACGATGCCCATGCGTTTTGACTCGCTTGTGAAGGGGAATATGTCGAGGATGTCGTAGGTGATACGTGCACCGGTGGGGGTTTGGAGCTCCATGCGTGTGCGGTCGCGGAAGACGAGCGTGAGCCCGACGCTCTCTGTCCACTTGACGATTGCGACTTCATCTGGGGAGGAGGCTTGGTAGGTCAAGGTGCCATCGTCGTTGGTGACTGGAGTGACCTAGGTTTCGAGAGGTGAGCTGGAAAGCACGAGGGGGAGGAGAGGGGACATACATTGTGGCACAGTGCAAGACTGAGCACTACGTCTCGGAGCCTTGACGACATGTCCCTTCGTCCTCTCATGGCAAGTTGTGCACCTGTAGCTATGGAATTGCTTCTTGCGTGGACTGCATTTTATGACCATCAGTACTCGTAATAAAGAGTTGGGTTTTGTAATACGCGCCTTGATCAGCACCAAATGCGCTCGCGAGCTGGTGAGCAACTTCGTCCATGCTATCGAAACCGTAGGACATGGTTCCCATGTGCAACTTCTTCATCTCCATCTCTAGAATATCGATCAGCTATCCGCGTGCACTTATCAAGAGATGGAAAACAGAATGGGCAGAAGGGAGAAGAAGCGGCAAACAGGTTTTACGCACCATTTTGCGTAAGAGTCCCAGTTTTGTCGCTAAGAAGGTACTCTATGCGCCCCAGCTCCTCAGGGAGTGTGCTCGTGCGGACGATTGTGCCAGGGATCTCGGAGTCGTTCATTATCTGCTGTGCATAGACCGTCTTACCCATGTCAAGGTTTACACGCAAGCTACATTTACGGTGAGCATATCACATGAGAGAAGCGATAGAACGAGGGAGGGAAGAGAAAACACTGGATATATGCGCTCATTTCCAAAGAGGGGAACATACCTGATGGGGATGATAGACGAAAATAATATGAGGAAGCGGAACACATAGATATACCACTGTCCCCTGAACCCATTCAACGCAACGAGTCCCAGCGATAACGCGAACGTCACCGCGCAAAGAATCTGTACGTAGACCTGTCATCAACGTTCCCCTTGCCGCAAGTACGTACGTGCATACCTTGGCAAGTCTATTTATCTCCAGGTCCAGTAGGCCAACCTTGGTCTCAGGATGACTCGTGTTCATGACGGCGCGCGTCTCAGAGCCCGTATATACGATAAATCCGACAGCAGAACCCGCAGCTAAGACAGTATTGCTCCACAAGAGATTATCCGCAGACAGGGGCTCGACGGTTGGAACCTGTACCATGGGCACATCATCAACAGAGTGCGTACGGGGCGTGTGGATAGTAAATGTCCCGATGAAGGTGTGGATGTCCTTGATTGGAGCGTCGGCTGATGTCCGGTTGTCGAATAAACAATAAACATCTAGAGGTGAAGAGGGTAGGAGCACGCACCATAAACTTCCGCATCCAAATCTAGTAGCTCCCTGTCGTTGACAAGCTTCTGGGTAGCGGGAACAGCAATGCGAAGCTTCCAGTCCGTCTCTCCGTCAAGCTGGTCAGTTCGGATGAAGCACGTTCCAGAAGCATCGCTAGTGCGCAGAAGGACCATGTCTGCCGGTACGCGCTGGTTCTTCTCCAGCACGACGAGGTCGCCTACCTTGAGGGAAGATGAAGGGACAGAGCGTGTATGTGGACCGCTGTCAGAGGAGGGAACGAGGGTGAGGTATTTCTGGGAGTTTGCTTCGCGGTCGCGGAGATTGCGCTTGTAGTCATCGTAGGCCTCTTTGCCCATCGTGACGAACAATACGAATGCGAGGGGTGCGACATATGTAACAATAAATCCTAAGCGCGCGTGAGGGGAGCAGAGCCAGTATGAGAGGGATAAGCGTACCAATCTTGAGTGCTGGAACGAACTGAGAAAGGGCAACGAGAAGGAAGTAGAGATTGAAAAAGAATTTGAACTGTTCGTAGATGACGATAGGAAAGAAAGTGAATATGTTGTACTTCTGATTCCGTACGAGGTTGGGCGGAAACTTGGATTGTAATTTCTCTACAAAGTTGAGTCAATTGTTTCGTAGACATGTCTGGAGAAGGCGTACCTCTTGGTCTGAATGGTATTATCCTGGACTTGTCCTGCGTCCTTCTAGTACTTATAGTCGAAGAACGCTGTCCCGAAGTAAGACTTGTGGTGCTGCGCAGACAGATAGACAACTCACTCTGGACGGTCGTTTCGACTGTTCACTTGTACTTCCCTCTTCAACCTCTTCCAATGTACTCTCCCTGTTCCCCAGTAAAGTTGCCTCTTCATCAAATTCGTCTGCGTCTGTGTACCGTTCGCGTTGTTTGCCCTTTCCCTTGAAGTTTAAGTTTACACTACGTGCCGCAGCAGTTCTCAGAACGCCCGTGTGCATATCGGTATCCTGGGCGTCGTTCAGAGGAACGTACCCAGCTCGTGTTTTTCCTTTGCGTCCGAGAGAGTGCAACGGGATATCAGACATCAACGTCGACCCGAGGCCAGTACTTCCCACTCAAAAGTCCAGGCTTTAAACCAAATAGCAGGTGGGTCTGAATCGCTGATGTCGATGAAATGTGACGTCAAGGAAGCAATTGACAGGAAATTAGGGCGCAGGGCTGGAGTACTGCGCTTTTGTGTGAGATGGAGCACCGCTCTCAGATGAGCCAAGTCCAAGCTGTCGATAGCAACTTAAACAGTGGTAACGCGTGGCCTGAGCAACCATGTGTATGTACGTAGTCTAAGCACTTGCTTGTTCAAGTTCTAGAGCTTCTATGGTTCTCAGGGCCCCAGTCTGGACTCTGGAAACTTTCGCGGAAAACCGGCATCATATCCAAATGCAAAGTAAAGGATATTTTTCGCTAGCACATAATGTAAAGCGATGGTCTATCAATAGTATCATCTAGTTCAAAGGCCAACTTCATCGGCGAAAGGTAATGCCTGCACGCTCCCAATAGCAACAAACGTGGGCTTCGCTTTCGTGATCGCAGTGATAGACTAGATACGTGGCTCAACATCCTCCGTACAGAACAAAAAAAGAAAGTACACACCTTCGAGAATACAGCAGCATCAACCTTGTCTATCGACGCTAGCGTCGCTTCAATCGAAGGGTTCGAGTTTGCAAAGACCTGTAATCACAACGACGCCCTTAGAAATTTAACACCACCACCAAATATTAGGGACGCACCTTGGTGCTAAGAGCGCCAAAAATCCCATCACGACTATCTAGAGAGCTCGCAGCAGCGAACTTGGCTTTGGCCACAGCCGTTTTAAGTGCGTCACCCTTGAGGCCCGTCGACTCCTTCAGCGCCTTAGTAGCAACCTTGGCAGCCTCTTTCACACCTTCGGCGCTCGAGCCTTGAATAAGCAGACCGAAAAGTGTTGCATCCGAATAAGGCATAAGAACAGTTTGCACTGATGTCCCCTGCGGAATGGCAGCAGAAATAGGCGAGAGGCCCTGCGACCACTTGACGGATGGCTGAGGCGAGAGGTGCGCAGAAAGAATGGCTAGTGCAGGGTCCGCAGGGCCAGCAGCGCCAAAGCCAATGAACACGGTTTCAGGACCTCCATGCGACTCCACTCGCGTCTCACCACCAAAGTATGTCGATGGTTTCTCCACAACCATATCGCCCACAGATGCGCCTGCAAGCGCTTTCTCGACCAACTGTGTAAGCGCAGCTGAATCGATGCCGGTACCCAAAACAGCGATGTTGCCCTTGCTGAATGCACGAGCAGCAAATTCCTTGACATCATCGAGGGAGACATGACTGTGTGGGGACGCAAAGAGGGAGGAGCCGAGACCAGAACGGAATGCGAGCGAATGTGCGAGTTCGAGTGCGTGTGTTGCAGGGTTTTGCGAGGCAGCGGTACTCTCGGCTTCGACCACCGGGAGGACGTACTCCTGGAACTCATGTCGCTGGTACTTGCCAGACGTGAGGAAAGATGAGATGAGATCGACGAAGAATGACCTGTTAATATCACAGTCATGTCAGAATCGGCGCATAAAAATTGTGTATAAGGGAACGGACTCATCACCGCGCAGGAACTCAGAAGTGAGTGCCAAGTATTCGCGGGACAGACTTGCAGAGAGGACGCCGCCGTACAACTCGCTCTCTCTGACCGTGCCCAATGCGGACCTTTTGGCTGTGCTCTGCGAGGAGCTACTTCAGAGCGCGTATTCAGAAGGGGGACATAGCACGCACCTTGAAAGCAAAGTTTTTCAGCGTATGCGCGACACCAGGTTTAGGCTCGTATCGGCTGCCAGCCTTGACAAGGAAGGTGACAGCGGTTGTGGCTTGGCCATTGTCGACGGCTGCGACCTTGACCCCGGCATTGTCGACGACAGTGGCGAAGCTGCGCGCGAAGGCCGACGCTCTTCTTGCAAGCATTTGTAGAGAATGAGTGAGCTTTGGACGGAGCGGATAACTTTGGACTCAAGTTGCAGAGCGGAGTTGGCTCGTCAAACGCTAGATTCCGTATTTGTCCGAAATTTCGCTATGTCCGCACCAAAATCGGAAGGTCTTTAGGTTCGTCAGAGGTAAACTTTGTGAACTTGGTGCACATTGCACAACAATTGAAAATCACAAACACATCACATTGCATAACAACCTAAGAAAGCGTTCGACAACAGGTACGTAGGAAAGCACGAGCACGCTCGACATTCAAAGCACAACAAACAGGAAAGCAGCCGGGAGGGCAACCAAGAAAGCAGCCACCAGAAAGCACTTGAAGACAACAGTCACAAGAAAGCACAAGACAGCATTCACAGGCACAAAAAAGCACAAGACAGAATTCACAGGCACAAAAAAGCACAAGACAACATTTAGAAAACACTCAAGATCCCTCTACAACTTTCTCGCCCACGCGGTGTGATACACACCGACCAGGCCGCGGACGTGCTCTATGTCCCCAATGAACCCAGCGACAAGAACACTAATCGCGTGCTGGGTCATTCCTGCCTCACGGAGCATGGGCTTGAGACTGTCAGCGTAATCCTTCAACGCGATCAAGTACATCTTCCCGACACGCTTCATAACCGGGTCCGGGTGCCAATCACCAATGGGGATATGGAACGTCTGGATAGTTGGTATAGTGAACTTGCGAGACAGCTGAATGAAGCTAGGGATCCTGTCGGAAAGGGGGACCAAGTGGCGGAGCGCAAGAGAGTCGTTGACCACCTTGAAAAAGCTTCGCGCATGAGGCGCAAGGTCAACGGAAAACCCGTGGGCAAAGTCGATGTAGCGCCCAATCTCGCCTGAAAAGAAGAGACCTCCGGGACGGAGCAACCGAGCAACTTCTTGGAGGAGTTCGGGGTAATCGGTAACCTATTCATCACTCATGAATAAAAGCAATGTGGTAATCAATGAACAACGTACAGCTAGATCGATATTACGCGCATGAACAAAGTCCATGGCTCCATTGTTCCACCTGAAACGCTCGGTGATATCGTGAATCTCGAATTGCACATGACGCTCGGGGCGTCTAGTGGCAATCGGAACTGCGCGAAGGGTTAATTTGAAACTATTCATCTTACGCGGGCATAAGCAAGCTCACCGATATCAAGGCCATAGATCTTGACACGGGGAAATAATTTCGCCATATCCATTGGCCTGCAAAAAGGTTAGCGTAAGAGAAGCAACAGATCGAAAGTTGATAAATGAATCGCGCACCAGCGGCCTGTCCCCGTGCAAAGATCGAGGACACGTTTTTGCCTGCCGCGAACATCGCTAAGTACCTCAGTCACAGGACCAAGGTAGTGGAATTCGACGGTTTGGAGCAAGATTTCGTGAAGATTATTCAATCTCTAATGAAAAGTGAGCGATTTTAATTGTATGGATTACACTTCACCTACTGCTTGCTCCGGCCCGTCGACAGGCAATGGATACGGCAAGCTACCATGAGAATGGAAGAGCCTTCCGTCCCTCTCGAAAAAGTGGTCCGGAAAGTCGTATTCTTCAAGTTCAGTCACGTCTGACGACGCGTCAGACGCATCGTCTTCATCTGCACAGCGAAGGAATAAGTGAGAAAATGCCACCTGAGGTATTAACGTTGGACTGACCGTGTGGCATATTCTCAGTATACTCGAAAGTCATGAAACGGAGTGGCGCAGCGATGAAAAGACGACTGCGCGACAACTTGATTTGATGTGATAGTTGTTGGCAAGACGCCGAAATGGGACGCCGCCGCAATTCCTGAGTTTTATACCGATAGTAACTCAGCGAAACAGGGTAGAAGGCTAAACACGAGGTCAAAAACAAGCGGACCTATTGAGTTCAGTTGAGATGGGAATGATCCACAATAACAACGTGTCAGCGTCGGTAAAAGAGGAGTGTCAAAAGCTGTATTTGCGAGTTGTTCGGTGGGTTGAACTCAGGTTGAAGTCAGCGGCTGCCAGGAAGGGAAAAGAAGGTTGGCCGGTTGATGGGGAGTAGAAAGGCCACGCAGGCACGGTCGCTCGAGAGAGGAAGGCAAAAGACCGAAGAGCGGCATAGATGATGATAAGTACCAGCTGAGGAAAGATGGCAATTTTCGAGAGAGGAAAAGACGACAACAGTTACGTGATAGGCTGAATCGCCTCAGCTGACCATTACAACAGCAAAATGACAAGGAACTGACAGGAATAAATACCATCTTCGGAGTAGATCTTCAATTGCAACTGATACGGGCACAACAAAGGCGCCCTAGGCCCGTGTCGGACTAGGCTTTCATTACTGAATAGCTACCATTGAGCAAGTCAATGATACGCTTCTCAGATCTGTGTAAAAAAAGCTGCCCCATTAGTGGACGGCGCCTACTTCCTTGGCCTATTTTTTGGCAAGTCTAGCGTCGTTCAAATCGATGCCCAGGGTTACTTTAGCGCCGCATGGGAAGCGAATTCACCCGGATTCAGCTTCCTCGGCGTTCATGCCCTGGGGATATGTTGATGACACGGTTTTTTATCCTACGGTCATTACAACAAATCATCTTTTGGTGAGTCACAACATTCTTCTGGCAAGTTAAATGCTACTGACCGTGAGCACCCCCCGCAGGGATGATTTAGTTCGTGGGATTTGCCACCTCCCCGAGTTGCCTCATTGCAGCATACAGCACACCTGCCAGCAAGTGGTTCACGTTATATGCCGCTTTTTGCGCGCAATCTTTCTTGAAGACTCCTGCAAATCTTCCAACAGGAACAGTAGCCAGGGCGGTGAATTATCGCCTTAATGTTGTTATGTTTCGGGAGAAAGTTGCTGATTTTTGATTTACTTCCTCAGAATCATCCCCGCGACGCGAGAAACCGGTCACGTGCAAGTCCATGTGTGTGTGGACGTGCCTCCTATAAAAGACGCGTAGGAACGTCCACACCTGTCCGCATTGGTAGCGCACTTGTTGCCCTTTCCCTTCTGTCACGCGTTACCTTCCATCCCACCATATCATCACTATCAGAATTCACTATGGATGACATCAATTCATTTTTCGCTGAGCAAGAACAGCGCATGAACCTTCCTGATGAGGATGTGGATGAATACGTTCGGGCACGACTGGAAGATTTTCATAGGAACAGGTACGCCAGTCACGCGTCACTCAGTTGGCTCCCTTTTGGAAGTTCCCTGAGGTGGATAATTACAGAAGTCATGTTATCAATCGCGTTATCGACGCTCAAGGTCACCCGCGCAAAGTTGATGCGCGCTCTGGACCATTTCTCACTTTTGACATGGAAGAGATCACCCCAGAACAGCAGATATCTGACAAAGAATTGACCAGGCAGTGTGTCTCATTTACCTTCTCACGTAACTCTTACAAATATAAGTTCATCCATTCTACAGATTGAAGCGCAAGTCAGCAGAACCCGAACATCCAGCCCAGGGGAAGAAACCAAGGCTATACGAGATTCCCAACGTGACCACTTCAGGAGTAGCCGTTCAACCTTCTGTTTTCTCACGTCGTGACAATGCTGAACATGCCGCAAAGTACGTCGCGTTGACCCTTATCTCAATTTAGAATTAGTCTGATTGTCCCTCAACTAACCCATGTAAACACAGTGCTATAGCTTCAAATAAATCACGGAGCAAAGGCGCCAACCGAACTCCCCAACTTGCAGCCCACCAAAGGGGTGATAACCCAATCGAAACTACGTCGTCTTCTCTTGGCCCACATACTAACTGCGCGCCGGTCGATCCCTCGTCTACTTCGCGAATACAGAGCCACAACGATGAATCAAGCTCTGATGAACACGGGGCAGCTAAGTTGCCAGTAGTTGGATCTGTATCTCACATCACGAAGCCAACGGTTCACCACGAAGGCAATGGAGATACCAAAGATCATGATTTGCCGCCGGCGAGACCCATACCCCACCACTCCACTGCAAGGGCCCGCAAGTCAAGAGTTACTAAGTCGGTAGCTCGTGATGCCATCAATCAAAAGCCCACAAATGGCAGCAGTCCGGAAGCGCGCATGCCATGTTCGGAACATGATGAAGGAGCATCCACTGAGAACGAGAGGTTACAGTCCTTCGCGCCAGAACCTGGCATACCCAGTCCACAATCAGAGCTACTAGAACTCTCAGCCATGAGTACCAGCAATATCACGAGCCCCAGAAATTCTCCTCTTGGAGCATCACGCCGCTCGAGTACCTCGGTTTCATTGTCATCAGATACAGAAGGCATCGCATCATCAACTAGAGCGACAGTAGTCAAACCTTCAAAGGTCCGGAAGACTGTAAGCAGCTCAAGGAATAAGGCCGATATTTCAAAGCAAAACAAAGGCAAGAAAACCAAAGAAAAACCAGCGCTCGTCACGCCTCTCGAATATGCACAGAAGTTGCAATTGAATCTTGACTTGGCAAAGAAGCGCAAGACCGATTACCTCAAGGGCAAGAAAATTTTGTATGTCGGTGGGGACATGCAGTATGCCAGCGTCCAGACGCGCGGTCGCATGGACTATGTAAGTTTCCCATATTTTACTTTCCCTATCCAGGCAATATTTTCGCGATCTACTTTTTTACGCACCTTCATCTCCGCCTTTAATGCTGACATACATTACGGAACATCCACGTGCTGATCGTCATCCTTTATTCAATGTCGTTGAGCGGTACGTGTCTAACATTAAGATTTCAGATCATCAAACATGGTGGCACTTTGGTGCCATCATACGATCCTAGCACCGTGACTCACATCGTGACAGATGCGACAACTCGCCCGACACTGAAAGCCCTCGGGCTTAAATCATTGAAAGAGATCCCTGACCATATCCCAACTGTTACTTGGAGTTGGGTGATATCCGGGTATGGTCGTTCTGGCCACTACAAGGTCAAACGCGACGAGGAAGCACACACTATTACGAAAGGCAAGGCTAAGGCTACAGATGATGATGAAAGTCTTCTCGATTATGAGTTTTTACATGCGGCATTCCCTCAACGCATCGATGCCGGTAGAAGCTGGCAGAAGAGAGGACAGGGGAAATTGGCTCAAGCAAAAGGTGAAGTGAGCGCCTCTACGAACGATCTTGCTGGGGATTTCAGTCGCATTTCGTACGTCCATTCTCAGTTCCCCTTCAACCATGTGTTTATACGTTCATATTTTTTAGCTCCTTCACTGAAGATGAAGATCATCAAATCAAAAATCAACAGGGCCCAGCGCCCAAGCTAGTCATTCTTCCTCCTGCACCCCTGACCTTCGTTCCCACGGGAAAAGCTTCCAACACAGCCCATCATAATAATAACCAAAGCAACCACTTCCACAAGCCACAGTCTAACGCAGAAGATCCTCTTGCAGAGTTTTACGAGAAGGCCAAGGCAGACCGAGATCAAGATGTGAGTAATCATGTCAAACAATTTTTTTTACTCAATCCTTTTCAGAGAGGTCTTGGACAGAGCGAGTCAGACGAAAGCGATGATGAAGAAGAGTTTTTGAAACCAGCACAGGTTCCTCGGCGCGTGAGTGGCTATCTTCGAAATCTTGGAGCTAACCTCGAATGCTGGGTGCCTGAAGGGTTTCACATGCGACCGTAAGGAACCTCAGCAGCGCGAATGCGCAAATCAAGATATCATTGATAAGGTTCGCATGTGCATTTGAACGTTATCTGCAGCTGATAGAGCACGCGATCAGTTGGAAGAACTTATGGAGTTACACAAGGCAAAATTAGGCGATGAAGATCGTTGGCGAGTGTACAGCTACTCGAAATGTGCGCAATATCCATACATCGGAACCATCATTGCTGACTCTAGTAGGTATTCGTGCCTTGCGCAATTATCCCAAGAAAATCAAATCATTCAATGAGGCTCGGTCAATTAACGGCGTCGGTGAGAAGACCGCCCGGAAGGTGTGTCAGTGACGCACATTAACGTTATGCTCTCATAACACGTATGTTGCTAGATTATGGAAATTATCGAAACCGGCGATTTGAGACGCATCGGCTACGAAAAAAACGGATGATGTCGAAGCCATTAATTTATTTCAGGGAATATATGGAGTCGGTATGGAAGGTGGCGCTCCCGTTTGTCAACCTTCTGATCCTTTGGCGTAGGCCGACAAATAGCTTCTATGTGGTACAATAACGGATGTCGGACTCTCGATGATGTCCGAGTTCGGAAGGGTGCTATCAAGTTATCTCACGTGCAGGAAATCGGTTTACGATTCTATGATGGTTCGCCCTTCATGTCCACTCGTATCGGCTTATTTGATTGGTTTTTTTTGCCAGATATCAATGATAGAATGCCACGCAGTGAAGCAGAGAAGATCTTCAACTTGATTAAACCCATTGGTAAAGTCTTATTTTACAAATCATTCACGACTTATTGACCTTGGCATGACACGAACAGCTCTCGAGCTCGACGAGCACCTTTACATTAATATCATGGGTAGCTTCAGAAGGTCTGCGGGTGATTTGCTTTTATTTGTCATACCCTCATGTTCTTCGACAGGGGCAAAGTTACTTGTGGCGACATTGATGTCCTAGTGACTCGACCAACCTCAGATGGGATGACACATGCAGGTGAACGCTTGTGCCTTCTCATGACTTGATACCATTTTACCAGGAGCGTTTTTTAGGTCTTCTTCCGGAGCTGCTTGCTCGTCTGCACGCTGCGGGGATCCTGACAGAGGATTTGGCTTTGCCTGATGATTTTTCCGCCCTTGAATTATGTTATCGTGGGTTGTGCAAACTTCCCGAACCGGATTCAAAGCGTCGGCGCATTGATATCTTATGTGTTCCTTGGGAGAATAGAGGAGCAGCTCTCCTTTACTACACGGTAAGTAGCTCATCTGTATGTGCTCCATTGTTGTGGTGTGACCATGTATATACAGGGTGACGATATCGTAAGCATGTTTGAACAGCTTCTGTGTGACAAAATGATTCAGACATATATGCGACTACAGTTCAATCGGGCCATGCGAATGAAGGCGAACGTCCTTGGGTATTCTCTCAACCAACGCGGTCTGTATGCAGGCGTGGTTCGAGATCCCCGGGATAGACGTGTCAAGGTTTCCGCAGGTGTGTCCCCCAGCTGGAGCCAAATTTACTTCATCCTCATCACCTTTCAAGGTAACATTGTTGCATCCGAGACGGAAGAGGAAATATTCAAGATTCTAGGTAAGAGTCAGCTCATGCGGTTATCGTACTGATGGCAAACGATGACATAGGGGTACCATGGCAAGAGCCTCATGAACGTGTACGGGGTTGAGGTGGTGCAGTTGAGCTAATGAACTTCATTTGGATCTGTTGTAAACATAAGATGTTATTAATCATTCAATGGTCGTGTTCAGGACATGTTGAATGCATAACTGTACCAACATGAGTGAGAAATGAGGAGGAATTTGACCGAAATCGTGCCGAGAACGGTAGAGCTATGATGCACATGCTGTCCAGGGCTACGCGCAGCTTGTGGCCAAGCAATTACATGCTCATCATCAATATGTTCATCGCCCATGTGTACACCTCTAACTTTGCATAAAATCGACTTCTATTTGAATTTCCTAGTCTGTCCCTCAGGAGTTCAAGGGTGACGCTCCCAAGATGTGGGTACGAAATGAAACCTCAAAGTGTATTATTCATTCGATCACAGCTGAATCTCATGTGTCACGCCGTCGCGGCAAGACACGCATGTTAACGTTGAGGTCCCTAAGATTGCGATACCATGCGCACTGTCCGGCGACATATTACAGCATACCCATGTACAAGGCGATCGGCAGAGATGTATAACGTTCAAATTGAGGAGAAATGACACATTGTCCATGTAGATTATTGTGTTGATACTCTTTCACAGATGTCGATCGTCTGTGTACAAAGTGGCACGATTTGGCCTTTGGGAAACACCTGAACTCGAGTGGAATAGCAGTAACACCATTCGTGAGTGATTGCAACTCATCAATCATCATCATGGTCACTGTGAGAAGTGCTCAAGACATGTACAAGGTTGACGCAGGAGCAGCACTTACTCAGGATAACCATCATTGAAAACGCCGAAGTCACCATGCATCTCCTGTTGGAGAGAGACGGATCAAGTCAGGTTCTAATAGAAACAAAACTGACAGCGTACTGCATCGTAGATTTCGTCTTCTTCGCCCTCATCGTCGAGGGGATCCCAAGGTGGGTCGACATCCTCCCACCTGTAGAGGTTACAACACTGCCGAACCACGATACGATTTTAACTCACCTGTCGATCACATCGTCACTTTTCTCATTTCCGCGATGACCAAAAGGCCACTCCCAGAACTTGGCACGAGGCTTTTTCAGCCTATACAGGGGTACGTATTTTGCAGTCGAGTCGCTTCCTTGACGGGAAAGACCATAGGCAGCTTCTGAAGACCAGGTGAACCCGGCTCCTCCTCCAGCACTGACAAGTGGCGTAACAGGCCCGGTGGCTTGGAGTGTCACAGAAAAATTGTCTACTTCTACGCCAAGTGTGAACAGAGCAGAAGTTGAATTTGCACATGCCAGACTTACTCTGTTCAGACAGGTGCATCATATATGCTTGGCAAGATACCACTTCGGTGACGATGTACTTCCCTTTGAGGATATCAGGCATGGCCTTGAGCAGCCTGATGATGCGCTCGTCATGAGGAAGGCAGCTGTGTCTTGGCTTGTGCATGACCAGCACAGCTGCTGGTTTGTCACCATCGAAGTGCATATCGACTTTGAGGAGGATTTTCACTGCGCCCGGCACGTTGCTGCAACACAGTTGAGATACATGAGCTAAACACTGTAAATTGTACCACCCACACGTCAGAAGATACATTGGCTTCCTTGGTAGTGACACCCCACGATTTGACGATGAATCTATCGTCCCCTGTTTCCTGTTCTTTGGGGCGTAGCGCCTCATCCGTCAGGTCGATGTCGAATTTGTATTTGGACGATTTAAGCTTCTCCTGGAAATGTGCACTGTATATGTTTCCTTCCCAATCGAATTCTCCGGTTTCATTCATGATCATTCCATAGTCGCCTACCTGCTTTTTGTCAGATCAATTGAAAACAAGTAGGCTTTTTCACATACTGCAATTTCTTTTGGTGGATCCCAGTTGGCCCACTTGGATGTGGCGCCCTGGATGAGGTCGATGAACTTTCGTGACGCATACTTCATCGTAACAACGTTGGGAGACCAGGAGATCTGGGGGGTCCGCAAGTAGAATGGGCCTTATATACCCTTTGACTGGCGCTAAGATATGATCAACGAATGATCTCGAAGGCTCGGATCACCAGGGCTTTACGGGACGCAAACCAAAGTTACTATGAGGCAGACGCTGGCTGCCATGGCATGGCAAGAACATGCGGAAGAAGGCAGTGCGATGCTGTATCCTCGTGGTTTCCATAAGCAGTTGTCCGTGCATCCAAACGGTCTCATTTCGAATTGCCGTGGAGTCTGGACGTTGCAGTAGAGTTCGAACACGGCTTCATGAACGGGATCTCGATCAAAACACCCAGAACGACATTCAAGCTCGAAAGAAAGTTGCTCAGAGAATCTGCACACTGCACTGGCATACGCTTAATGACCAAACCAGTAGCACGTCGCACAGAAACATAGCATTGTATCGGATGAGAAGGGATATATATGGCATGTTTGGATCTGGGACAAGTTGCCGGCATCATCAGGTCCAGGGAAAACTCCGGATTCTGTTGAACGTGCCCTGAACCTAGCTGACATTCCACAGATATTTCTGATCAGTCCTTAGGAGACTAGGCTTCCGAGAGTCATTGCTTCGGAAGACTCAGGTCAAATTTGGACCAGTATAATTTTCCTTGGGTACAAGCAACCAAGAAGCTTTACAAACATCCTGTACGTCCCTTCATCAGAATATCGTTCACTGTGCACAGGATAGCTGTTGTGCGTCACCCTATATTGCTGTGTGCAGGCGGTGCGTAGGTATAGGATTCTGCTGATATATACCACGGTGATAGACTCCCCGTCGATAGAACTTGAAGATACAGCCCACTACAGCTGCGGCCTGCCACACACGGTGCACACCCACATATCCCTGCCGAGACCACCGCATATATATGGACCCGTTGATCCATATCATATTAGTGGGATAACGTAGATGAGAAAAGTCAGACTCGGGACTTACATCGAAGAGTGTATATAAATATACCATCAGAACGCAGTGCTAAAGGCTTAGCTTACGCATCAAGCGGTTGAAGTGTACATTTAGGACGTTGTGCGTGAGCCATTGCGGGGGAGTAACATCAATTTAGGCATAATATGTTATCTGCCCCTCTTACTGAAGAAGACTCGATTGATATAAAGCTCCTGCCAATGCTATTGAACGGTCGACACAATCAAAATTCCCGCTAAGGTTGGATATCTCTCCCTGGTAGAGAAGAAAGAACAAGCTTAGCCAGTCGCTTGAAAATATGAATCTCTCTCGCTGCCCAGATGAACCACAATATGAACATGGTGATGACCACGGACCCGCTGACAACCGATGCCAGCATGGCTGTCGTCGTAGACTTGAACACGTTGTACAGAAGGCCAATTGCAAAGTAGATCATTCTAGCGAATGGCATGTTAATCAATTGTACTGGCTAGAGAATATTGATCCACGTACCCCCACATAAGCATTGCATAAGGGAGACTGTGAACTGTGGCGAGGGCTTTTACTCCAAAAAACGTGCCTGTCAAATTTGATAGAAATTCGGCCTAAGTAGACTAGTTAGCGTTGCAAAGAGGACGCAAGGACGACGACTTGCCGCTTTATCTGCAGATTCGAAACCATATCTCTGGTTCTGACGCGCTAGCAGGACTGAGGCGACCAAGGAGCCAGTGATGAAGATGATCGAGAGATATGTGGCAATGATCCCGATCGACTGTGATTGGCTGATGTTCACGTTCGGCACTGCGAGGAAACTCACGTCTACGGCTAACATGACGGTTGACTGGTAGGAACCAAATTATAGAGCGGAATGGGTGATTTGATGATACGCACATAAATGGTGATCCCACTCCATTCCGTCATGAGATTTCTGTTGAAGTCTTTCCACCGGGGCGTGTTGATGCACTCATCAACCCACACCCTTCGAATATCTTTCAAGTGCGCTTGCGGTGCCCAAAAAAGCATAGCCTCGAAAAGTAGAGAAAGCGTGCTGATCAGTGGATGAAAACTAGTATCCTCCTCATACACGGATCTATCAGCATCGAGACGAGCGTAAGGTAGGCCACAGAAGTTAAAATACTTGGTTATATCTTCAGAACGAATGAGCAACCTGACCCGACACTAAAATGAAGACCATACAAAAGTAGTGCATGAACCTCGCTATCGATAACTTCAGGCGAGATTGAAGTATGCGTATGTGCTTTGCTTACCAATGATGCATTTAGAATGAGGGAAATCATTTCCCTCGGCGTTCTCTAGAGATGTATAATAGTTTAAACGCTTCAATGTAAACGGTTCGAAGGAAACTTTCGCACCTTGAAGATGGTTGATCAGCTCCAGGATTTTGAAGAGTTCATCGGCATCAAAAGGCGACAACGACATGTCCGAAGTGAGAATTTCTAGAATACCATTTTCAAAAACAATCGGGGGTTAATGGCAGGCGATAATTACCTGCACTCGCATACATGACATTCTCCCTCAGTTCTTTGAGAAGCTTGACTCGATCCATCTGGTGGTTCGGGTAGCGTTCGCAGTGCGTCCTGCTCGTCTCAGGCGTTGAGGGTCATACAGGATCTGGAAGCACATTGGGATCAAAATGATGTGAGAAGTGACTGAAACTCACACAATTGCAAGTGACAAACCAGTATTCGGACTCCAAGGCATATCCTGCTTCTCAGTTTTTAAAAGCGTGATTAAAGTTCAGTATAACGCACGAATGTGACTCGGATCATGGACGCCTCGGAGCCCGCTAAATATCTTTGCCGCTTGTTCGTGATCGTGCAGCCAAAAGAGCGTTCTAGCTGCGTGGTCGGCGAAGTAATATTGACAGAATGCTTGTTCGCCGCCTTCAGCCGGCCATAATTGCACGACGAGCTCGATATCGCTGGTTTGGGAGATCGCTGATTTTGCGTGTGCCAGGTTGTACAAATCGTTCACACATCCAGCGAGCAACTGGAACGTAGTTTGGTCCATGATTGCTTCGGTGAACGTTTTCTAAGAAGACAATATGTTCAGTGGGCCCATGAACCATCTATGTCCTTCATGATCGAATTCTTACTTGATTCTCATTGTACAAATACAGCGCGCCTTCAGGGTGTATGCATAACTGCCAATCATCACCGTTCAACCATGGACATGATCTGTCAGTGCATGATGTGTCATCCCATTGAAATATTGCCTGTCTGATGTAACACTCACTTGTTAGGGAAGCATCTCATGAGTTCCGGAATTCGGTCACACTTGCTAGATTTATCTCTGAAGAATGATTCCTCAAGACTATATACTATCAAGAGGGTGCTGCACATACGCATGAGGATGTTTATCGTATCGCAAAACATCGTTCGCAGCGAATGGCTCAAAATGGGGAGTGGTGCGAGCAGCATTGGAAGGAATTGCATTACTAATTCGTGCGGGCGAAGACGTGTAAGGTGAAACATTTTGCTGGGGAATGCATGGAACAGGCATGGCGAACGGAGTTGAAGATGATGTCGCATCTTGAGTGCCGTTTGCTGCACCACCGTGACCGGAAGTTATTGGTAATGGCAAGGTGGCCTGTGGATATCGTGCACTGGAAGCCCCAGCACAATATGAGTCTGCAGTAGAGGACTTTGAGTCAGTAATGTGTCCAAGTAAAACATGAACCTTGGCGACAAAGCGCCGCAAGCAAGCCATGAGAATGCGCAGTCGCTGGGCAGATGAAGTTGTGAGCGTTGCCAATATCTGCCAAAGACGTTTCAAGAGCTTTCGAATTAGCCTCGTGCTCAGCATGTTTCGTCGTCGTCGTGACTCGTTTGCTACCAGTTAACGTTCAAGCTTCAAGTTGAGCGCTTCAGGACTCGATTCGGAATAGTCAAGTTGGTGCGGAAGTTTGTCCAAATCCGTCGCGAGGCAAGGCAATGCATCCGGATTCCGTATCAACATGCGGAACTACAAACGAGGACGCACCATATCACAAGTGACTGGACGAACGGATGGATATCGACCTGCCAGACATGCAAGTGCTTGTTGTGAGACACTAAATGATATTATACTACGATACAATACGATTAATACGATGCGATACGGTATAAATGATAGGTGCACAATGCGGCACCTAGGGTTATGCGGGCGCTGTCACGATATAAATGAAAATGCGTCAGAGATGCTTCGACAAGAATGCATTACAGTATCTCTAGTGTCCTGACATCCATCATGTCATCAACGGAGGCCGTGTCCCCGACTCGTGCAATGATATTGTGATCCGACGCGATCCTCCTGTACTCTCCACCCCGCTGCTGCGCTAGCAGAAGTGCGGCAAAAGGTTGTCCAAGGCGAACGACCAACTTCAACTCTCGTATATGAGAGTGCGAATCAGCCGGCCCATTGTCACGCCGCCCCCCTAGCAAAAGTGCACTAAAACGCTTCCAAGGCGAGCGATTGACGTATGAGTCTGCGAATCAGCCGGCCCATCGTCTCCAGACGGTCGATGGTCCCAATCGGATCATCTGACGGAGATCCAGGCTCAGTAAAATCGTCCATGCTCTGCGTCTTGTCTGCAAAGTCCGGCAGCTCGAAATCATAATGATTCCACGGACGGATGAGCAAGAATGTCTGCTGAATAGACCTTTCCGGCGAGAACTGAATCAGCCTGTCTTCCGTAGTTCTGTCGCGCATCATGAAGACCTTTTGCCTTGGTTTGATACGTGGAATGTGTCTCCTGTTCTTGACCAGGTCTCCGCATGACTTCTGTGACCAGAAATGCGATGCATGGCAAATGCGGTTTATCAAGACGGGTATGCAGGTTCAAAACCGACTCCATCGCCACAGTATGGCGCAGCGTGGAGACCGATATCTGTATTTCGTCTTTGGATAGAAATGGGAGCGGGTATGGTGGAAGTTTGTAGTAGGAAATGTCGGCTGGTAGACAACTATTGAAATCGGATGACTGTCCAACCCGGTCCAGGCCCCTATTGGAGGTAATGAAAGACAAATAGAGTAGTTGTGGTTGCAGAACAAAACGATATTATTAGTGCACGCACAGTGATGAAATTACATTGAACATACAGCATCGGAGTGTCTGGCTGTGCATGCGCAGAGGCAGTGGGGTAGAAACGAATCATTTCCACGCTATGGCACTGCAGCGTGGCCAAGAATCCAGGACAAGTAGTTACAAGAATTGGATGAATAGGCAGGAAACCTTGATGTAACTCACACACACCGCTTAAATTTCTGAAGTACACTCCTCGTCATCTGCTACTGACTGTCCATCTCTCTGTCTAGGCCAACGCGACATGTTGGTTGATTTGGTAGCATATTTCACTGTGAGAGGGCGACCGGCGCCATTGCGGACGATGAGAGGACACACAAAGTCAATATGGGCAGTCGCGTTTTTCAAAGACGGTCGACGAGTCGTCACTGGTTCATGCGATCGCACCTTGCGAATTTTGGACGTGCTGAAAGGGACATTGGTAGAAGGGCCATTCGAGGGACACAAGGGCTGGGTAAACTCGGTCGCCGTATCGCCAGACGACATGCGAATTGCGAGCGCTGGAGATGACAACACCATCATCATCTGGGACGTCAAGAGCAAGCAGAAGGTATTGAGTCGGTTGGTCAAGCATACAGGCTCGGTGTATTCGGTTTGCTTCTCCCCAGACGGTACTAGACTTGCCAGCGGGTCCTGTGATACAACGGTTGTTGTATGGGATGCGGAGACTAGCACTGTTCTCGCAACACTCCGAGGTCATCATGATTGGGTGTTGAGTGTTGCATTCAGCCCAGATGGGCTAAAATTAGCCTCCGGATCACGGGATCACACTATCCGGGTTTGGCGCACCGATAACGCCGAGCTTCTGCTCAAGATCAACGCTCACGAAGATTGGGTTAAAAGTGTTGTATGGTCGCCAGATGGCCACCAACTTGTCTCCGCATCTTTCGACAAAACCGTAAAGTTCTGGAACCCTTCTAAAGGAAACAAAATTGGCCAAGTTTGTGTTGGTCACACTAGCTACATCCACTCGCTGGCCATATCTTCTTCTGATGACTTCATTGTCACTGCTTCAGACGACAAGACTGTGCGGCTGTGGAGCACACAGTCACACCAGCAGATAGGACATGCACTCGAACACATTGCGGGAGTTGAGTCTGTCGCAATATCGCCTAATGGAGGACTGCTTGCCACTGGAGGGTCGGACGGGAAAGTTCGAATCTGGTCTATCAAGAACACACTGAAGCAACAAAAAGTAAAGAGACCAATTTCTGAGAAGCTCCTTACCAAAGCTACTGTAAGCGTATATTTCCATCCTCTCTTACATCGCGCCTCTAATAATATCTTTACCAGAATCCGCCATCATTAGCACCTCAATATATGAATGTGAATAATTTCTTACTGCAATAAAATTCTCCCTAATCATACTATATGAAGGATCTTGCCCACAGAGACATCCAGGTACACTCTTATCCATCATTTTTACTTTTCATAACTCACTTTGTTCTGCGCCATCACAGTCGTACGGTCACGAAACCGACAATGAGCCCCACGAGATTATACCCAATCATTTCCCGGACAAGCACGAAGCCTCTCGTAGTCACAAAAAACACGACGTGAGTTGTTTTCCTTCAATGCGTACACATCATGGAATGCAAGCATGCTTCTTGCAGATCCTCGCTATCAGCACAGCGGTTCGCAATGCTTGCATTACCGGAGACTTGCATACTGCTGAAGAACTGTTGACACAAGAAATAAATGCCGATCACCTCAATTACAACTCCTATGCCAATCGCTCAGTTGTAAGGGCGCGAAATTTGCAGTGGGACCATGCACTTCAAGATGCAGTTGAGGTAAGATTTACTGCTCATTATGGCTCTGTTAACGGTCCACCTAACTTGTTTGTGACATAGTCTATTGCCATCCAGCCCTCATTAATGGGCTTCATTTCTAAGGCCCTTGCCCTCTGCGGCAAGGAGAAGCTTTGGGATGCCATGGAAGCTTTCAATCTTGCTTTCACATTCTCGAAGAATGATCCCATGACCACCAATCTTTTACGATTGATCAAGGTACCCTCGGCGCCGTTTCTCACATTCAATTACGAGATCTAAAACTTTGTTCTTAGGCTATTGCGCTTTTTAATGCAAGTCTCCGCAATGAAGCAATGCGGGAAGTTCAAGATGTAGCCACCGCTTGTCAAGATTTAGACACACTTCCGTGCAGCATCGTCGACGTGAGCTTTTTGCCGGGCCATATGCGTCTTGTGCTGAGATGCATTTTACAGTCATATCTACACGTGCAGCAGGGAATGATTTGTTTCGAGGACGGACAGTACAGCAAAGCTGCCGAACAATTCACGACTGGTATCACCACTATCACTGGCATGTTCTTACGCGGAACACTGTTCGAACCCAGGTTGAAAACATTCACCGTGGTGCGTCGCCACGAAGCCACAACACCTTCACCAATTGATGATTTGCTCTGAATAGCTCTTCGGCTGGGAGCTGGATTCCTTATGGCAAACCGCCAATAGAAGACGGTGCGGTGCGTTCCTCCGAGCGGACAGATTGGTTGAAGCGGTTGAATCTCATCAATGTATGATGCTCATGATTGACGAGGCTGTAAAGAACAGCTGTTTCGAATGGTCTAGCAGTAAGTATTATAAGGGTTTGGATAACTTAAATATCAGTGCTCATTCTGGTATCGATTAGCCTTCAAGCAAGACTGCACATCACGATGCATCGTAAAGGGCGACGAGGCGCTTTATGCAAACAATTATGACAGGGCTATTGATCTGTACTCAGCCGGGATCAGGCTGGATTCCTCATGTTATTCCCTCTTTGCGCACCGCAGTAAGGCAAATTTGGTAGCAAACCTGTATGCGGAAGCCCTTCACGACGCGGAACAGGTGCGGGTGATATCCATGATTTATTTGCAATTATAGTGATTCCGGTAATATATAGGTCATCGAACTCACCCCTTCGTCTTATATTGGGTACGAACGGAAGCATGCAGTGCTTCATGGGATGCACCGCTACGATGAAGCAATAAAGGCCTTCAAAGTCATGCTCGCCAAGATATGTGATTCTCCAGACGCTCGAATTCGACGTGAGTGCCAACAAACCCATCCGTCAAGTAGAAAATAATGAACTATTTTTCCAGAGCTGCGTCTACAGTATGTCAGTCCGTCTGACGTAGACGATGCTATTCAAAGAGCCATCCATGCTCAGCTGGAAAATGCCCCACTTCGTCTACTCAACACCTTCACTGGGTGTTTATGCGATCGAGAGGCACAAATAAATGCCTTCATGGAAAGCACAGAGTATAAGAAGCTTATGTCTTCATTGATAGTGCATCCGTACCTCCCCATGGAACCCATTATAGACGCGGTGGCGACATACTTCGGTTGGGTCATGTTATCACATAGGTGGGAGAGGAAGGAGCCATTGCTGCACGACGTCCAGGACAAAGTCGTGTACGACTTGGATCCAGTCGGAACCATGGTGAAGCTGCAGACGTTCTGCAAGATTTCCCGTGATGCAGGGTATCGCTGGGCGTGGAGCGATACATGTTGCATTGACCAGAACAACAATGTTGAGCTCCAAGAATCAGTCAACTCCATGTTTGTCTGGTATCGCTATTCATCTCTCACGATCGTGTACCTGTCGGATGTTCCGCCTTTGTCGAAGTCTGGTGCACTGGCAAATAGCACTTGGAACACGCGAGGATGGACCGTTCAGGAATTCCTGGCTCCTAGTGTCGTTCTCTTCTATCAAAAAGATTGGACCTTATATCTCAACGACCTTTCTCCCAACCACAAGGAGTCTGCCACTATCATGCGCGAGTTGGAGGATTCAACAGGCATAAATGCCCGGGCCCTCGTTGCCTTCCGACCGGGGATGAGAGGCGCGCGAGAGAAACTCCAATGGGCGTCGGCGCGTGTCACCACGTTGCAGGAGGATATTGCATACTCATTGTTTGGCATCTTCGGCGTTCACCTACCTGTAATCTATGGCGAAAAGAAGCAAAACGCGCTGGGGCGGCTTTTACAGGAGATAATAGCTCATTCGGGCGACATCACTGCCCTTGACTGGGTCGGAAAATCATCCGTGTTCAATAGCTGTTTGCCAGCCGACATTTCGTCATACAAAGCTCCGCCTTGCACGCTGCCACGTTTACCTGAAGATGAGATCCGGACATTGGTCTCCTCGTTACGAAATGCTACGACCGTGGAGTCGGCTTCATCACTTTATACTCTCCTTGACAATCTCAGCGCTCCTCGTTTCATGACCTCCAGACTGCATCTACCTTGCCTTGCATTCCCCATCACAGAGGTCAAGCGGAGGCGTCGTCAAGACAGGGAGACATGTTTCACGTATGAAATCAAAGCAAACGGGCTTCAAGACCTGCTCATCACCACCGAAGACAGACTGATTCAATTCTCGCCGGCAAGGCCCACCCAGCAAACATTCTTGCTCGTCCGTCCGTGGGATCGGTATGACCTTGGGCTGCCTGACTTTGCAGACTGTACGCAGAGCGTGGATGGGTGGTCTGAATTTGAGGCTCCGTCAGACGAGTCACTCAACAGGAATTCTGGAGAAGATGGTCTGATGGATTCCGAGTCTCGAGCGTTGAGGTTGGTGGTTCACCTCGGACAGCCCTTTGGTGCACTTTTTCTAGCGCACCAGCGTGGTGGGGAATACAAGAGAATCGCGTCGGATCATAATATCATTTCTCGGGTTAAGGACATTGCTTCTGTTCATGACATGATGGACGTCAGGACGCTAGAGATATTGTAGCTGTATCCATTCCAAAGGACGGAGATCTCTACATATTTTATTTTAGAAAGTCTGTATGTGGTATTAAGTATGCTGACTTAGCACAGGATCGACCACGATCGTTTCTCCCACAACAGGTTGTCCGAGCAGCAATATATTTTGCGGAAGAAAATGGCGTACTTCGTCATGATTTCAATGACTCCAAACTATACGCACACCACTAGGGCACAAGCACATTAATATCCATAACGGAGCTACACAAGTCTATCATGATCGTATGACGGATCTTCACACATGAGACGACGGTGATGACAATTTTTCATCAACTATCGCCCGAGGTCACTTTTGATGGGTCGCAGCCACGGCTCCAAGCTTCAGGATCTACATAAACAAAACCATTCAACTCCTCGAACCCATGGAGGTGTGGGCCGAGAACTTGAACAACCCCCTGAGTCCTGACATTCGTTGTGCAATTTTTCCGCATGGCATCCTATTTTCCACTGTGATCATACCTATAGAACCAAAGTGCGGCAGGCCTAGACATGATTCAGGTATGTGTCCAGACACATTGATGCATACTCATGCGCTACCAACCTCTTTCACTCCTTGATATCGCCCAAATGGATCTGTCTCAGCATGGATTTGCATTCCTTTCCACTTGTGAGACCGTGGCCGGTAAGTGATGCTCCTTGCGGCTGGCCAACAATCTTGCAAAAAATATTTGCGGGCTGCCCGAGCATTGCACCGAGCGGTCCAAGCGTTGGCTTGTGACAAGGACATGCCCCTGGACCAGGGCATCGTGTTCATCTTGGTGTTTGATACTCATATAATGTGACTTCAAAAAGTATTTCCAGTATGTCATCTTCGCATGGGTACTGATGGTAATTGGATATTTATGACTGGATTGGTGGCGAGATAGGAGCAACGTAGTGCATGATTGACAACGAGCTAAATCATCGAGAGGTGCGACGGGGGAGATTTCTACGTGCGTGAACGTTCAAGTTCAGGAGGAAAGCGTTTTTCGGCAATTGCCGGTTCAATACGTGTCTATAGTCTAATTACGTGGAACCAAGTAGTACTGCTCATTGTTCAAAAAACCAAATTCATAGTCTTGTTGTTCGATGCCCTTTGCCCGGTTTTGCTGCTGATATCTGGTCTTCGCCATGCCTTGTCTTTCGCTTAGAAAGGCGGTTACACTCTTCGTTCTCTTTGCTGCTATTCTCGAGACTTCATTGGCATCGATACTAGCAGTTGACTATGGGTCAGACTGGATTAAGGCTTCGCTCATGAAGCCCGGCGTGCCCTTCGACGTGCTGCTGAACAAAGACTCGAAGCGGAAGATACAGTCCTCAGTCGCATGGAAGAAAGACGAAAGATTGTTTGGGTCTGACGCGGCGAATATCGTGAGTGTCGTTCCCCACAACATTTTGCGCTTGGTCTGACAGGACACAGGCCTCCCGGTTCCCTCAAGACTCATTCTCTTCCCTGAAATACCTACAAGGCGCACCATTCAACTCAGATATCGTTACATATTTCACCTCCATATCTACCGCTCAAATTTCTGAGACCGACCGCCAAACCGTTGCGCTGAAACAAAGTGATGGAACGGAATGGAGCACAGAGGAGCTTGTTGCGATGCAGCTATCATATATCAAGAAGCTTGCAGAGGATTTAGCGGGCGAGCCGGTGAACGAGGTCATCCTCACCGTTCCACCGTACTTCTCCCAGCTCGAACGCGACTCGATTACAGACGCAATAGAAATTGCGGGACTCAAAACACTGGCATTGATTAACGACGGCACGGCTGTAGCAATAAACTACGCTATGACGAGGTCCTTTTCGACCACTCCCGAATACCATGTCATCTACGACGCTGGCGCATCTTCGACACGTGCCACTGTGGTTTCGTTCGCTGCGGCTGAGGATTCCAAGACGAAGGCGTCATTCACTCAGATCAACGTTCTGGGCGTTGGACATGACCGAAATACAGGCGGCACAGAGCTAGACTTGAGGCTACGGGATATTTTGATAGACAGTTTTATGTCAAAGCACCGGCGAGACATCAGAAAGGACAAGCGCGGCATGGCTAAGCTTTGGAAGGAGGCTGGACGTGTCAAGGCTATCCTCAGTGCCAACTCAGACGCAACATCGACAGTAAGCAAGCCGGCTCAACATAATGCGTGGTTTTGATGCCCACGGTTTCCAGGTGGAGAGCGTTGCATTTGATATTGACTTCAAGACCAAGGTTGCTCGCGCGGAATTTGAGAACGCTTGTAAAGACCTCCATTCGCGTTTTGCAAGGCCCATATATGATGCACTTTCGAACGCCGAGCTTTCATTAGTGCGCATGCCCTTTTGAATCATTTTTGAAATATTGTCTAAATCACGTACAGGAAAATATCTCATCTGTTATCTTGACAGGCGGCAATTCACGCACGCCTATGGTCCAGGCCGCTGTAAAATCAGCTGTTGGCGAGTAAGCATCCCGTTTTATCTTTCTGGCCAATTGTAGTTTTCATGTTTTTATTAGAGATCGCATCGCACTCAATGTCAATGCCGATGAGTCCGCCGTGCTTGGTGCAGCGCTTTATGGAGCTTCCCTCTCCCGTCAATTCAAGACCAAGGACATTCGTGTAACTGATGTCCTAATACACGACATCCAGGCATCCTACCTCGCATCTACTCCAGGCACGCGAACAATTCACACAGCAGTCTTGCCTGCTGGGTCGAAACATGGAGCGAGAAAAACTCTAACGTTCAAACGTAAAGAGGATTTCTCTCTGGTGCTGAACTATCCCAACGAAGTTATGTCGTGCGTGTTCCATGTATACATATGTTCAATTTTATTAACCTTGTTTGTTCCTAGTGGCTTCCCCCGTGAGATCCTCGAGGCGAAGATTGTCGGCATTCCCGAGGCCATTGATAACCTCACTGAACGCGGTGCAATCGATCCCGTGATCAAGGCGACTGTCGTGCTTTCCGAATCTGGCTTTGTGACCGTCAAAGACGCCGTAGCCTATGGGGAAATTAAAGACGACTCTATCACTGGTACGTATTTTCTATTTTTCCTATTCTTGATCATGAAGCTCGAATAGGGAAACTGAAAGGCCTATTTGGAGGTGGTGGCGACCAGGTACCATTAGAGACTGACGTTGATGGAGAGATCCCAAAGGACGAGAAGACGGATAAGAAGGACAAGGCCAAGAAGCCGTTTGTGAAGGACCAAAGTACCATTCCGCTTGAGATCGAAATTGTGTACAATTATCAGGGCCCACTGAGCCCTACGGCGAAACGGGCTGCCCGTGACCGGTATGTTTGCATTGTCTGTGCCCATGAGACTGATGGGTGTCATGTTGCAACAGTCTCAGGACATTAGACAACATGGAGATGTCGAAGCAACGTCGGGAAGAAGCACATAATACTCTCGAAGGATACCTGTATAAGCTACGGGATCTCTTGAATGACGGTCCAGAAACGCCATTCACGAAATGCTCTCAGCCATCTGAGAGGCAAGCACTCTCAAACAAACTCTCGGAGACTATTGCATGGCTGCATGACGAAGGAGACACTGCTGACACAGTGCGGCTATGGGAGAAGCGATCCCTTCTCGAGTAAGGGTTTTTCGGGGGGATAGGTCATTCAACCGCTTACTGTTTCTGGATAGGACTCTGGAGAAACCAATCGTGCACCGCTACAAGGAGATCGAGTCTTTCCCACAGGCACTGAATAACTCACAAAAGTGGAATTGGAGTACTAGATTATTCCTCACTCAAGCTCGGGAGAACGTTACGGCAGACGCCATCGCAGGGGTTCCTTCGAAGTGGTCATCACAGGAACTTGATGCGCTCGAGACAGCACTCAAAGAGCACGAAGCTTGGCTTCATGATGGCGTTGAGCGGCAAAAGAAGACGAAGATGAATGAAGACCCGGCGATAGAGACTAAGGAGATGCAGGAGCGAGCGAAGACATTGGAGCAGCACCTGCAAAGATTGGTGAGGAGAAAAGCACCCAAAGTCAAAAAGACGCCTGCGAAGTCTGGCGATGCCAGTGGATCGTCTGCTGGACCGACACAGACACCTGGAGATAAACAACCAGGACATGACGAATTGTAGATATGATTACTCATACCAGTTATTGATGGCATAGATGGAGTTTGCATCCTGTCTTAATTTCCACTGCGCAGTTATGGGCGTCTGCTGCGGGCTTGACATATTATTATGTGTGTTTGTCGGTGCTTGTCAAGGGCTAAAGTGGCCTATGATACAACCATCCGGTGGTACAGCTTCTTTCAACTTGTAGATATCTCAGCTCTCCTCCTTCCACCAAGAGTGTTAATCGCAGTTTGCCAATCTATCGGAATCCGACTTCTTTGTTCAAAATTGGTCGGCCGTGCCGTGTTCAGAACTCTCAATATCGGCTGTGACCCATGTCCAAGCGGAGCTACGATAGCAGTGCTCACGAGAAACGCATTTCCAAGTATCGTGTCAACGACGATGATTTATTCGAGTACGTATGCATCAGTCAACATCGTCCATCATGCGATTGATTGTCTTCGGATCTGTGACATAGATATGTCCTGCGTGTAGCGTGCGTACCCTTGCCCTACGTTCCAGCACCAACCTCACGTAATTTCTGTCATCTACAGTATCCTCAGCTATGTCATCCAGCCGAAAGTATCGAACCATCATGCTAACGCCTCCGAGGTAAAGGAGAAGGAACACCACTCAAAATTCTCAGGAGCCATATCCAACTCCATTGTTTCCATAGGTGACATATTCAAGGACATCAGGGATGGGTCGAAGAGCGTCAAGTTTCCAGAGAAACTCCTCAAAGTCTTGGAGCAGAGACTACAGAATATAGCAATGGGGAAAGACGCTGCGTCCGTGGCATAATTGCGCTGTGCTTTGGGACTATGTGCTGACGCCATGGTTGCAGGTATTCTGACCAATTAACAAGGCGGACTATGGCCGTTTTCTATGGGCAGTTCATGGGGGACCCTTTCAGGAGGCAGATGAAGGAGAACAGGAGCATAGAGGAATTGATCTTGATGTTTGCCTCACAAGCCACCAGTGTACTCAGGAAGGAGCCCACGCTCGCTGATGACGGGTGGAAGGTCGAGGTGAACAACCAAATTGCACTGTTCGTGAAGATGCTTCGGGATTGTCTGAAGGCTCTCAGCCATGTTTCGCCCGAGCTCAATTCACGACTGGATATGTATATTGCCAAGCTTGCACCAGCGCAGTCTTCGAATGATTCGGGGTACGACTCTGCATCGGTATCGCGCGATCGAGGAGATTCCATCAGCACACAATCGAGCGTCAGCCAGAACATTTCGGATATGCCCTTTGTGATGATTGTGGCACGCCTATTCAAGATTCCTGAGAGCGCCATGCAGAGCGAGGTGGATAGGATGCGGAAAACATGTACAGAGAAGGTAAGTTGTGTTCTCCCAGCAGATTTTGTCGCTGAACATCAGTAGGCTGCTGTTATAGACCTCAAGGTGAGATGACAGGTAAAAGGAAGAGTCGTGTGCTAAGCATGCGCATATAACAGACTTGCCTCAAGAATATTAACCTCGGCGCGCCATTCCCCGGTAGAAGGGAAGACTTCAGCAATGATACCGCGTGGAATCATTGGCGCACTCAAGAAACCTCAATTCTCTCGCAGCTCATGATGGCGATGATATCAATTAATCCCGAACTTGCCAAGTCCATGCCTTCGGGCAATGGTTCAATCTATCCCACATCGGGGGCTCGTCCAGGCTCGTTGTCCTCTACTCGTATCGACTCTCCTGGTGGGACGAAGCGACATACTTCGATTGGGAGCCGGCATTCGTTCCTCGGAGCCGCAGACGAAGGTGAGGAGAACCACAGCGATCAGGGGGACGACGACGATGAGATTCGTGTTGGCCACAATTTCACGTTCATTCCGCCAAATCCCAAGAAATTTTACAGGCGTCTCGTCGAATACTGTCTCGTCACGGATCTAGAGTTCATGTTCAGCGCCGAAGTGGACGATGCTGATGAAGTTCCCCTGAGTATTCTCAGTCCTCCTCATGTGGAACTTATAAACGAGTGTGCGATGCGTTGGCGCATAAACCATACGTATCGTGCGACATGTTTCTTGGATCAGATCAAGCAACTATATGAGCGTAGCGACGTTCCCATGGAGTGCATACCAGAGGCCTTGCAAGGCATCACGAAGGTACTTCAAGATCTCGAAATTGACAAGTGGCCCGTCCAGGATGTGCGTGGTTAATCCACATGATCTAACCCGTTGCTGAGTTTCTTGATAGTCAGAACTATTGGCATCCATCTATGGTGGACTTTACAACATCTTCCTCTCTTCTCTATATCACGCCATGGATGCCTTGCCAAACCTAAAAGTCAGCGCGATCCAACCATATCTCACTATTCTCGACCACGTACGGGAGAGTGGACTCGTCGAGCGTTTTGATGCAGATATCAGTGCCCGTTTGTCAGACTTGACAACTCGCATACAAGATGTGTCAGTCCAGTATTATCAAGAGAAGATGGCATCTTTGCAAGCAAGCCCCGGAGTCAACCGGGCGTTGCCATTATTGCTAATGACGGACGAGCTAGAGAAGGCAGCAAAACAGCTGGACAAGCGATTCGCAGATCCGCTTGTTGGGTATGACCTTGCACAAAGCTTGACTTCGGGATACTGATGTTGTGTGTTCAGAGGGGTCGATCTGGTCTCTCTTGTGGTGGAAGCCCAGGTTCCACTGTTCATAAACGAACTTCAGAATTCCTCGAAGCGGTTGTATGAATCGTCGATGAATGGTCCAACCCCAGACGTGCCTATACAAGATATATTTTCGCTCTACCGACGAACGAAAGCGTTGCTATCGATGTACAAGGCATTTGCTCCTAAGTGAGTGGTTTCATGGATCTACGGCGAAAATCTCATTGCTTGCAAGAGGACAACTGGAATTCGACCTTGGGCAGTTTTTCATGCCATATGTTCATCAATGGCTCATTGACACAGACAATAAGACTGGTCAGTGGGTGCAAGCTGTGAGTCTTATTCGCAGTCACTGAAACTAAGCTGAACAAGAGTTATCAGGCGGTGGCGGCAGACAAGGTTCGTGCTTTGTTTGTATTCTCCCATTTTCCATTGAAGGCTGCTTTAGTTCGAGGCAGAGAATACGGAAGGACATAGCGCGTCTATTGTTGATCTATTTGACTCTCTCCGTAGTCCAATAAATTTCTTGCAGGACCTCGAATGGTCAGATGAGTATCAGGAGGCGAGATTCTTCACCAGTCTCTCCAAGGTGCTGATTCAGTGCATTTTTGTCGTATGGCGTTTGCTGACGGTGCTATCCCTAGACGATATCTAAGGCAATCGAGCAATATTGTCGCTCCGTCGAAGAGCATTTCATGACAGAGATGTTCCCGCGACCAGCAGACCACCTGCAGCCGCAGAAGTCCTCTGCTTGGCTCGAAAGAGCTAAGTCGCTTGCAACGACAGGCGAGAAGAAAGTCGAACCATTCAATTTCCGCCCAGAATCTTGCGTCAAGCTGAACAACGTCGAAGCTGCGCGGAAGCTCCTTGACAACCTGTACAACCAGATGCAGGTAGACAAGGTTGCTGACACGATTGCTAATCACGGGCCGCCTGTTCCCGACAAGAACGAGCGGCAGCGATTCCTCTTTGCGGTGAAGATTGTTATGGCGGAGGACTTGGTACCGCTTGATACCAGTCCGTCTGCATTACTCGACACTTTCGTGACGCTCAGTGACGAGGCTGGGAATCGCCTTGTGAAGACGAGGACGATTTATGAGAGCTTGAACCCGCGTTGTAAGTCTCCGCCAAAACTTACGAGCATGACTCATTTATATGGTAAAAAGGGGAAGAGACTCATGACATATCAATCGACAAGCCTTTGTGGTTAATGTGCAGTATACGTGATCGCGCGCTCGTGGGTCATCATGACGTTGTTGGCCGGTCCTTCATATGTCTCAACCCCAAGGAGTTCGGTGACTTCTTAACCCATGATGTATGGCTGAACCTTGAGAACACCAACCATGGCCACCAAGGGAGGATACTTCTTCGAATCAGTATGGAAGGGGAGAAGGATGACGTGCAGTTCTACTTTGGCCGAGCTTTCCGATTCCTGAAGCGGAGTGAGGGAGACATGATGCGAATATTCATCGACAAAGTAAGTCAACTGTGATGCTTGAGCTCTTAGTCTAAGTCTCATTGGTCGCTAGATGTCGCCATATATACGACAGTCACTGTCTCGACCTATCCTCAAAACCTTGATCAAAGCCGGGTCTCTGGGGCTGGATTACAACAAGGCACTCGGAAATGTCACAGCGCTTTATCGCTCAGCACTGGGCTCCAACGCCAGTGAGGTGCAGGTACCTCTTCCTCACAACGAGAAACCTCGCGTTCGGCCCGAGGAACTCACTGACGTAGAGATCGAGCGCGCGATCTCTCCTCTGTTCGATTATTTTGACGACAACCTTCATATTCTCAACACCTATCTTAGCGAGACTGCAAAAGATATGGTAATGATGAGGGTCTGGAAGGAGATTCTAGTCGTAATAGAGGGTCTGCTCATACCGCCGTTGTCTAAGCTTTCGAGTGACATGAAACCGCTGAGTGACAAAGAGGTAGATATTGTTTTCAAGTGGCTGAAGGTGCGTGTAGCCCTTTTGTGTACGTACATCCCTGATGGCTTAAAACTAGTTCCTCCGTGACTATTTCTATGCGGAAGGCGAAGGCGTTCCGCTGGAAAAGCTACAGAACCAGAAATATCGGGATGTTGTCTCCATTCGCTTGTACTATGACTGGCATACGTACGCGATCTCGTTTCATGTACTGGTAACAACGCTTCATTTTTTCTTGCAGGGATACTCTCATGGAAGAGTGCGTGCGTGCCATGCAGCAAAGCTTGCGTGAAGCTGTTCCTGTCAAGAAGCGCGTGAAGAGCGTCTATAATCAGCGGAATCTGGGAACCATCAAGGAGCGCAAGAAGGTAAAGAAAGAGGAGAAGGAAGTGTCAAACGGTGAAACTATTATGAGAATCCTTCGCATGAGGTATGTATCACACGTCCCTATGTGCAAAGTTCAAGGTTCTGACCGAGGTATATAGACCAAACACACAAGAGTTCATCGCTCAGCAGCTTGAAATGATGACAACTGTGCAAGCGGAGCGCGAACGCACACAAGCTGATAAACAGCAGCGAAGATCTCAACGACCGCGGCAGGCGGAAATTCCTGAAGTTCCGCCACTGCCCTCCGCTGTCTCGTAGCCTTTGTGTATCACAAACCATATACCCTGCAGGCCCTTTGTGCCATCTGTCGACGTATCTCAATATCTCAAGATGGGATGATGTACTTACTTGTGTGCCCAAGAACTGAATTTTATTACAGACTCTCTAGTGCATGGACAAAAACTGACGAGAGGCTGCGGAAACTAGGTCAACTGAATTCGGAAAGCACAATGTCAAGATGTAGTACAACATGACATCCCGTTTCGTATGAAGGGTTCTGGTTTGCTACACGTATCAAGATCAATGTGACGTAGACATTCCATCCTTTTGGATTGAGCATTGATAGCCTTTAGTCGTATTGGATACATAGCCGTTTCGAAGATACGACCAACGTTGTTCTTTTCGAATGAGTTGCGATCACGGTGAGGTACTAGGTAGTCAAATGGTCAGAGCGGTGGGCGCATCCTCAATAACTTGTATCCGTTTAATGTACCTAAAATGATGCCCGGTGCTCCCTTGGAGTGTCATAGAGTATCCATGAACGTTTACCAACTCACACCATGTAGTACTTACTATCGCGGTCCAATCGCGGCGCTTCAATCTCAGTGACTTGCCGTATTTGGCGAATGTTATACTTTCATCACTGCAGCCCTGTTGTTTGTTCTTCAGAACTTACGACTAGACTTGTGAAAGGTCACCCACACGGTGTCCACAGCGACGGCGACCCTTAAGAGGACAATGGCTCTTTATTCACCAGAACGGACTCTCCCCTGTATTCGAGTTTAATGAAAAGCAGACCGGTGGCCATTGAAAGTCTGTCAATTCACTCCGCGTCCGAGTCCTTCTATCCATTTTAGCTCCCATTGGAGGCATTATCCTTCCTTCTCCCTTTTCTTTCTCTGTTGCTGGTCATCTTCTGCCTTTGTAGTATCTGAATATCTTTTCTAGTGATTGCTGGTATAACCTTGCCCGCAATGCTACCAGCTAAAGCATGTGAGTTGCTGCAATCAATGAATGTACTTGCAAGTTGACTGGATGATGGCCGTCAGATATCTTCATCAGTCTCAACACTGTCCGCACTCTTAGCATAGTCGCCCTTCTTTTAGTTTTCTCCAGCAGCATCCTGGTGATGGTTGATGACATCGAGGCAGTTAATGTGTTTTCCAATGGCGGGAGCAACTCCACAATCAACTATGCCTACATCCCGTGAGCGATTTTTGTTTGCATCATTGCGGATGAGCTCAATTTGCTTGCTGTAGAAACAGTACAGTTCCTAATCAGCCAGCGGGCGTGTTTTGGGCGGTATTGAATCGGCTGTTGATCATTGCCCAAACCGTCGTTTTGATTCTTTCAGAACTAGGTATGATATTGGCATTAGTGTGTGAGTGTACGTCATCTCAACCTGTCCAGGCTGGCCCGCCGCATTCTTTGATCACTACTTCCCCGTTCTCGGGAGCAACTTTGGAGTAGGTGCTCTGGGAGTGATGCAATGCCTGTAAGTTGATAAGCCCCTCCAATCGATCTCTTACCAACTCATTCGGGACATCAACAGAATCGGAGCCTCTGTTCTTTCTCACTTCGTCAAAGTTTTCCCCCTCGTCTCTGCTTTCTTCCTCTTTTCCGTTGGCTGTCTCAACATTCTAATCGGCCTTATCTTCCGAGAACACGTCAAGTCCACGCGTTCCATATTGTCTTTCAGGGACCGAGCAGAGGACGTATTGTCATCACTCGATAACACTAAAGAGACAGCGTTCAGCAGATATAGGATGGATCGAGACGCAGAAAAGGGTATGTGACAAGATTTGAGATTGCTTTGGCGTCGCTGACTTTTGCTTCCTGCATAGGCCTGAGCGTCAAAGAACCTGATGTTGCGCACACTTCCACTTAGATGTGTTGTCGGCGCTATCACCCCTGCCCAATTCCTGCCATTGTGTTATATAGGTGATCGAGTGTCCAATGTGCTCTTGGGTATTTACTGAGTATGTAGTCTTTCTATCTATGTATACGGCTTGCACTGAACTGTAAATCTATGCAACATTATCTACTCTACTGTCATTACACACCTTGTATTTTCTAGCACTTTCTCAATTTTAACTGATCTGGGCATGGCACACGACACGAAGTTATGTGTCTAAGTTTGGTTTCAGGATAAACAGATCAATACGATGCTCTACCGCCGTCAGCGTTTCTTGTTCTCGCCCACAGCAGTTGCCCGCCACGTGACACCTGCCCAGAGCTCTTGCTTTTCCAGGCCCACGTGCCTCTCCCTGTACAGGTGAGCAACGGTTCGTAAACTAGCGTTCGCCCCAAACTTTGATGTCGAATTCTGCGGACTGCGGACAATACGATGCTGCAATTGTGTAAGGAGAAGCTACTTATGCTCTCGTTTGTGTACTGTCAGTCCACTTCCTTCATTCCCCCGTAGTTCCGGCAACAACACTCCCGTGTACACCCCACTCAACGCCGAAGCCAAATATCACCCAAGCTATGAGGACTATGCTGAACCCGGCCCCAATTGCTACCCAGCGCGCATACAAAGATACAGAGCCTGGAACAGGGCTTTTCAACGCCACTTCCTTCTGCTTCGGCGTTGCGTTCTCGTCCCGCTTGCCTTCCTCGGTTGCCGTATGCGGACGTAGCTCCCAAAGCCTCTCAACTTCCCTTGCCAGATTCTTTGGGCGTACCTCTGAGAGCCGCGCGGCAGGTAGATACCTCTTTCCGAATGACGTATAGCAGGCACCCAGCAATGCACCTGACACAAGCACGCAGGCAAACGCGTATACGAGCCAGACCGTCACGGCACTCTCGAGCGAGTCGTTGGGGGAAAGGTCTTGGAGCTTCCCAGCTGCCGTCACGATGATGACAATGGAGCCCTGAACAACCGATTCTGTGATACGAGTAGGTGAGAGTTCCGAAAAGGGAGAAGAATCAAGCATACTTTTGATAGCAAAGCTGGAAATCACGTCAAGAAGGTCTATGGCAAAGATGTGCTAAAGAACTCACGCCGTTGCGTAGTAGTGAGGATCCGGTATAATGCTGCGCACGATCTCCACTTGCGGAGCTGGCGTCAAGCTCTACAAGATAATGTTAAAGTACTGTGAGTAAATGAAGATGGCATTTTGTGCACCTACCTGAGCAAACGCATAAAATATATATGCGCAAACTAATTCGAGTTCAGTACACCATCTACCTGAGACGTTTCGGCTCACCAAATGTCGGCACTGTCTCAGAAAATCTCAACAGTAGCATGGAGATGAGGAACATACATCCTGAGAGAAACACTGGTTTTACGATCAGCGTCTGCATTATCAACCGAGAGGATGCTCACGAATAGTCACGCGATGCCCGTATGCATCGATGAACACGCCCTCTAAAGGGGTAAGTCCAACAGGAAGAAGCAAGTAAAAACTCGACACCCATCCGCCAACTATAGCTCCTTTCTTGAGTCTTTGCTGCGCAAATTGCCTGCGAAAATCCAACACTTGTTACCCTACCGGAAAGACATTCACTCACGTGGATATCGACACAAATGACTGCACACCAGCGTTTTCAAAGGTTGCAAAAAGAATCATAAACCAGAACGTAAACGGCATCTGGCGCACGGCCGGCCAATTAAATGTTCCAGTCTTAATGCTACCCGCACTTGGCTGGCCGACCCGCTTGGAGTAATCGACGACCTCGTAATGAGAACGAAGGTATTTATCAAGGACGAAAATGCAAATAGCGCTGAGAAGAGAGAAAAGGCTTATTATTGCGCTTATCCAGAGAGGCCATGAATATGAGCCAAGGTTTTCGGACATCACGTTCGCGGTGCTCTGCCCGACATATTGAGCCAGATTTGCTATCGACCTACACGGCAGAGGTGCACATGAGTTTTGAAAGTGTAGTCATAGAACCTACCATATGATGCCTGAAAAAAATAATAAAATAAAATATAAGAATCGTTGACGATCGCGAGGCGCCTCACCTATGGACACCCCGAAACCGTTTCCCGGCGCAAAATATGCGGCGAAGATTTTGTGCTGCGCATTATCTAGGGATCCGTCACCAATAGCTGCAATGATCTTGCCCGCCATCAGGACATGATAACTATTGAGTCCATTTGTCGTTGCGCCGGCCTCCACGGCAGCGCCCGCAAGATGAAATGCGGTAAGTATGACAGACATGAGTGGGCCTCCAAATTTGTCGATAACGAAGCCGAGGGCGATGCAGAGGAAGGTGTTGACCTGTTGGACAGTAAGTACGTCGGTCCCGCGTTAACGTAATAGGATCGGTCGTACCAGATTTGTCACAGATACCTAGTAGTCCAAGAACGTCAATACCGCCACGATTCTGTTGAGCAAAAATCTCACAAGCGTAGCAAATTCGGAATTGTTGATCTCGAGTGTTTTCTCGATCGTTGTCTTCATAGTTGTAATGAGACCCTGGGAGCACAAATATAATTTGTCTAATCTGCAGAAATTGAAATATGTATGCGTACGTTAGACCAATGATTTCCGACTTTGCAGTTATATGAGCTGTCAGCGAAATTCGTAGACATGAATACTTACATGTGCACATGCACGTGAATGCAATCATTGCCACCTGCCACCTTAGAGGTAGCTTAGGTTTTGGGGCAGAGTAAGAAAGAGCACTGATTGGTGATTGGCATTGGTTATCTTTGCCATCTACGTCGGCAGGAGCAACAGCACTGGCGGAGCGAATACTGACAGTGGGCATGATAACTGCGAACGATCCGCAAGCAAAAGTCAGAGGCTTGGTCAGCTTATGAGTTTTTTTTTGCAGAATCTACCTTGAAGAATAGAAGCGGAGACGCTCCTTGAAGTCGTGCGGCTTGGCAGGCGAAGATCAAGGGAGTTCGAGAGAGTCCGACAGTCCCAGTGATCCAATTTATGTGCGGCATGATACTAATAGTGTATCATGATGTCAATGATGTTACCTCCACGGCCCTTAACCGGCATACTGGTTAAATGTTGATGTCTTGCTGGTTGAGACATCGACCCACTGTGTTGGGTTGGAGTGTGACCGATCGATCCATTGCGAGAGGTCGATAATCCTCCCTGGAACAGCTCATTGCAGATATAAATGATTGCTAACATGATATCAACCATGGCTCGGGATATGAAGGTGTTTTGGGAATGGCTGTTTGTTTTCGACCAACTCACCTGAATGCAGCGTTCCTAGATCTGGAGATTATCTGATAAGAATGGAGATCGCGTGCAATCACCAGTCGCTATAATCTGATAAGCGGCTCTCGAAGTCCGAGCTCACTCGGAATTTCGGACTTCGATTGCAACGTCTGATGGGCATTTCTTCGCGAGTATACACGATCTTTGGGGATATGAAAATGAAGCTGCTTTTCTGGTACGTTGCGTTGCTGCAGCTTAGTATACGACCAGACTGTGAATGTGCAAGTTACGACCGGCCTGGGTGGAGGTCTTCGCAGACTCTAGGTCTATGACTGACGGTGACAAAGTCTTGGTGCCCTCGGCAAAATGAAGCGGAGTTATAATGAAGCTCATCACTCCCCCACCAACCTCATTGTTGCCCGCCTGCCCGCTCCCCGCCACCCACGATATCGAAAGGAATGCAGATTTTGGGCTCCATCCTAACTGGGTGATATGGTGTGAGGCTGCCAAGGCTGTAGAATACTACAAGACTTTGAGCTGGCTTAGGAAAAGAACGGTTTCTAAGTCCGCCTGACCTATCACAAGCTCAGCGTTTGACTATACCCAGCGGCATCCGTACAAATTATGTACGTATATCATACATTCGTCTCACACATTCTGAGGTACCTCCTCTGTCAACTGCCAGGTTCTGAGTTCCGCCACGGCTGCGTATGGCAGAATGGCAGTAATCTGCCAACAATGCTAGGGCAACCCTCGTCAATCTGTGCATTCTTGGCAACACTGCGGTGACTGCCAGGAGTCGTAGGTGCCATGTTACCCTTCCGAAGTACTTCGGCTCCCAGATGTCGAGAAGAACAAGGTATATGCGTTACCTCACTTACAGCAGAGGTCCAGACATCCAGCACCGCCCGGTAAGGTATTTTCTGCTTGTGTCACTGTCAAGCCACCACGCTTCAGGTCTCCCTCCACTTATCACACCTACCTCCCGCGCCAAGCCTGACCACAATCTCACGAAGTCTGTCGCTCCACGCCTCGAAACGCCACGCTGACCCCTGCGCTATAGTGTGACCTCCCGAAGCCCTCCCACCACTTCCTCCTTTCGTCCATATCAGGAAAACTTCAGTATTTATTTTGCCTTAGTCTACTTAGTAAACCACATACTTAGGCGGCAAAGGAGATTTAAGGAAGACAAGATCAGGATACATATGAAAAATCGTTGCAATGTTTCGGGATTTGTTGGGGTAAGTACTGTCGTTAAATCGAGTTTAATTCTTCTTTACACAAGTCTAATTGGTCGATACTTTCGAGTTTTCCCATGTGCGGGCTGGCCCAGGGTCTACCCCTTTGTCGTTGAGACACGCGCTCCGGGCGCTCTTGGCATGACGCACATGCTAAGCAATCTCTGCCCTAGCGGAGATTTTTTCTATCTACCTAGTGCGTGTGGGCAATTAGGAGGTCCTCGCCTCTTCTCTCTTGCCCATTGTCGCACTAGGTACGTTTTCTCTAGAATTCTTTGTAGGCCCCTTCTCACTTGCCCTTTGTCGCACTAGCTTGTTTTCTCGTCACCATTATAAAAAACATCGCTTTGAAGCTCATCCATGTCGGATTATGAACACCCATCCTCCCAAACTCGATCCTCAGCTCAAAGAGAGTCCGCAGAAAGTCTCTCTACGTCGTTTAATTCCGAAGTCGTTGAACGATGTCTCAAAATTGTCATCGACTACAGAAAACGCAAGATCTCAAAGGCAAAGGCAGTTCTTGGAATCCAACAAGTACTTGCCGAAGCCACCACTGAAGGAGACCCGTCCTTTGATAGCGGGTTCTCGCATTATCTTGAAGTCCTCGACGCAATCAGGACAGACGAGGAACCGGAAAGTATTCGAGGAGGTTCCAGACCGCCACGTGCGGATAGGAGTGACGAGATGTATGATCCAGAAGGAGAGGTCATCAAGAGGGCATATCGAAGAGGCAGAGCACGTAGCAAAGAAACCGAGGATAGTGCTGAACGAGAGTCTGACTCCGGGGATAGCAGCAGGTTCAAGCGGGACAAACGACGAAAGCTTTCAGACGACGAACTCACATATTGTCCGTGGGTCGAACCATCCCGTTTCTGCTCTCTCTCTCGATCAGAAGGAATCAAAAAGTCCCTGCAATGTTACGAAGAGTGGTCGGATGATCCCAAATATTATCGAACCAAAATCACCACTACCCCCGGATGTCCGAAGCTGTCCACGTCTCAATGGACCTTGCTACTTGAGGGAAAGGCCGTTGACCTCGACAAAGTTTTCACCGGACGCTATTCCACAGCCATCGACTCTAAACAAACCCAGTCCCTTGGGAAGGGATTTGAGCTCTCGCTCTCCCAACCTACCGTTAGTCATAAGGTCAAATCAGCGGGGGATTGGGGAATTGCTACCGACTTATGGACTCGGGCCCTCACCTTCATCATGCCGTGGCGTGAAGAGGAGGTTCGAGAATACCGAGACTATATGTCCGACATCTTCGGAAATCACTTCTACTCCGTTCACGAGCGTGTCCTCGACTTCGACCGAGCTGTTCGACTCCTTGTCGAGCAACAAAAGTATCTCCGGCTCGACGACTTTCAAAAGTTCGACGGCCTTAAATCCAGTCATTTGTCCGCGTTCGGAATGGTTGCCATGCAGAATGCCCGTGACACGGGAGAAAAATCAGGGAAAGATTTTGGAGGAGGAAAACGTCAATCAAAAGGAAGGGGTGAGCCCTGTCATAAGTGGAACCGAGGAGAATGCAAGAAAGAGGCCAATGAGTGCCTTTATTTCCACGTTTGTGACCGAGGAAGCTGCAGGGGGAACCACAAGCGCGGAGAGTGCCCAATGGACAAAAGAGGTAAATAGGTCAATAGCGGGTGGTCAACGTTTCCGGCGTCACTTCATTTGGGGAAAACAAATATCGGTGATTAGTCCGACGGCACTTTGGACTGAAACAGCAGAAGCATTACCCTCTCCTCCTCCATCCGAATTTCTTAACGTCGAGGCTATAAGCACGATTCGTTCTCGTCCCGATCTGTTTCGAGTCGACACACCTATTAATATCGACATCTTTCAATCCATGTTGGAAAAAGCTGGTCATCCTAATCCTTCTTTTTATCTCTCAGTCTGCAGAGGTCTTCGCCATGGATTCTGGCCATGGGCTGATACCCATTATGGCCAATATCCAACCACATGGGAAGAAGCCACACCCGTTCCGGTAAATTCGCAGGAGCAAGAGTTCCTTCGTGACCAAATTGACAAGGAGGTTCAAGTCGGTCGTTATTCCTCAGACTTCGGACCAGATTTATTGCCCGGGATGTACACCATGCCCATTCACGCTGTACCAAAAGAAGGAGGAAAGTATAGGCTGGTTACCAACCATAGCGCGGGATCCTTTTCTCTCAACTCGATGATTGCTAAAGCCGATATTGCTGGAGTTACCTTGGACAATGTCCAGCACTTGGGGAATGCTCTTCGTCAATACAGGCAGCAAGAAGGAGACGGACCCCTAGTAATTTGGAAAGCGGACGTTTCAGAAGCTTACCGACACATGCCTATGCACCCGCTATGGCAAATCAAGCAAATAGTTTCTTTTGAGGGTCGACGGCATGTTGATAGGGCCAACGTTTTTGGGGGTCGCGCATCTCAACGAATCTTCCATGCTTTCATGTCACTTGTTATTTGGTTAGCAGTCTTCACACGTTTCATCCTTGCTTACATATATGTCGACGATTCATTCTCGTACGCCGAGGAACATGACCGAGCCTTTTACGTCAAGTATCAAAAGCTCTTGCCCCGGAATATGGTCAAGCTCCTTCACCTCTGGGATGAGCTCGGTATACCTCACGAAGAACGCAAACAAGTGTTCGGATCGCCCCTTCCCGTTATAGGATTTGATGTTGATGCTCAACTAATGCGTATCACCCTTCGCGATCAAGCCAAATCCGACCTCATCACCGAGTTGCGGACATTTGCACGTCATCGACATCGAAGAACCTTGCGGGAGTGTGAGCATATCGCGGGGTCCCTTAACTGGGCCCTTAACGTTGCTCCAATGTTGCGCCCCGGTCTCGCAGCGCTGTATAGAAAGATGAAGGGAAAGACACAAACGAAAGCACTTGTATGGCTTAATCGCCAAATTGTTTTGGAGATTCTCTGGGCAGCGGATCATCTGGAACGTTCTAACGGAGTGTACCTCCTCAAGTCCGTGTCCTGGAACCTTCGTCAAATTGCATTCGCGCATGATGTATTGCGCGTCTATTGTGACGCTTCCGGTATCGGAATGGGATTCTGGTATCCTTCTCTGAATCTTGGTTTTCAATCTAACCTCCCAGTGCGCTCGCCAATTTCCGACATCTTCTTTTACGAAGCTCTATGTGTCACTTCGGCAATTCAAGATGCTGTCTCGCGTATCCCACAGGGTCACCGTTTAGCTGTCTTTACGGACAGTCTCGATACCGTCAGCATTTTTAGTTCGCTCTCTGGGGAATCCGGTTACAATCAGCTCCTCATATTTGTCGTCGACCTTATTCTCGCAACCGGGGTTGACTTTCGAGTTTTTCACATCGCGGGTGACAGAAACATCGTAGCGGATCACTTATCACGCAACAGAGCACGGGAAGCTTTGTCTTGCGTACCACGTCTTCGCATCCTCCCTTTTGAACCCCCTCGAAATGCGCTGGGGGGAGGTAAAAAATGATCCCATCACTACGTCAGGCCAAGCAGCCCGTTCGGGAAGCTTGGTCTCTGGAGCGGCTTGTACATGAACGGTCCATAAATCTGGGGCTTTCACTCGAGCGCTCAACAAATCACACCTACTCCTCAGCACTCAACTCTTATCTCACGTTCTGTGATTTACATCATTTTCCTGTTGAGCCTTCTGCCGATACATTCTCTTACTTCGTCACCTTCATGGCAGCTCAAATCAACCCCCGTTCCGTAGACAACTACCTCTCGGGAATTTGTAGTCAGCTGGAAGAGTATTACCCGTCTGTGCGGGACGTCAGGAAGTCTCGCTTGGTCGCGCGAACTTTGCGAGGTGCCAAACGACGCTACGGAATTCCAGTTAAGCGCAAGCTTCCCTTGACGCGAGCTGACCTTGCACGGGTGGTCGACAGTTACGCTCACCCATGCCATGACGACATCCTCTTTTTATCGTTACTCCTCGACGGTTTCCATGGGCTTCTACGCCTTGGAGAACTCGTATGGCCGGATAATCCAAAACTCCAACTACGTCAGAAACTCACCTTGCGCACCTCAGTAACTACCACACTCTCCAATCATTCCTTTGTGCTCCAAACGCACAAGGTAGACCCTCAATTCGAGGGGTCAACGATTGTCATTCAGCGTTCCCTCACTCATCCCGATCCTCACAAAATGTTCGTCGACTATTTGGCATCGCGGGACTCTTCGTTCCCATTCCATTCGACTCTCTGGCTATGCTCGAATGGGTCAGTCCCAACTCGGGCGTGGTTCATCTCGCGTTTACGCAAATTTTTCCCTCCTACAATCGCAGGTCACTCCTTGCGTGCTGGAGGCGCTACTTCCCTTGCGGCAGCTGGAGTCCCCGCATTGGAAATTCAAGCTATAGGTCGTTGGTCATCCGACTCGTTTCGTTCTTACATTCGTAAAAATCCAACTCTGTTGCATGCGCTGATATTTAACGGTCGGTCCGCACATGACGGGCGTGATCCGTTCACGCTCGTCCACTAAAAGATATGTTCTACTTCTTTTTCTTTTATCTCTTCACCATACTTATTTCCCTCCCTCCCTCCCATACACACACATTACGGCTTATTTTCACGCGCGTTCGCGCATCCTGGGGCTAATTTTTTATTTCTATCTATTGTCTCCACCATTTGTCCTTAGCTAGTCCGTTTATTCATCGGATTTTCTCGGGCTCGCGCCCGGGAAAATCCTTTCGCTGGCTAATCCTCGCAGCCTGCGCTTCTGCGAGGCTAAGTGAGACCAATTAGTCGAGTTTAATTCTTCTTTACACAAGTCTAATTGGTCGATACTTTCGAGTTTTCCCATGTGCGGGCTGGCCCAGGGTCTACCCCTTTGTCGTTGAGACACGCGCTCCGGGCGCTCTTGGCATGACGCACATGCTAAGCAATCTCTGCCCTAGCGGAGATTTTTTCTATCTACCTAGTGCGTGTGGGCAATTAGGAGGTCCTCGCCTCTTCTCTCTTGCCCATTGTCGCACTAGGTACGTTTTCTCTAGAATTCTTTGTAGGCCCCTTCTCACTTGCCCTTTGTCGCACTAGCTTGTTTTCTCGTCACCCACCCTCATTTTATTACCCTACCCTTGGCTTATTTTCACGCGCGTTCGCGCATCCTGGGGCTAATTTTTTATTTCTATCTATTGTCTCCACCATTTGTCCTTAGCTAGTCCGTTTATTCATCGGATTTTCTCGGGCTCGCGCCCGGGAAAATCCTTTCGCTGGCTAATCCTCGCAGCCTGCGCTTCTGCGAGGCTAAGTGAGACCAATTAGAAAAAATAACCTCATGCAATATGTGCATTTCAAGCGACATTGTAGAACTCACGTGACTACTATAAGACTTGTCCGCTCTCATCAAGGCTTTGCTATCGTTCCACCCGCTCAAGTTAGGTTCAAGATCCCTTCTCCGCCGCATAGGCTATATTACGTTTGTTGCCCATGTCATTGCCAGCGAAAGTTGATAGCTGGAATGTTGGGTACCCTTTAAAAGGATGCCAGCTCTCAGTTTTATGCACTGCGTCTATTGGCAGCACCAGTTTGTTGTCGTTAGATCTGTCTTACCGTTGTACTGCATTCACCAATGGCCCTACCCACCCAGTTCGCAGAAAGCCTTTGGGTGCGGACGTAGGTCTATCTATCATATGAACATCCTTAAATTCTCACCCCATCGTTTAGATCATTCTCCGCAGCAGGCCACACTTTGCTAGTCTATGACTATCTTCTAACTTTCAAATATGAAGTAAGTTTATTGTATGATATGCATAATGTTTCTTTGATTTCTTGTTTATCGTCTGTTGTTGCCAAGTCGCTACCTGGGTCCTGCAGTATCATGCATAATGTTCACAACACACCCTTTGTTGCAGGTCTTCTACATCTGGAACGCCCCCTGGACGGTCGTTAAAGTCTTGTTTCTTCTCAACCGTTATGGAAACCTTATTGGGCAGACTGCCATCCGGTTGGAAGAGGCCGGTCTCCTGGCACAGAATTCTCAAGAGGTATGTTATAGTTTCACGAGTGGACTTCCATCGTGTGACTGGTTTGCATGTGCCAGTTCTGCCAACGCTTCGCATTTTTCACCACTTGCTTTATGTATCTATCCACAGAATCGATTCATAGTGCGTACATCTAGTTGATATTTGTTGCACGCGCTAAGAGTTTTTATCCAGTCGTTGTGCTCGTGCGAGCGTGGGCCATCTGGGGAACTCGGAAGCGTGTGACAATGATCCTCATCTGGAGCTACATGTTATACGTCGTCGTGCTGTTGGCTGTCTCAGCAAATGTTGTGAGCAGCAGTCGTAGTAGGTTGCCTCGCTGCTTTTTCATGTTTTGTTGTTAAATATAGTTGTGCTCCCATAGGTCCGTATCTGTACCTCGACGTAATTCACGTTTGCGTGGTGACAGTGCCAAGTATGTGATTGTCATTCCGCTCCTCCACCGTATTAATTTGCCTCTTCAAAGAATTTGTGGTGGTTAGTTGTCAGCTGTATTATGCTGGATATATTGCTGGACTTCTCATTGCTGATATTATTATATTGCTAGTGGGTGAGCTATGTCGGAAGGTTAGGATATTCTGTCTTGTGCTCTTGCGCCTGCTGAAGACCATCAAGCTTCATTCTCGATGTAATACTCTTCGTCTTGACCATGCGAAGTCTCTGGAAATACTCGAGGGAATTTCAGCATCTGTACCCCTCTAATCTTCTCCATGTTCTCTTTCGAGACGGTGGGCATACTTTCTGGGGGGCTCCGTCTGCAACTGATCACAATTACATAGCGGCCATATTTTTCATTGTGAGTGTTAAAAACCTGCATAATGTATTGCGTGACCGACAACAGGAACAGGCTAGTATGTTCAGTAATGCATTGATTGTCGCCTCCTGGTGAGACTCGCTCAACCTCTTCACTCATTCCATTTACTTATGATGTTTAGGACTGCGTTTCGGGAAGTCAGTCTTCCTTACCCATAGCGGATTATTTATCTTCCTGACTGACATGATACAATTCCCAGGATCCAAAATATTTCCTTGGTAAAGGGTGCGTCACCATCAATATGGCCCATCACATTCGGTAAATCTATTGCATCTAGGTTCGCGACTCCGTTACTTTCAGTGGCTGGTCAGCGCCTAGTTCTGAACCTCCGAGGTCTCAAAACGCGTACTTACACAACCCGCGATATCAGCCGTGAAGTGGACCGGCAACTTCAAGCATTCGCTGAAGCAGAGTCTCCAGATGGAGATGACATCGAAGAGGTAGAACGTGTGCGAGAATAGGTGAGTATGAGGAAATACGAGTTAAATTTTATTTCCGTTGGTAACCATCTGTTTTAGTTCTGTATAGAAATATGTGGAAATCGATTCAATGTTGCTGACCTTGGTGCTTCCTCTTGTCTTTTCCTTTTCCTTTGCGTTTCCATATTTATTTTATATTTTCGTATTCAGTATAAGTAGCACAGGGCCACATCCGTGGTCTGTTGTTTTTGGCACGCGATCTGAATGAAGTTGTGCCTTGGGGTAAGCGCTAGCCTGCGATCCATTGTATTGTGGTGATCAAAACACATTCAAAATGTGTTTTGGTACAAAGTCCCACAGCTTCTAGTCATGAATCATTATCGGCGTCCTTGCGAACCTGCATTGTGTCTTGCCCGCTGCCACGTGTTATACCGATCTGTATGGTGCTGGATCCGTTCAACTATTCCACACAAAATATGCACACACACACACAAAGGATTTACACCCACAGAGTCGCGTACCGTTGCCGAGATGTACCAGGATGCTTTGGGATTAGCGTGACTTCCCGTTTTGGTAACACCGCACGACGACAAAATGCTCGAGCTCGCTGTCCTTGACAGCGAGCTCAAATAGTTGCCTAATCCTTCACCCTTTTCACTAGTTCTTTTGAGGGAAAAAAATCAACTGTAGCTAAGTAACTATGCTATTTTGACCATAAATCTTCCATACTTACAATATTCACCCATTCCTGTCATATATTTATACTGGGCGCTCCGAGGGGCTTATTATGGGCTCAATTAATGATGTATTTATTGTATAAATATATTAGAACTTCTACAAAGCCAGAAGTATACAATTAGAGTCCAGAAAATACCAGAAAAGCGGTCAGGGTGGGGGGAGGAGGAGGTGGGGAAGGAGGGTTGTGTTGTCCAAGAGTAAGCATAGTTAAGCTACAGGTGATTTTTTCTTTTAAAAGAACTAGTGAAAAGGGTGAAGGATTAGGCAACTATTTGAGCTCGCTGTTGAGGACAGCGAGCTTGAGCATTTTGTCGTCGTGCGGTGTTACCAAAACGGGAAGTCACGCTAATCCCAAAGCATCCTGGTACATCTCGGCAACGGTACGCGACTCTGTGGGTGTAAATCCTTTGTGTGTGTGTGTGCATATTTTGTGTGGAATAGTTGAACGAATCCAGCGCCATAGATCTGTATTCAATTCAATCACATACAACTTTGAACTTCATTCTTACCCAAGCGCGCCAGTAATTGGAAGAGTGCAACAGATTGGGAAATACAAATAGAAGGTGTACATATCGGGGACTCCACTGTATGTTCTGGGCAACAGGCTGCCACACGGCTGGATACAACATACATGCGATTTTACGAAGTCGTAAGATTGCCTCAAGAATGCGTATTAACAAGGTAGGACGCACGAAATTGATCACAGGCCAATGTGCATGAACACGATGCGCTGGTCCAAGGGCATATCCGTGTCACAAGCTAACGACTGGACTGCTTTATGCAACGCTCGGGCTGCTTGTTTTGAATTCATCTTGCCGTCCCCGCATAAATTTGTGTAGAAAGCCTCTACCAAGCGTCGGGCGGTCATATCGTCGACAGTCCAAAATGTGCCGGTGGTACTCTTTACACCAGCAAATTGTAGGGCAGCCGCCAGGTGTATCACTTCGTCAGGAGTTTCAAAGTCACCAAGTGCGGTCCCGCAGGCCGACAGGAATGCGAATTCATGTCGAGACAGATCTGTTTGTATGATATCTAGTAGTGAAAGTAGTTGGTCGCGCATGAGAAACGTCGGCTTGAAGGGTTCCAACAGGTTTTGTGTTCCGTGACACGCAAATGGAGCCAGCGATTATCCTGCAATGCTTGCAGGGTTCTTGACCTCGTTGATTCGGCGCTCGTGACCTTGGTGAAGGAAATGGTAGGAGGTATGAGGCGCCGCACCAATTCCAGCTCAGGCTCGACAGCCTCCAAAGGAAGTGAATGTCCTGGAGGGTGATTCTGACCAATTGCAGCAAAAGACACAGACAGGGATCTGTCATTGCTTTTGCGGGCCCCGATCGGCGCGGTAAGGGATGGAGTATATGAAGAAACATATAGCTGCGAAAGGGACTTTCCATTACGCTTGTATTCACCGGCAGCATGCAACGGCAAGAAATTGAAGTAAGAAGTTGGGCACCACCATAGTCGGGAACCTTGTGGCACAAATCTATCCAGTTTTTCAACCACAGGGCGGACTACATCATCCCATGGCTCCCGCAAAGTGTTCATCAGCCCTGCTTGGGTCTTTCTAGGACCAGCCTCTTTGTCAATGTTTTCTCGGAGTGCGAGCACTGACCGCGCGAGTCTCTTTAAATCGGTAAGGAGCCGAACACGAGCCGGAGGTTGTTTGTGCAGGATAATGATGGCGTCACAAGACCACCAGTTGGAGCTCGGAGAACAATAGTGTTGCAGGGTGACATTGATGATCAGTGAGGCAGAAGGCAGTGGCACGTTCGAAGTACTTGATGCATTGGATGAGATCCCTGCTGTCCTGCGTCCGGTGGTATCGTGCGAGACGACGATATCCAGCATCTGTTAATAGTATTAACGTGCGCATATCGCAGGATGTGGACTGAATATTACAAGCTCTTAGCAATAGAACATCGGGATGCATTGATCACTCACGGGGGCAATGGGGTGAACTGCGAAGTCATTTTCATCAAACCGTAACTACTCCACTGTAATGAACAGTGAAGTACATGGCGATAAAACTTCCTCCGCCTTTGGCTGAAAGATGACGGCTGGGATATCTCATTAACATCCGTTAGAGGCGATCAACAACCGACATTACTGACGATGTGACTTTTCACAGCGATGCAGTAAATCTCCAACAGAGGTCTCGACTGCGCGGAGGAGCTCTCCATCATCGAGCATGGGATCTAATTCAAATGAGGCATAAACCCTGACCCGAACTTTAGCAGACGGCTCGGATGGCCTAGAGCATTTTCAATATCCGCAGAAAAGACGGGATGAAGGATGACTTACAAAAGTATCCGCTCGTTCCATTCTATGACGTGCTGGTCTAGGTGTGCAGGTTTGTTGCTTGTCTGCCAATCAGCGCCATCAGCATGTACTGCCACGTGGAAGCCAGCTGGTATCCGTCGGAGACCAACAGTGAGACCAGTCGCGCAAATAGCTTGGGAAATCGTCAAGATGTACTGAAGGGAGATATCGTGACACATACCAGTAATGGCAACGTGCTGTAGTCTACT